TCGATTGCTGTGAATTTTAGCCATTCACACTACCTGCCAAGGATTCCATAAGATTATCACACCTTGCCAGACTTTCATATCCCTTAAATAATCAACCACCAGAAACCTAGCTGCTTTAAATCAGCTTAATCTTCCTAAGGTTATTTTGCACACAGGGCTTGGTGGATATATAGAAACATCTCTCCTTTTCTTTATCATTAACAATACTTACACCTACCATAAAGGAAGCGTCTCTAGTGTCTGGATGAGAGCCACTAGAGGCATGTTTAACCCTGCTTTATAAGCATTGCAGTTTCTTCAAAGTTGCTGTGTTTTACATTGCAAGGTCATACTACAAGGCCATTGTACCTAGACCACAACATTAAGGTGAAGTGGTCAGGGTGCTGTTAGTGGCCATTTTTAAGGATGTTGAGCCACATCACCCTTGTATATTTTTTAGATAGGTGATGGCTTAACAGAATAGGTGACTTGTTTTTTCTTCTTCTTTCTAACTTCAGAGACATACAAATGTTACCATACATGCAATTAAAACTGGTTCAGCGTGACTGGTTACCATTTTTTGCACGTCCACAGTTTTATTCCGACAATACGCTCTTTCAAGAGGAGGAATGGCAGCAGTTTATGGACTCAATCTTATCCCAGGACACGATCCGTTCCAAATATAACATCATCTGCTGTAATTGTACCAAATAATTTATAGAACCTTATAAAGTGTCTGTAATTCCTCATTGACGTATTGGTAGCAATCGACAAACTCATTGCGTTACACATAGCTTTGTTTCAGGAAGTGACATGGTAAACTTGCCCACTAGGTTTTTAAGACTCGAACAAGTGTCACAAATGCAAGGCAAAGGGAGTGATCCTTCTTCATTTGTTTCTGGACATATGCTATTTTGGAACTCTGTTTATGACTGTACTTTGAACTTGGAGGCTGCTTTTAGTATTCTACCCAGTACTTGTTGCATCTCTGGAAAATAGTTTTTGAAGTTATTGTGGCAGCATCTAGCATATCTAATATTCGCCCTCTCCATATGGGAACACTGCTTCCATCAGGGGTCTTTGCCAAATTCGCAAATATCTCTGATGGAGACCTCACCTCTGAAGGTGCGGTAGCCGTGGTGAAGGGAAAGGTACGAATTACTGAACCTGACTCTCCTGGGTGTTGCTGTCTTCCTCAGTCTGCTCCTCTTCAGCTCCTGATACCATCACTGCTGTACTCACACATATGCTAGAGTGCGGCAATCAGATCTATAAAGAATCCGGCCATACTGCAGCCAATTCCCTGCAGCTGTCACTTGTGCATATTGAAGCTATTATGCATGTATGGAAAAAATTATGTGCTTAAGCATCTCTACAAGGAGCGTTCAGCTTCTCCATGCAGGGGGTAATGACGGTGAACGCCAATGCTGCAAACTGTGCAAGACTGACTCAGGAAGTACATCTAATGGCCGTTTGAGTGACCTACAATAGACACCAGAAAAACTACTTTAAGCTATACTTGCTCTGGTGACTATAGTTTCTCTTTTATAACCAGCCATGATCCAACTATTGCAGTTGTTTTTACGCTGTGGCACTTGAATAGAAACATAGAATGTGACGGCATATAAGAACCATTCGGCCCATCTAGTCTGCCCAATTTTCTAAATACTTTAATTAGTCCCTGGCCTTATCTTATAGTTAGGATAGCCTTATGCCTATCCCACGCATGCTTAAACTCCTTTACTGTGTTAACCTCTACTACTTCAGCTGGAAGGCTATTCCATGCATCCACTACCCTCTCAGTAAAGTAATACTTCCTGATATTATTTTTAAACCTTTGTCCCTCTAATTTCAGACTATGTCCTCTTGTTGTGGAAGTTTTGCTTCTTTTAAATATAGTCTCCTCCTTTACTGTGTTGACTCCCTTTATGTACAGTATATACTCGAGTATAAGTCTAGTTTTTCAGCACATTTTTTGTGCTTAAAAACCCCCACTCGACTTATACTCGAGTCACTGTCTGTATTATGGCAACTTAGAGAGCCGCGGCCGTCAGAGCCATGGCAACGATCCGCGCGGGAAACAGACCGCGAGACTTACAGTGGAGCTGACCGGAATGGAGGAGAAAGGAGCTGACAGGAGCTGCAGGAAAGGTAAGTAAATGCTTCCTGCCGGCCCCTCCACTTCACAGACATGCCACTGGACCACCAGGGATTAAGATAGCCCCCCTCCCTGACCAGTCAACAAGCAGGTAGGGGGGGGACAAAAATAAAAAAAATTAAAATAATAAAAATGCCCTCCCCCCACCCAGTTCACACACACTACATTATATACACACTCTGCATTATATACACAGTGTGTGTATATAATGCAGAGTGTGTGTTTGTATGAGTGTGTGTGTGTGTATATAATTATAAAAATCACAGAATTTCATAGCCCCAAGTTTTACCCTCGACTTATCCACGAGGCATAGCATATTTCACAATTGTTGGTCACAAAACTGCACTCGACTTATACATGAGATCGACTTATACACGAGTATATACGGTATTTAAATGTTTCTATCATATCCCCCCTGTCTCATCTTTCCTCCAAGCTATACATGTTAAGTTCCTTTAACCTTTCCTTGTAAGTTTTATCCTGCAGTCCATGAACCAGTTAAGTAGCCCTTCTCTGAACTCTCTCTAAAGCATCAATATCCTTCTGGAGATACGGTCCAAGTGAGTTCTCACCAGTATTCTGTACAATGGCATGAGCACTTCCCACTTTCTACTGCAAGCATTCTGCTAGCATCTCCTGCTGCTCTATTACATTGTCATGCCTACCTTTTAAGTCAGAAATAATCGTCCCTAAATCCCTTTCTTCAGATGTTGAGGTTAGGACTCACGGCTGTGAAGTCCGTGCACAAAACCTTTGAGTCCTACTCCCCAATTTATGGTACCACATACAACAGCTCCAGTAACACTGTAGAGTTTGCACACAAAGCATTAAAGGGACACTGTAGTTCCCCAGACCACTTTAGCTCAATGAAGTGGTCTGGGTGCCAGGCCCCACAGGTTTTAACCTTTCAGATGTAAACGTGGCAGTTTCAGAGAAACTGCTATATTTACATTGCAGGGTTAATCCAGCCTCTAGTGGCTGTCTTCCTGACAGCTGCTAGAGGTGCTCCTGCGACGCTGGATACGAAATTCCTTTAAAGTCTTTAGTTGCTTCGACTCCACATCCCTGGTTTAATACTTGTTCTTGGCTCTGTATGTATCAAATTAAAATGTTAACGTTTTTAATCCTTTGAAAGTTTTAAGGATTCAGTCACCAGTTTTTAGAAGTGGTTCATGCAAAACTAATTTATTGTCACTATATTCCAGTTATAATTTGAATTTATATTTTAATTTGGTTTATTTTATTTATTTTTTAACAGCTTTTTGTAAACCGTTCCCTTTTTTGAGCAGTAGACTAACAGGAGTGATTTGACTTCTGACTTTTGTAATTTAGATATGTGCAACCCTGTTAGCCGTTGTTGTTCAAAAGCCAAATACTTCTAAAGGAGTTTGATGCCAGTTACTTTTTGGACAGGTGGAGATGTATCATTTACATTTATACTTGTTAAACTTATAAGAGTGCAAGATTAAAAGGGCAGTTAGGCGATGTCATTTTTAGAACATTGTGTGTTTGATGATACTTGGTTATTTAATAGACACTGTCTTGTGCCTGAAGGATCTCTCCGGTTTACTGTGTGGAACCCAAAATTGTTCCATGATCATGAAATTCATTATAGTTTGTCATTTTGTAAAAATTTTGAATATCTAGTGTGTCAATTGTGTTACTCTTTTGTGTTAACACAGCACATTCTGTTCATACCAGAAATTTTGTCTGAAGGCTGCTAAATATAAAAATGGGATTCCATTATATATGTATTTCCTGGAATTTGTGCAGCTCCTTTGATTGTTGAATGGCAGTTTATGCTAACAAAGTTGAACTGTAAATGAAGTGAAGACACATACAGACATTCACAGACACGTGTGCACCTAGAGGCACACACAGTTACACACTTGCAAAAAACATACTCTTGCACAGAACCTCTAGGGTCCTCCCCATTTGCATCTCAGTAAGATGTAAGATTCCCTAATTTGCCCTCTGGGTTGCTTCTTGCACCCTTAAAGACCTTTGCACATCTCTGTTGGAGTTGCAAAGATGACACTGGAAGCAGACAAAAAAAAGAAAGAAAAGCAAAATACCATTGTTAACCAAAGAGGCTTCTTAGATATCACTTGAACAGCACCACAGTTAGTGCTACATATTGTCAATTTCATCTAAAAGAGCACTCAAATGTTAAGTTTAGATGTGTGGCCATGGACGTTGGCACCCCAACACTTCCTAAGAGTAGCACAGGTTAAACCATACATCCCTTAAACTTTGGCTGATCTTGAAAAAAACAGGATGACTGGGGCTCTGACTACTTTCTAGCTTTGTCAGAACACTGCAGAAAAATGCAAACCCATGGGAAGTGCAGCAAACACAGGTGGTACTTTATGTTTAATATTTTTTTTTTTTTTTTTATATGTGCTAAATAAGGAATTTGAAAATATACTGGGTCAATTCAAAAAGAAATGACCAGATATTTTTTGGAATAGTTGCTGTAAACACACAATATTAACAATATTAAATATTCTAATTTAAATGAATTGATGCTCATAGCTTGAAGTATTTAGAGTTTTACTTGAACACTTTTTAAAAATATTTTTTTATCTCCTACTTCCCCCAATGCATGCATATATATATTTGTATATTTGTTTTCTCTGCAGGAATGGCAATTATTACTTTCCAGGGTTAAATGCCTCTAGTGGGCATCAATCTGACTCACATATGTGATAGTTGCTGCACCAAAAAGCAAAATAGATGCTAGTAGGAGGGTTTTCCTGCTCTACCGTTTCATTTAATACTCTGCATAGATACCCATGTTTTTGGAATACACTTCTTTAGTTTATTGATATTTGCTAATATTTTTGATCTCCACATTGAAGGCATGAAATCAGGGCAGGGTTATGTGGTGTGCTACGCATTGCTTATTTCAGAGGTAATGTGCAGAGGCAGACAGTCAAAAAGACAATACGTCAATATTACATGTTCCTGCAAACTAGAGTTACTCATGCCCAGAACTCCAAATACATGCCCTTGCACAAGCACAATTATTCTTTGTTGGTTTCAGTAACTGCAGATATTTGTAATGATATGCTGATGCTTTGTGGTGCCCCAAGCTTGCACTGTCTTGCTAGATTAAGGACTCCATAGAGGTATGACTTTTTAGTATTCACCAACACATTGACCAAAAACAAAGCAAGGTGTGTATTTATTTTTACTGCAATACTATGAATATATGTGCTGTTGTTTTTGAATGTTTAATTTTATTTTGAATATTTCCACCTTTTTTTTTTCTCAGTTCAATTTTGTTGGACGTATTTTGGGACCCAGAGGACTCACTGCTAAACAGCTAGAAGCTGAAACAGGATGTAAAATTATGGTCAGAGGGAAAGGCTCCATGAGAGATAAAAAAAAGGTATGTTTCAATGTTGTAAGTTTATACATGCTGACTTTTTATAAACATTCTAAAAACATGGCTACTTTTGTAATACAATGCTATATTTAACACACGCTTATTTTTTAAAGCATAACATATATAGATATAGATCTATATATCTAGCTTCAATTTATAAAATTCTTGATATGCTGGTTTTGAACTGAACCACTATTGTGTTGGAGATATTTATCCTTTTTTCACTGAATGATCCTTTTGTTTTTGTTTTTCCATTTGCTTTGATGTTTACTATGTTGTCACTTTTGGTATCTGCAAATATTTTGAATGTCAGTTTGAAAGCACATGCTTTATTGTATTTTAATAACACATATTGTCTTTCCATATGTTAAAGTGGCTCTGTCACTTCAAACTTACCTTACTCAAATTGTTTCCTCCTCGCTTCCTCTTTCAGAATCTGTTCTTCTTTCATTTCTCCTTAAAACCGAAGACAAACTAGGGACTACTTTGTCGTCTTTATTCTGCTTACTCCTGACAATTGTGACAAAAGGGTGCAGCTTAATGCAAGCTTATCTTCCTGTCTCAATCTAGCAAAGGGTGAAGGTTGCCTTAAGCTCCACCCTTTGTCACAATTGCAAAGTGTAGGAAAAACACATAGAATAAGGTATTCCCTAGAAACAGATTTGAAATAAAGAACAAATTCTGAGAGTGGAGGAAGAAATAATAGAAGAAAGGTAAGTTTGGGGTAATAGAGCCACTTTACATTTGGTGAGTTAAAATATTCACAGCTTTCATTTTCTTCCCTTTAAAATGAAATCGAACGTGTAAATGCAATGCTTGAATTTGCTGAAGGATATATGGATTTACATAGGGCTACACAATGCACATCTTTTGTGTTTGTAAACCTTTTTTACTTGCTTTGTTTATTAATAATCTGATTATTATAATAGTTCTTACTAAGGTCTTTTATTTAAAGAATATATGCCAGTTAATACACAAAAGCATGTTTATTCATAAGCTAAGAATTGTTGGGGTTTTTCACCATAGAATTGCAGTTTTAGGGCACAGTAGAAGAGTTGGGAAATTTCTCCTGCTTAGCCATGTTCACGTTGCCTGAAATGTGTTGTAAACATGCAGTTCTCCATGTATTATTTTTTTTGATAACCATGAGAGTCAAGTATAAAAATATCGATTGATAAAATAAGATGGCAATAGTTCCATAATTTAACTCTACAGGAGAATATGCATAAAAAAATTAAATTAATTTCAGAATTAAGGCCAAAATACATTGGCATACACCTGAAATGACGCAGGATCAACTGGTCCTCTAATCTGAAGACGTACTGCGTATGCGCGCGGTACATCAGTCAGATATAGAAATCTGATGGGTGTACTGTGCACACGCAGTAAATCAATCAGATTTCTATACTACAGCTTTCACTGCGTTCTAACACAATAGAAATAGCTGAGATGCAGGATTATGGGGTGACACACTAGGGATGGGGAGGTTAATTGGGGTTATATAATGGGGATAGGGTGGAATAATGTTGTGACACACAGGGGATGTGGGGGTTATACACTGGGGATGGGAGATCTATGGGGGTTAATGGTGTGACACACTGGGTATTTGGGGGTTAGTGGGGTGACAGAGGATGTGGGGTTGTGGAGTGACAGTCAGGGGATCACCATCATTAACACCCCCCCCCCATCCCTGTGTGTCACACCATTACCAACCCCCCCCCCCCATCCCCAGTGTGTAACCCACATTAACCCCCCTATCACCAGTATAGAACCCCCATTACCCATTTTATACCTGATGGATGTGCCGCGGCGCATGCGCAGTACACTCAATCCGATTTCTATATCTAAAGGATGTGCCGCGTGCATGCACTGTACACCCCTCAGGTTAGTGGCCCAGCTGATCCCGCTTCATTGGAGGTGCTAGCGCGCGGAAATGACGTCCGTGTGGAAATCTGATATATTTTTCTGATAGAACACCGGTGTCATAAATCTATATGTATCAGATTTCTATACAGATGTCACTTCCGGTGCACCCGCGTCAACGCAAGATCGGCTGCACGCATGCTGGTCTCTGGGTATAACATTCTGTTAGAATTCGGACGCGGGATCAGCTGGGCCACTAACCTGAAGAGTGTACTGTGCATGCGCAACATTATCTCCCCTATCCCCAATATATAATCCCCATTAACCTCCCTATCGCTAGTGTCACCCTCATAATCCTGCATCTCCGCTATTTCCAGTGTTAGTACACAGTGAAAGCTATAGTATAGAAATCTGATTGATTGTACCGCGCGCATGCGCAGTACACCCATCAGATTTATGTCTGACGGATGTGCCACACGCGTGCGCAGTACACTAGCCAGATTTCTGTATCTGGAGGGTGCACGCTGTACACCGTTAGATTAGAGGACCAGCTGACCCGCGTCATCGGAGGCGACGCGGGTACAGCGAAAGTGACGTCCGTATAGAAATCTGATAAGTATCTCTTTTTGCATATTAAATGTTTACTCCAGCCTCCATGACCACACACTGGTCATAGAACAAGTGATCTGTATGTGCAGTGTTTTTGCTTAAAATGCTGCATATACAGATATCTGCATTTTCATTGGGTCTAGTTGCACCCCTTGCACACGTGACGCAGGCAACCTAGTACTCTGTTCCAGGCTGTGTAATGTTAGAGATATGCAAAAATAACATCTGTTCGCTGAGATTCTTCACTTGTAGACAGAGCTATGTGTACTCCTACTAATGTAAAGCTTGTTGGACTGTGTGAGTACAACTCACATGCATACAGTCTCAAGACAAGCCTTAATACTCCCTCTGCCAGTTGAAAGCAAGCATGCCATGTGTGCCTTTCAATGTATGATAGAAAAGCATTACATTTCATGCTTTTGTATCTGAAAAATCTGATCTGCATGCAGCATATGTATCAATGCCTCTCTGTTTAACTATGTATATGTGTTTATATGTATGCATATATAATATAATCTCATGTTTACTTCGTTAAATAGATATTCCTTATATATAAAGACAAACTCTAAGGCCATTAAGGAGCTTTAGTGTACCCACTGATAAGAATATGAATTTTTCTAGGTATAATAGAGAGTCAAAATCTCTTTGCTGTCTGCTATAGATTATTAAAAAAAAAAAAATTCCCTCTTGAAAATCAACCCTATTCTTAATCAAGTCAAAGGGTACACATTTCCTATGATTTGGTGCTAAAGCATTTATCAAAGTTGAGCATATATTTAAAAAACAAAAGTAATGCCCCATCTTCCCACCATTTTTTTAATTTTATTTTTTTATTTATTTCTGTCTGCAGCAGTTTCTGTTTTGCTGCCAAATTATCGATGCATGAGTGTCTACGTATAAAAATATAGTTGCATATGACATCACGGTGTATATCTGTACAGGAAGTGGTGGCTTTTTTTAATTTTATTTTATTATAGAAAAGCAAAAGGGAATGCCCAATTTCCAAAGAGATTATATATATATATATATATATATATATATATATATTATATATAAAAATACATTAGGTTTATTACAAAAACGTGTAGAATATACAACATGATCTAGTCGACATTTCAGTCCACGTGGACAGTCCTTCGTGGACTGAAACGTCGACTAGATCATGTTGTATATTCGTTTTTGTAATAAACCTAATGTATTTTTTCTAAGGAAGACCTCTGGAGTGCACTCGTTTTTTATGGAGATAGATAGATAGATAGATAGATATATATAGATATATATAGATATATATATAGATATATATATATATATATATATATATATATATATATTCTTTTCTTTTTATATTTCTTTGTTTTATAAAAATTATATATATATATATATATATATATTTTTTTTTTTTTTTTTTTTTTAAATATATAAAAGCAAAAGGGAATGCCCAATTTTTATAAAATTTTTATCTACACAGTATCTTAACACACACGTATTGTTTTATTGTAGTTTGTTTGTGGCGGAGTATTTACACTACACTAACTGTAGCAATTTTTTCCCTGTTTTGACATGCTTCATTCAGGCTGTTACCAATATACTGGAATGCAGTATGTTGGCACTAAATAAGGTAAGTACTCTGGGTTGATATTTGTTTTCAATTTAGAAAGTACTAGAATTGAATGATTACAATCCTATGTTTATTATGTTTTACGTGATTTTGCTCTTTTAGTAACTGCAAGAGTTTTTTGTTTTTTTTAAGCATAAGAAGGTGGTGGACACACTATTAGAGCAAATAGACTTTATTCCATTATTTCAGAATATTCACATTGCACCCAAAATGTTTTGAAAATGAACCCTCTAATGGTTTCAAGGTTTCTGTATAGATATGGAATGCCCTACTTGGTTAGCAGTAAATGTGAATGCCATTCCATTTTAGAATTCGGTATTAAAAATATTCAATCCTAGACTGTGTCCATGCACGCCTAAGTAAACCTTTCATCCTCTTGTGTCTGCTAACATTTGCTCACTTCCATAAATGCAGAATTATTGTTTTGAATATATGAAACGTTGATGGTAAAACTTGATTATATCTGAGTGAAGTTGGTTAAGGTTTGCTTATTATTCGTGTTCAAAGGAATAATATTCCACAATAACCTTAATATACAACACTTTTCGATTGCCATACATTTATTGGACTGTGCTACCATTGAGCTGCCCTTTCTTATTCAAAATGTTATCCTGAAAATCTGCATTAAGGTCCTCAGGATCACCATAATGATTAGTACTCTGTAAAGATGAATAAATAAATTAATAAAATTAAATTGACTGTTATGCAATGTATTTTGATAGACAAATGGCAATCAATGTGAGGTTGGTGCAGAAGTAATATGAGCTGATGAGGTAGTTTTGAAGTGATGAAAAGGAAAGCAATTTGGCTGGAAGCTGCTATGTTAAGTTGTGATTTTACCTTAAGGCTTAGAAAAACAGACGATGAATGTCTTAATTTTCTGACAGTGTTTATAGCCCTGAGTTAACAAAAAAGCCAGGACCCAGCGTGTGGTTCAGCTGTGTATGCCCTCAAAACTGCATCTTTCAGGCCTTGCTTACTGGCTCAAATATCCTCTGAACTCCACAGAGTAATTTTGCTTTTCCTGACATTTAAATGTCAGCCATGTGAAGAAACAACTGTGACAGTTTAACCATTGTTTTTATTGGGTTTTTATTTTGAGGCTTTAATATGGCTAAGTTTAATACGGATAAGTTAATTTGTTTAAAAAAAACAAAAAACCTTGAAACTTCATGATGATTTAGTAACCTTTTAGTTAACATTTTTGGTGGCATACAGGTGGCAGATGTAGAACAGTCCCCTCTGGCACACATGGATAAAGGTGGCAGTCTTGTTTGTATACTGAAAGGGATTTTCATGACCATTGTTTCATCAAATGCACATGACTCAGGAATTATAATTATATATGTTCCAAGTACTTATTTGCTTAGCTACTAAAAATTTCGATTTCCTTAACTCAGGGATGCATAATATCGATTTGAGGGGAGACCAGATGACTGGCTGAAATGCTTACCGGGGTCTCAGTGCCATCTAATGTTAATGAGATGGGTTGTGCTTGAATTTTGGAAGCGATCTTTCTGATGTCTGTTTGCTGTCTGCTGGATGAAAGTGGTAGAATTCAGACTATGGTCTATCTGATACCCCTTTAAGCACGGTGAGCAAGGGAACCATGTCTGGATTACCCCTTTTAATTTGGGGTGTGACAAGTTAATGCATTGCAACATGTTCACTGTGCCTAGAGGGGTATCTGCTACACCTCTCTGACAAGGCACAAAGTAGGCCGAAACGATTGTCCGTGGTTGCCATAGCTCTCATGCATAGAGAACTTGCCTGCATTTCTGTTAACTACCCTTATCGGTGTGGTCAGCCTGTTATGCCTTGAAACTGGTTCTCTTTGTAATGGCACAACAAGTGAGCAAAAACCATTTTTACTTGAGCAGAGATTTACTGAAGGGCAAGTGTCACGAGCCTAGGCTATAGGCCCAGCCAAGACAGTGGGGAGAGTGTGGAAGTGACAGGGTTAATGACACCAGACCCCTGGTTACCTGTTGTTAGTCCCAGCAACCACTCAATTAACCCCTGCAATCCCTTCTACACTAACCCCCTAGTACACACTTTACTGCCACCACCAAGACTTTTAAACCCGGGCGTCTTAAGTTATCCCACACACAGGACTATTATAGAATCACAGTTCTACTTTTACTGATCAAACACATATAATTAACCCTTTTTGGTAAAGTGTTTACCTGAGCTTTCCTCTGGAGAGTGAAGCTCATAGAGAACAGAGACACAAGCTGATTAAGTAAACATTTAATCTGACAAAAAAATTCACAGTGCTGAGTACAAAATACAGAAATAAATTACATACAGATAACAAATAGCAAAACAGTACATAAAATAAAATAGGAGAAAACACAAGAAATTCCTTACATATATCTACCCCATATAGAATTCTTGTGGGAGTCTTAGATGGTATAGGTCTCCTAGAAGTTGCTGACCAAAGAATAAAAATGATGAACTCCCTGGATAGTCCAGCACCCTTGTTAATCTATCTAAACTAGTTGTTGCTCAGTGTGCAGACCGCTGGGGAGGGGGTGTATCAGGGGGAGTTGGTCTGGCAGTTTATTACCCACTCTATGCAATTCCTTGTGTCCAGCTCTGGTGATGGCTATCTAGATGTTTTATGGTCTAAGCCTGGTGCCAGATCAGAGACCACAATTAATGTCATCCCAAGGTTTACAAAAAACAACTCTTTACATATATCAATACATCAAACACCAACTCATGCTTTTGGCATGACAGCAAGCCAATGAGTTGTTCTAAGCTTTTGTTTGTTCTCAGTTCTCAAACTCTGTTTTTTGACCCAGGTTTGGTATTGGGAATTTTAGATTAGCAAACCAAAGCTCGGGGGTTGAGGAGTGTTGCCAGTTGATGATTTATTATTCGTTTTAACCCAAAATGTTTTTGCTCCACTTTTACAATTACAAGTGATAATATAAATATATTTTCTTTGGGGTCAGATTATTGCGATCAGAAATATTATGTTGACTCTTTTTAGTGCATTTTCATACTGATAAACAGAGTTACAATATAGACCAAAAACCTAGCCAAATTATTTTGATGCATTCCTTGTTTTCACAGTGCCTGCTGCAGAATTTATATCACAATGTGAGCTTTTGTTATTTACTTTATTTATATAAAATGAATTTATCCAGGAATAATGCATGAACCTTGCTGTACAATTCCACAGGGAGTAGTAATGCAATGGACGAAGCGCTCTGGTTCTGCTGGGTATACAAATATCAGAGGAAGCCTAATTTTGTAGCAACTGAGAGAAACTGTTCTTGTCCCTCTGAGCATTAGTGATTGACTTCTCAATCAGTTTATGAAGTAAAGTGCTACAACTCTTCAGAATATTTATATTCTCAAAGTGTTTGCAAACATTCATGTATTCATTGTTTTGTGCAAATGGGTTCGTTTGGCCTGTGAATTTAGATTTATTAACTTGAGTATTCTGTACTTTGGAATAAAGGTTTAATTGTATTTATTGCTTGTTAGTAATATCTGAATGGAAAATAAATGAACACTATAGGGTCAGGAACACAAACATGTATTTTCAATCCTATAGTGTTACAAACATCACAAAGTTACACATCACAATTAACTCTATAATATCTTAATACTTATAAACACATGAAATAAAATTATTTACAGTTAAATCATTAAAATGTTGCTGTCCTAAAGTGGCACAATGTATGCGCTTGATGTAACATTTGTGTACACAAGATACCCATGTATTCACATGCATATATATATGCAAAGCTCTGTGATCTTGTTTGAGCTTGGCCTTCTTCACATCTTGTCTGTTATCACCATGTCAGTATTCGTTTTGTTTTGTTTTAATACACTGCAGAATATTAATATTAATAAAGTGTAGTATTCGAACATGCCACAGACAGGAAACTGACCAGCCTGCGACTACATTATGAATTTGTTTAACTTGCCACTGTCCCCAAGACAGAAATCACTGCAATGATTTCTTCTTACCCAGCTGTTTTCTAAAAGAAAGTATTGAAACATCGAGCGTGCTTGGACAACATGAATGCCACATGTGGCAATTTCCTTGCTACTAGGGCAAACTTAAAAATGAAACTATGTTCAACCTGTGGTGCCACTTTAATCATAGGAATACATTTCTCAGAGGAAATGAGAGTTCAGGCAGTGACAGAACTTATTTTAGAAGAGTATTATCTATGGAAAAATAAAAATCTATATGTAAAATTTTCTTTAGTGTTTTTTTTTTGTGTGAAAAACTTATACCTTTTCCTGTCACATTAAGAATTCTAAAAATTAAATTTAATTGTACCCCATGTTGTTTTACAGTGATGATACATGCATAAAAACATTAAGTACATTATTGATGAACAAGTAAATTTTTTTTTAAATTGTGCTTACAACAGACCTATTTACAAGGTAGCCCTGATCAGTTAAAGCGAAAAAAAAAAAAAAAGTTCAATACACTTATCTCAAACAACCTGTGGGCCCATAAAATAGATTGCAACATACATCTATACACAGGATCAGTTAATTACCCATGTCTAATTAAATAAATTTGGAGTTCCAGCAAAAAAGAAAGTCCATTTTATCAGTGGATGCTGTTAATTAGACTTTTTAAATTAAGTCTTGATTAGATTTCAGTCAGCTCAGTTACTACACATCTGAGTACCATCCATTTCTATTGTTGAACAAGATAGTTTCATTTTTTTTCCTCTTTCAACCATGATATTGGTAAAATGTTAAGCATTTTCATCAAGAAGCATGTGTCCTTTATCAAGAGATGCTCCTAACCTCTCCAAATCCTTTTACAAAGAGCTTTGATTCTTAGAGATTTTATCAATCTTGGTGTGACAAGAAGTCATTAGCAGTTTTTGGGTTTGTCTGTATGCTCCCAGACTTGGAATCAAACTTTAACTGTTAACGTTACTTCAGTCTGCATCTGCTTCTAATTTTGTTTTATTTCCTGGTTTGAACACCAAAATAAAAATTTGAGTTGCTCCCCTGCATGTGCTAAACTTTAAAAAAAAATGCTGCCAATGTCTAGGTAAAATCACAAGCAGATCGCTATATTAAGCACATTTACATGACATTGATTTCTTTCTACTCCAAGATGGAGGCTGCAAGTATAAATGCAGGAGTCCTTCATTTATAATACTGTACACTGCATCATTTGTGCTTGGGAGACTATACAAGTTCTAGATTTTATAGCACGTCATTAGCATTTTGTATTGCCGTAATGTAATTTCAGTTTATTTGAAAAAATAAAAATATTCTATTTTAAAACCATACATTTTGTACCAATACAGATGTAATGTTTTTTGTACACTGCCTCCATTTTTTTTTTTTCTTTTTTCCTGACTGTTGCAATTCAGAGTTGAGGAAACTTACCAAGGTTTAAGTATTTAGGAGCCCACAAGATCTTGCTTCCTTTTGTATGTATGAAGGGGAGGGGATTTACCCCAATACAAATTTCCTGCTTGCCATAGTGCCGTGTATTTGACACATTCCTTAATCCCACCACCACATCACATTTCAGGAGGAACTATTTAGCAAAGTACTGTGTGTCAGTACAGGGAGCAGACACAGCTCCTCTATTCTACAAATCTCCTCCATTACTAATGTAGTCTAAACATATGCATAAATAGGAGGAATAGAAATAGTTGTATGCACATTTTCCATACCAAAGTAAAGATGAAAATGGCACTTGATGGGTGTTATCTAGGTTGTTGGTACTGTTTGAATTTGTTGTTGTAGAGGCCATCAAGTTATTGTTTGGGTGTGGAACGAAAATGATTGTCAATGCTATGTATAGTATAGTTTTCATTAAAGAAACACTCACATTAGGAATACAAATACACTATAGTATCCTGTTTCCTTTCTAGGTCCCCCGCTCCCTCCCAAATGCATTGTATACACCAAGCGTGTCAAACTCAAAGTGTGGCATGGGCCCCATAAACAAGGTTTAAGTTTATGTGGGACAGACAGACATGGACAAACAGACACGGACACACTTTTCTTTATTGCTCCCTACCTTATGGAGCCGAAGTGGGGCTTCTCCCTGGGGGTCCTTCCTGCTCCTCACGCACGTGGTTTAGTGATGCCGAAATATGACGTCATATTCCGGCGCCCGGCTTCACTTAAGTGAGGAGCTGGAACACTGAGCTCCCTCGCGGCCCTCCTTCCCGGTCGGGTAAATGTTAGCAGAGTAGGCACCTGCAATATGGGATGCCTACTCTGCTATAACAGTGAGCATGCACTCGCCGGGCCGCAAAGATGGTCCTTGTGTGCCGCATGTGGCCCGCGAGTTTGACATGCCTGGTATTCACTGATCAAACCAACTGCCTAATATCGTGTAGATTCCCCTTGTGCCAAAACCACTATGCATCAAGGCATGGACTCCACAAGACCTCAGAACATGTCCTGTGGAGTCTGGCACCAAGGCATTAGCTGGTTTTATAAGCCAGGGGTGCCCAAAAGGTAGGTGCTCAGGTGTTTTAAAACTACAGCTTCAATGATGCTTTGTCATTCAAAAATCATTATAAAGCCATGCAAGGCATAATGGGAGCTGTAATTCAGCAACATCTGAGGATCTACCTTTTTGGTACCCCTGCATTAGCCATACAAGTTGCAAGATGAGGCTCCATGGATTGGATTTGTTGTTTACAGCACTTCCCACAGATGCTCAATCACATTAGGACCTGGGGAATTTGGAGGCCAAGGCAGCATCTTGAACTTTGTCGTGCTCCTCAAACTATTCCTGAACAGTTTTTTTGCAGTGTGGCAGAGTGCATTAGCAAACTGAAAGAGGTCACTACCATCAGGGAACTACATTGCCATGATGAGTAGGTAGGTAGCACATGTCAAAGTAACCTCCACGTGAGTGCCAGGACCCCATGTTTCCCAGCAGAGCATAACACTGTCTCCACTGGCCTACTTTTTTCCCATAGTTCGTCTTGCTGCCTTCTCTTCCCTAGGTAAACAATGTACATACATCCGGCTATCCACCTGATGTAAAATAAAACTTTATTCACCAAACTAGGAAATATTCTTCCATTGCTCCATGATCCAGTTCTGACGCTCACACCCCCATTGAAAGCTTTCAGCAGTGGACAGGTGTCAGCGTAGGCACTCTGACCAGTCTGTGGCAATGCAGCTCCCCATGCAGCAAACTGCAATGTACTGCGTTTTGATACCTTTCTATCATGGTCAACATTTGGTTTTTCAGCACTTTGCGCTACAGTAGCTCTTCTGTGGCATCTGACCAGACCAGCTAGCCTTGACTACCCTTGTCCACCAGTGAGCATTGGACTCCCAAGACAATGATGCCAGTTCACTAGTTGTCCTTCCTTGCACCATTTTTGGTAGGTACTAACCACTGCATTTTGGGAACACAAGACTTGATTTTTTTTTTTTTTTGAAGATGCTGTGGCAGAGTTGTTTAGCCATCACTATTTGGCCACTCAGATCTTTTCGGTTGCCCATTTTTTCTGCTTTCTACACATGAAATTCAAGAACTGACTGTTCTCTTGCTGTCTCATATATCTCAAGTCTTGACAGTTGCCCTTTGTAACAATATAATAAATGTTATTCACTTTACCAGTCTGTAGTTTTAATGTTGTGACTAAACAGTTTGACATTTGGGTTATCTGGATGCCCCTGTGGTGGTTTCGATGACATGTGCAGTGTTGGTGCCATATGAGCTTATGGTGTCAAGGGGTGATTGTGTGCTCTGACGGATGTGATACTATGTGTTTAACCTGGACAGATTGAGATGGAAATATACAGTGCTGTATGATGGGTAATACACTGTCTGGTCCATGAAGGTGGTTAATGGGTTATGTGTTGTCTGTAACAGAGGTTCTACATTGTGTAATTGAGCTTTATGGGAGCTGTAATGGTTTATATGGTTTTATATGGTTTATAATAGTTCATATAAGCTGGTTTGTTTAAAAAAAAAAAATAAAAAAAAAAAATATATATATATATATAAAAAAATATATAAATATATATATATATTCTGACCAATATTTTTCCCAGTTCTGAGGCCGAACTCTGAGATTTAGTAATGGCCCTATTTGAAGATATTTTAGCAATTCTTAGTGCTAGTCACAATAACTTAAAATGTGTAAATGTTCTACTTATTTGTAGTTTTGTTTTAAAAAAAAAAAAGGAAAGTTTTATTTTAAACTAAACTACTCTATTCAGTTTAAAACAAACTTGCCAATATGCTAAAATCTGCCATCCCCACTTCTTTTTCCTTGCAGATTCTACTAATTCTATAAAAAAAAATTCCATTCATTGGCGGCTTAGTTTTGGGGCTCTTTTTGAAAGTCTGATATCAACACCGCTCAAGTGACATTTTTCTTTAATTTGTTTCAGGAAGTAACACATGGTAATGTTGCGAAACAATGTACACAGATGCCTTAGTGAGGAAGTGAAAATGCTGACCAATTAAGTTGTTTTGAGAATCACAGTGGCAGTCTCTTGCAGCTGGGATACTGTTTCAAATGTGACATAGATGTCTTTGTGTAGTAGAAAGAAGCTCTGATTTTAGAAAGGAAAGTGATTTGTATTAATAGTAGCGAGTATTAAAGTCTACCATTTCATAGTTTGTCAAAGTAATGCATTCACTGCATAGGGTTCTTTTGTATGCCAGTTGAACGCTGTGGCCATGTCCTGTCTGCGGTGTTTAGAATTTGAAGCCAAAATTTGTAAACGTTGGGGTGTGATCTTCAGCAAATGAATGCTCACTTTAGTTGATGCATCAATCAACTTTAATAGAAACTTCGTAGTACATGAATGTGTGGGAGCAGAATTATATTTTTAAAACATTTACCTGCTTCTGACGAAGGGTGTATTTCTTTTCCAAACTTTTTTTTTTTTAAATATATTTTTATTGGCATGTACTGTGCACACAGAGAGAAAAACAAAACAGTGAGACTCGCAGGTCTCCGCTATTGGCATGTAGTGTGTACACCGAGAGAATGCCAAAACATTGAGACTCGCATGTCTCCGCTAACTTAGCAAATACCATAGCCCTCATGTACTGTATGATATCAGGCAGTGCGAGATTTGGTTTCTGGTTGTGAGAGCGGTCTTTGATCGGGTGCGCAGGCCCGTATTATGTGTGGACTTTCAGTTCCTTCGTCGTGTGATTGTTCCGAGGGTGTAGTCGTTTATTTGGTGATCTTCTTGAATTATTTAACCATGTGTCTTGCTCTTCATCATTTACGCTCTATCTAAAATAGTTTTATACAGTTGCATGTTCAATTGGGCTCGCAGGCCCGCAATTTCGTCGGACTCTCAGGTCCCTTGTGGGTGGTGCGTGTGCGTATGTCCCTGTTACGTATGCCTGTCTGTGAGAATGTCGCGTAACAGCCCGAGTCCTGTGGTCCGCGTCTCTCGTCCCCACCCCTCTTTGGAGTGCCCTGTTTAGGTGGGGTAGTCTCCTCGTCTACTTGTCAGGGCTTCCCTTGTCTTTTTTGGTGTTTTGTGGGCCCTCTAGTATTGGTGAGCCATTGGTGCTGGGGGTAGGTCCGCCCCTATATGGCTGTCTTCCCTGCTCCTCTCTGGTTTTGTGGCCTCCTATAGCTAACTGCGTGGTGGTATTTATGTCATGTTAGTGAATTCGGGGTCCGTTGTCTTCAGGATCCAATGTGTCCAAGTGTTGAGGTACACTTGGAATGTATCGTGAGCTTTGTGGTGAAGTTCCTCTAGGGATCTCAATTCTTCCATTTGTGTGAACCAGACTCTCAAGGGGGGGTGACCTGTTTTTTCCAATACTGTGGTATTATCAATTTAGCCGTGTTTATGATGCAGTTTGTGCGCGATTTCTTATACGCTGTTCTTGGGGTTTTAGTGTGATGTAAGAGCATGACTGCTGGGCTGAATGGGACTGGTTCATCTGTAAACTTTGCCAGTATTCTGTGAATATCTGACCAGAATGGGGCTATCTGTTTGCACTCCCACCAAATGTGTAAGAGTGTGCCTCTATCTTCCCCGCATCTCCAACACTGTGGGGGGTGGGATGGGATTCGGGCATGTAGTGTCTCAGGGGTGTGGTACCAGTGCGTCAGTAGTTTATATGCCGTTTCCTGTGTCCTGCTGTAGCTAGAGCAGTGATGTGTAAGATAGCAAATTTTTTCCCATTCCGCCTTGTCAAAGACCTGGCCCAGTGCCGACTCTCACTTCCCCATGAACCGTGGTTGGGCAATTGGTGTGAGTGTTATTAGTAGAGTGTACAGTGCGGACATTCCGTGTGCTAGTGGATTGGGATCCAGGCATAGATTCTCAAAAGGAGTAGTGGCCCTATGTAGTACCGGTCCCTGCGGGAGGGACGTAATGTAACTCTGAATCTGTTTGTATTTGAGGTGCATCAGGAAAGTTTGTTCTGTGTTCCCCCTAAGGTCCTTGAGTGTCTTTATGCCGTCGGTGGTTTGTATGTGTCTGAGTCTGGGTAATGGGTCCTGTATTAGGTCTTTGAACGCTTTCGGGTCCATTCCTGGTGGGAACTCTGGGTTGTGTGTCAGGGGTATTAGTGGTGTCGGGTGTGATGTTAGGCCGTGTCTCCCTTTTGAGCGGTTCCATTCCCGTAAGGTCGCTCTCGTGTAAGGGGACCGAGTCTCGTCCCCTGTCTGGACCCCTGGCGGCATCCACAGTAGGACTGCGACAGGGACGCCCGCCTCATGTTCCTCTACCTGCTTCCACTGTTTTTGTGTTCCCGTTTTGGTCCATTCCATGATTCTCATAAGATGGCAGGCCCTATAGTAGAGGTTGAAGTCTGGCAATGCCAGTCCTCCCCTGTCTTTTGGTTGTGTGAGTAGTGTGTGGCGTAGCCTGGGCTTTTTCCCATTCCAGACATATTTGGTGAGGGCCGTGCGTAACGTGGTGAAGTACGCTCTGGGGACTGTTATGGGTATGGTTTGGAATAAGTAGAGGAGGCGCGGCAGGAAGTTCATCTTCACCACTTGTATCCTGCCTAACCAAGAAATGTGTGGGTATGCCCACTCCTGCATCTCCAAGCGCATCCTCTCATGCATTACCGTGAAGTTTTCTTTATAGAGATCCCCTTCCCGCTTTGTTAGCCAGATGCCTAGATATTTAATTTTATGTGTTGCCCATTGGAAGGAATAGTGTTGGCATAAAAGTTCCGCCCTACGTTCTGGGACGTTAATGTTAAGTATAAATGATTTGGAGAGGTTTATTTTAAAATTGGAGAGTCTACCGAAGTCCTGAAATGCCTTCAGTATATTGGGGAGAGAGATTTCTGGGTTGGTTACGTAAAACAGCAAGTCATCAGCATACGCTGCTGCTTTGTGGTGTGTCGTCCCCGTCTGCAACCCCGTGATGTCCGGGTTGTTCCTAATGGCCACCAGCAGGGGCTCCAGGGCTAGGACGAAAAGGAACGGGGACAAGGGGCACCCCTGGCGTGTGCCGTTTTGTATGTCAAACGGCTCTGTCAGGGCACCGTTAACTACCACCTGCGCGGAAGGTTGCTGGTATAACACCTCTATCCATCCCCTGATACCAGGGCCCAGGCCGAGGTGAGTTAAGGTCTGGAAAAGGTATCTCCATCCGACCCTATCGAAGGCCTTCTCCGCGTCCGTGGATAGCAGGAGAAGGCCTTCCGTGGCCCGCCGTCTCCCGTGTATCAGTGTGAGGGTGCGTATAGTGTTGTCGCGTGCCTCTCTCCCCATCACAAACCCCACCTGATCAGGGTGTATCAGGTTGGGCACATGCGTCTGCAGTCTAGTCGCAAGGATTTTGGCTAATAGTTTTAGGTCGCTATTTATGAGCGAGATGGGGCGGTAATTTCCACACTGCTCCCTGTCCCTGCCCTCCTTAGGGAGTACTGTGATGTGTGCTGTCTGGGATTGCCTAGGGAGGTGGTGTCCTTCTTTGATGGCATGGAATGTCAGTGTGAGTGGGGTGTATAGTATGTCTGCATATGCCTTATAATAGCAGAGCGGCAGGCCATTTGCAGCAAAGGCATCAGCAGCTCTGGCCCAGTACAATGTCAAGATGTATTGTAGCCAACTGGGCAGAGAGCTGTTCCTCAGACACTTTGCTGGGCTAAGGACCCCAGTTTGTGCAATATGTGCAGCAACCAAGCATTCTGACAATTTCTGTCCAGTTTCATATGACACTATCCCTACCATGGCCATCCCAGGCACTACGAGGGTAGAGGAGCAGGGCAAGGATAAATTGGGCTGTCCGATAGTATACCTGGGCAAGTCACAGATATGCAATAACTTTAATGTAGGTGCTTGTGCTTATAGTGCCTGTCGACTGTTACACATTTGCTCTCATTGTTTCAAGGCACACGCAAAAGCTACGTGCCCAAATAAATTGCATCATAAACCCTATTTCACATCGGTTAATGTTGGTGTTCTAGCTAATCTGCTGTCCACTCATCCTTATAAACATCTCCTTGAGTTTTGATAGCGGGTTTTACCCACGGTTTCCACACAGGCCTTATTTACATGCCAGCGGGGACTTGGGAATGTAATAACCTACAATCAGCCATAGTCAGTAGAGATGTTATTACAAATAGAATGGGAGAAAGGGTTTGTATTACGGCCATTCAGAGCCTCCTTTTTCTAACTAACTCTATTGGCCTGGTCACGGGAAAAAACACGACTAAGCAGAGATTGATCATAGATCTCTCTGCACCACATTCCTCTGTAGTTCCTAGCCTTAGCTCTCTGAACCCCTCTGAAGAGTTCTCAGTGCAGTACACTACAGTTGACGATGCAGTTGAAGCTATATTGGCTGGCATTGGGGCTTGGCTTAGCAAGACTGACATCATAAATGCATTTAAGTTACTCCATCATTATGGCACCTGCATGGCATTAAAAGGAACACTATAGGATCAGGAACACAAACATATATTCCTGACCCTATAGTGTTAAAACCAACATCTAGCCCCCCTTGGCCCCTCATGCCTCCCTAAATATAGTAAAATCTTAATTAAAAGTGGTGATTTTTAGGAGATCAATGTCAATCTAGCTGTCAGTGAGGCTTGCTTCCTCCTTCGGTTAGCTCAGCTGAGTGGCAAGTGTGCTGCTCTACTTGAGCACATCTGCCTTTTCTTCACAGTTAGTCTTCACAGACCTCACAACAGGTAAGCGTTCTTCCTTTACACCGTTGCAGTGCACACACATGCAAGCAGGTGTGCTTGGGCATCGAATGATAGATTGATATGTTTTTTTTTCCCTCAATAGAGACTATACATTTATTCCGGAGAAGTAGGGGATGGTTTGCAAAGGTTGCAGTCATATGAACTGCATAATTTCTAAGTCGTTATTAGATATACCCTAGTGGCTGCATGCATAATTAAATGCATGAATTTATTCATTGGTGGTATATCTACTAAATAGATAATTTGAATTGCTATTAAAAAAAAAAAAAAAAAATTTAAAAAAAATCACACTGTGGATTAATCCTTTAAGCTTAAATAGTTCTAGATTACCACATTGTCGCAGCTCTTGGTGTCTCTTGAGAAGTGCAGTGTTGGAAGCAAAGACAATGGTTGCTAACAAGCCTTGTGTATATACTAAAGGAAGCTTCCCTGATTGGTTGCAATTTGAAGTTTTCAAGTATTGTTTTTATGTAAGCTATTAGCATGCTTAATTGCTATGCAATCAGAAAGAAATAAACAATTTCTACTTAAAACTGCAAAATGAAAGGCAATCATCTAAACAAAAAAGGAAACTTCTCATATGTAAGCATACTTGAATATTGGCATTATTTTCTTTTTTTGTGCTTAATTATAGGTGGCTGTTTGAGCACTGAATTCATGAATGTGACCCTGAAACATCAGCCAGGCTTTGTTGTTTCTGAGTACTGGCATTGAGAGAACTTAGCAGCATTGTGTGTTTCACTGATAATGGTTAGTGCCAGAATAGCTGTTAATTAGCTACTTTTGTTTGATGTGGAAAGTACTGGGTTCCATATTCCTTTTCCCACTAGCTTCGATATTCAGTTGAAACCTGTATCTGAGAAGATGCTTGTTTCTCTCTTGCCTCCCTGCTCGGATGCTAAGTAAAGTTAAAGGTTTTTTTTTGGGGGGGGGGTTTCTCGAGTAATTTTTGTGAAAATGTCCGTTCATTGTTTGTAATATTTTGACACTGTTAGACTGATGGGTACCTCAAGAGAACCTATGTTTCTTGCCAAAACGTTAAATAAATCCAGGCAAGCACACATTTTATTACTGCCTATCAAATACTTACAACAAATTAAGTTTTTGGAAAGAAAAAAAATCCGCAACCAGAACTGTCTCAAACGTCTGTGATTCTGGTGAAATAACACAATAGCAAAAGGGTTTGCACCCTTTTAACCAAAATAGCCAAGTTGCTAAAATAGGGGAGAATTGTTCCAGTTTGGCTGTTTTGGCTACATGATGGCATTCCCTTGTTCTCTGTAATGTTTATAGCTCCATATGTGTTTAGGTAAACTAATGCACAATTTATCCATTGGTCCTACAGATCCTAGAGGTGCTAAAATGTATAGTAAATCATAATTCCAAAAAATGAAGCAACTCAAAGTGGGCTCAGTTTGCGTGTTTATGGAGTTTCTTTATTGTGCACGTGGATCCCCACATAGAAAAGTAAGGCTAGGAACCCTCTAAGAGACAGTTTCTGGTGAAAAGTACAATATAGGAACCCAGATGTCTTCATCTCATTGAAGTGGTCTGGGTGCTTTGGTCTTGTCATTTTAGCCCTGCAGCTGCAAACATTGCAGTTTCAGAGAAACTGCAATGTTTGCATTACAGGATTAAAGGGACACTATAGTCACCTGAACAACTTTAGCTTAATGAAGCAGTTTTGGTGTATAGAACATGCCCCTGCAGCCTCACTGCTCAATCCTCTGCCATTTAGGAGTTAAATCCCTTTGTTTATGAACCCTAGTCACACCTCCCTGCATGTGACTTGCACAGCCTTCCATAAACACTTCCTGTAAAGAGAGCCCTATTTAGGCTTTCTTTATTGCAAGTTCTGTTTAATTAAGATTTTCTTATCCCCTGCTATGTTAATAGCTTGCTAGACCCTCCTGTATGTGAATAAAGTTCAATTTAGAGATTGAGATACAATTTTTTTAAGGTAAATTACATCTGTTTGAAAGTGAAATCAGTTTTTTATTTCATGCAGGCTCTGTCAATCAGAGCCAGGGAAGGTGTGACTAGGGCTGCATAAACAGAAACAAAGTGATTTAACTCCTAAATAACAGTCAATTGAGCAGTGAAATGATCTATACACTAAAACTGCTTTATTTAGCTAAAGTAATTTAGGTGACTATAGTGTTCCTCAAGCCTGCCTCTTATGGGTTTCTACCATACAGCCACTAGAGGTGCTTCCTGACCTTTAAATTATTTGAATTAGACAATATTTTCTATGCACTTATTTTAAACTAAATTTGGCTGTTCCATTTTCAGTTCGCTGTATTGTGAATAAAGCATAAACTGCGGATTCACAGCCCTCCTCCCACCTTGCAGTGTGAAGTATTAAGTACTTTGCATTTGTATTATTGATTCTTTGAATAAGGAAAAAGCCCCTGTAATTCACAGAAACCTTGGTTTGGACTTTCATGTAATAAAAGGTCTGATTACAGAAGTTAAACAACTGAAGTGGCCTTTAACAACCTAGCATACAAGTTACCTTTCATTTCTATAAAATGCGAGCGCTTGGCAATAGCTGCTACTTTTGCCGTAATGTTCAGTAATTAATTTTATCTTATTGTGATTACACAGTGACTTCATGTGGAGGTAATTCACTAGCGGCAATTCAAAGCTCAGGATTGCTATATTTCAGCAGGTAGCCTTCAATGTTCCTATTTATCTTTTGAAAACCTCTTCTGTATCATCATGTAGGTTAAGTACATCTGCGAGGGAACTTCATGTAACAGCCTAATAATGCCGAAGCATACTTCATAATTGATCGGGCCTCATGAGGAGTTACACCCTGCAGAATTATGATAGTGTACACTATTTGTAGTGATTATGAAGCTGCCCAGTAAGATTTTATAACATTAAACAGTACTATGTGTAGCATGTAAATTAAGTTTAGACATGATGTGCACATACTGCAAATAGAAGGCATATGGAATAACTTTTTCCTTGGTTGAAACCACATTTTTGCTGTAGTCAACAAAATGTCACGATTGAATACGACTTCGTAAAAGCAGCAGTGTAATGCTGATTATTTAATGTGAAAATTGTTTTTTTGTTGGTTTTATCTGAAGAGACGCGCGCACACAAACAGTTTCCTTTTTGCATAAGCAGAGAGAATGACTGTGCATTTGTGCACAATACTCACAGTATATATAGAGTTAAGTAAAGTATTTTAAAATGCTATAGCAGTCTTTATCAAATGAGTGAGTGTGTGTCGGTCTGTCAGTGAGTGGTTCTCTGTCTCAGTGAGTGTCAGTCAGTCATGGTCTCTGTTTAGGTGATCGGGTCCCCTCCAATCACTTGGGAAAGTTGTTTATTCACCTTTTCCCCCATACTGTGCCGATCTCGCGGTGGCTGGCTCCACCTCCATGGCTGAGATCACTAAGAAACATCTCTAGTGCCCGTCTGAGTGACTGTCACTAGAGTTGTCACTGGGCAGCAATGTAAGCACTGCCTTTTCTCTGAGAAGCCTTCAGGGACGGGCTGCAAACACCAGAACCACTACATTAAGCTGGTTCTGGTGACTATAGTGTCCTTTTAAGAATATTTTTGTTGTTGAAAATAATGCTTTGTTTAAAAACAAACTGGTTCCTACATTTTTTTTTAATTTTTTTAAATTTTTTTTTAAATGCTGGTTCCTACATTCCAAGCAAATTTGTCAAATTCTAAAGTACATGATTTTCAACTTGTACTTTACAAAACAGTTTTTGTATACATTATACTAAATCTATCAGATTGCTTTATGACAAAAAAAAAGCTAAAACTAAAAAGGTTTATACTCTATTTGGATATTGAAGGAGTTAAAGTCAACAGGCATTAATTAGAACAAGTACTATTTCCACAAAGTTGTTGACTATTTGCACTTGATGTTACCTGTGTACGTTTCTGTTATTATATTGGCATAACAATGTCAAAACAGGGTATGCAGTCCAAGCAAAATGAAAGTAGCACACCACAATTTACCCATTGAAGTGGTTTGGGTGCAGTGTCCCATCACACATTTTTAATAAACTGCAATAATTACCTGCTATGGTTAACTCCTCCTCTAGTGGCCACTAGAGGGACTTCCGTGTCTTTAGGCGCCTAAATGATGCTGGACGTCCTCACGCTATGCATGAGTACTTCCCGCGTCACCAGAATTGCCATAGTAAAGCATTGAATAATAGCATTGCCGCGTATGTGCATTAGGTCTCTCTCCTGCCGGTTGATGCTGGGGAGGAGTTAAGGCGGACTCGAGCCAACGCCAAGGGACATCAGTGCTGGACCCAGGTGAAGGAACTGGGGGGAGGAGGGGGCTTGACAGAGGAGGAAGCTATAGTGCAGCGGTAGACAACCTTGGGCACCCCAGATGTTGTGGATTACATCCCCCCCATAATGCTGGCAAAGCATCATGGGAGGTGTAGTCCAAAACATCTGGAGCGCCGAAGATTGCCTATGCCTACAATAGTGCAAGGAAAAAGTGTTTTCCTGGCACTATAGTTTCCATTTAACTAGATTTCTATGTATTCTATATTACAGAGAGGTTGTAATAAAGCACAAAATGAACTACTCCCCTAAGACCATGCAGTGGTGTAGAAAGGAAAGGGTTATTAAATAAATTAAATGCAGTTTATTTTTTATTTTTGCTTCTGAAATTCATGTTGACCATTTTATTTTCATTGCTAAATAATTTAAATGTATATTAGAAGCTTGTTAATATTAACATTTTGCCTAAGAAACAGAAAGCAGTATGCATGGACCACTAAAATTAACTTCTATTTTTCATCTGTAAAATATCTCTTGTTCTAATATTGTAGTTCTTCCAATAAATGTGCCTTTTTTTATTTTAGTCTTGTATTGCTGAGTGATGGCTACAGTTTTGACAGATGCAGATGAATCCCGGGTCAGACTTGTACACTATAAAGATTAAAATAAAATGGATAACATTTAAAGAAAACATCAATCTCTTTCAGTAGCATGCCGTGTTACATACAGAGAATACTAATGAAAGGCAGCACAGTCACATTAATGGTATTTACATTTCAGCAGGACATACACATATCCTGTGTAAATGATGGCTATAGCTGGTACACGCCTTTATAATTTTCCCATTCACACATAATGAGACATGTTTTTTGTTTTTATTTTTGTCTAATTGTCTTTTAGCTCTCTATATAATCTTCAACAGTAAATTGCTTTTCAAAATGTTTTCTTCAGTTGATGGCAGGATTTTTTTTATTTTTCAGGGCTTTTTTTGTTGTTGCTTTATCTTTCATGTTTTGGTAGGAAAAGTAGTTTGCCCTCCCACCTCCTGGACAGCATCCATTTTTTAAGCTGCATTCTTAGTGAGCTGTCCAGGAGGTGGGAGGGTCTGCTGCTGATTGACTGGAATGTGTCTGCTGACTGTGAGGTACAGGGTCAAAGTTTACTCAATGATGAGTCCGCGGCGAACCGTTTGGGACATCACTACTCTTAAAACCTATGGTGTCAATTTGTTTCTGCTCTAATTTAAAGGTTGGCTTTTTTTTTTTTTTTTTTAAATAATCCCGCTCTCATTAAATAATGGTTCTTAACCACAGGGCAAATGAAAATTAGATTGCTGCCAAGTGACTCAAATCTTTAATATAATGCAAATTTATATAAGGCCTGTTTTGTGTATTGCATGTAGTATTAAAATATTACAACAATATCGTCCGTAAAAGTGCAGTTCATGTGTGAAAAATGCAAAAAAGTCACTTTTACTAAAAATATCATCGTTTTAATTCAATTTACCATTTTGAAACACTAATATTTGTGTTGAGCAAAGTCTCCTGAGTAAAACAGTACCCCCCATGTACAGGTTTTATGGTGTTGGAAAGTTACAGGGTTAAATATAGTGCTTGCGAATCAAATTCTCTGCGATTTCTGCCTGGGTTGTCAGGCATGTCAATCAAATTTTAATTAATAAAATAACATAATTATGTTAAAAGATTACTTAAATATACATATATGTATTTAAATTGTACGTGTATACTTTTGTAATCTTTAATGTAAATATATATTTATATATATATATACATATGTGTATATATATACACATATGTTTGCAGTTATTTGTATTTGATATATAGAATGTAATTCTAAGTGTATTTTGTTACATATATATATATATATATATATAAACAAAATAGTTAGAATGAAATTACATGTGTATCTAATTTTCATTTAAAAAAAAAATTGTTTAATATTGTAATTATATGTGTATATATATTAATATAATATGTACAGTTGCAAGAAAAAGTATGTGAACCCTTTGGAATTATATGGATTTCTGCACAAATTAGTCATAAAATGTGATCTGATCATCATCTAAGTCTCAACAAAAGACAATCACAGTCTGCTTAAACTAATAACACACAAAGAATGAAATGTTGCCATGTTTTTATTGAACACACCATGTAAACATTCACAGTGCAGGTGGAAAAAGTATGTGAATCCCTAGACTAATGACATCTCCAAGAGCTAATTGGCGTGAGAGGTCAGCCAACTGGAGGCTAATCAATGAGATGAGATTGGAGGTGTTGGTTACAGCTGCCCTGCCCTATAAAAAACACACACCCGTTCTGGGTTTGCTTTTCACAAGAAGCATTGCCTGATGTGAATGATGCCTTGCACAAAAGAGCTCTCAGAAGACCCACGATTAAGAATTGTTGACTTGCATAAAGCTGGAAAGGGTTATAAAAGTATCTCCAAAAGCCTTGCTGTTCATCAGTCCACGGTAAGACAAATTGTCTATAAATGGAGACAGTTTAGCACTGCTGCTACTCTCCCTAGGAGAGGCCGTCCTGTAAAGATGACTGCAAGAGCACAGCGCAGACTGCTCAATGAGGTGAAGAAGAATCCTAGAGTGTCCGCTAAAGACTTACAAAAGTCACTGACAAATGCTAACATCCCTGTTAGCGAATCTACAATACGTAAAACACAAAAAAAGGATGGATTTCATGGGAGGATACCACAGAGGAAGCCACTGCTGTCCAAACAAAATATTGCTGCACGTTTACAGTTTGCACAAGAGCACCTGGATGTTCCACAGCAGTACTGGCAAAATATTCTGTGGACAGATGAAACCAAAGTTGAGTTGTTTGGAAGAAACACACAACACTATGTGTGGCGAAAAAAAGGCACAGCACACCAACATCAAAACCTCATCCCAACTGTGAAGTATGGTGGTGGGGGCATCATGGTTTGGGGCTGCTTTGCTGCATCAGGGCCTGGACGGATTGCTATCATCGAAGGAAAAATTAATTCCCAAGTTTATCAAGACATTTTGCAGGAGAACTTAAGGCCATCTGTCTACCAGCTGAAGCTCAACAGAAGATGGGTGTTGCAACAGGACAATGACCCAAAGCATAGAAGTAAATCAATAACAGAATGGCTTAAACAGAAGAAAATACGCCTTCTGAAGTGGCCCAGTCAGAGTCCTGACCTCCACCCATTTGAGATGCTGTGGCATGACCTCAAGAAAGTGATTCACACCAGACATCCCAAGAATATTGCTGAACTGAAACAGTTCTGTAAAGAAGAATGGTCAAGAATTACTCCTGACCGTTGTGCACGTCTGATCTGCAACTACAGGAAACGTTTGGTTGAAGTTATTGCTGCAAAAGGAGGTTCAACCAGTTATTAAATCCAAGGGTTCACATACTTTTTCCACCTGCACTGTGAATGTTCACATGGTGTGTTCAATAAAAACATGGCAACATTTCATTCTTTGTGTGTTATTGGTTTAAGCAGACTGTGATTGTCTATTGTTGTGACAATTTTATGACCAATTTGTCCAGAAATCCATATCATTCCAAAGGGTTCGCATACCTATTCTTGCAACTGTATATCTTATATATATGTAACTTCATTCTAAGTGTATTTTAATACTAATATATGTACTTTTTTTTTTTTTTTTACACTACCCACCAGCAGGGGGCCATGTGATCTTTTTTTGAGTGCGATCACATGGCTCCCGGGGGCCTAATTTGCCGCGGGATGGCTGCCTGGACTGTCGGGCAGTCCTCCCGAAGAGGATTGCGGTGGAGGTAAGTACCGCAGACCTCCTGGGGGCTTAAGCAGTTACGGCATTCTATGCCGCCTCAGCGGCTTTAAAGCCCATTAGAATGGGGACAACATCGAACGCCGAAACGGCGTTAAGGGGTTAACAATCTTGCAATGTGTTGATTCCCCTTTACATTAAATACAATTGTACCTAGTATACATTGACCTTTCAATGTATACTTTTTGCCTGCTATATCATCTTTAATTCAAGCTAAATACGGGGTTGTAGATTTCTACATTTATTTAAAATTTTCATACATCTCAAAAACACTTAAATCATATATAGGGGATAAGTAAACCTTTAAAATTCTGGAAAGTGATGTCTCCGCTTTAAGAAATATTGTTGTAATGTATAAACTATTTCTATTTATAGTGATTAATTCAGCTTTAAAAAAGAGGAACAAGACCATGACTGGAAATAACTAGTACTGTTTCAGTTACTTAGCAGTCGGATAGCCTCTTGCATGACTTTTTTTTTTTTTTTTTTTTTTAAATGCATTGCAGTAATCTTAAATTAAACAAAGAACATTTTGAAATGGTGGCCTGATTTTCCTTACTGGGCATACTTTGCTACACTACTTCCACTTTGTGAACTCTTGCCATTAGAAGCACAGTAGGTGCAAAAGTCTTTGCTAATTTCTCTGGCTATAAATGCACAATTAAAACCATGGATCAGCAGGGGTCAGGACAATCAGTGTGTACCAACACAGAGTGTTAAAGAATTGCTGCTGCTGTTCAAACAGATAATTAGTGTATCATTTGAAACCTGTTTTCTGCACAGGCCAATGACTTATAATGCTTTTAGCTAATTACATGAGGGGAAAAAACTTGTATAGAGTAACATTTTATACTAATTTACTGGAGTATCTTGAATATACATTTGACATCGATGGAATTTTTGTGGTTATTTGAATTACTCATATTTGGATTCTTTTGTTGCTGATCCAACTAAACAAAAATAATGTAGCACATGATTCCGATTTATTTTTGTAGACTTAAATCCAGATTTTTTTATTTTTTTTTACACATTCTCAATCTTTAAATTCTAATCCCTACAAAAAATAAACTGTAGGGGAGACAGACCGCTTTAAAGTGAACCTGTCATAACGGATATAGGTTAGCAATTTTCTAATCTGCCTTGACTCATGTCAGACAAGAAGTGTTTCTTTAATACTATTAAAAACTAATTTTCTCTCTCCACTCATATTTACTGTCCCGCCTTTTCACCCTTCTCCCCTCTTTATCCCCTGTATGTAGAGGGGAGGAAGGGTGGGGGAAATTAGGAGAATGTTCGAAACACTAGAATAAGAAAAATACTTTCTTTCCCTTTCTTGCTTTTTCTCTCTCCTCTTTCTTGATTTCCCCATGATCACCTATATTTATAGAGGAGGGTTGGGGAGAGAGTAAGAATTGTCGAATTACCAGAGTTAGTGGAATAATAAGACAATATCATCTTATAGCATACTCCGTAGAAAATCTGACCACTCTTATCTTCATATATAGATGTGTAAAGCGCTACGGAATATGTTGGCGCTATATAAATGATGATAATAATAATAATAATAATAATAATGAAGATTTAAAAGACGCAGTTGGCCAGACAACGGACAACCGGGTCTTGATTTTCCAAATGAATTGGATGTTAGCAGCATTTACTGCTATATGTATGGTTTTAGATGTATGTGTAAAGGTTTTTTTGTATGTAAACATAAAAAAAAAAAAAAAATCTAGAAAGATCTATCCTTCCTCTAATGGAAATTCTTAAAGGACCACTCTAGGCACCCAGACCACTTCAGCTTAATGAAGTGGTCTGGGTGCCAGGTCCTTCTAGGGTTAACCCATTTTTTTATAAACATAGCAGTTTCAGAGAAACTGCTATGTTTATGAATGGGTTAAGCCTTCCCCCTAATCCTCTAGTGGCTGTCTCATTGACAGCCACTAGAGGCGCTTGCGTGCTTCTCACTGTGATTTTCACAGTGAGAGCACGCAAGCGTCCATAGGAAAGCATTGTAAATGCTTTCCTATGCGACGGGCTGAATGCGCGCGCAGCTCTTGCCGCGCGTGCGCAATCAGCCCAGGAGGAGGAGAGGAGGCAGAGAGCTCCCCGCCCAGCGCTGGAAAAAGGTAAGTTTTTAACCCTTTCCCCTTTCCAGAGCCGGGCGGGACCCTCAGGGCACTAAACGAGTATGTTTTCCTGGCACTATAGTGGTCCTTTAAGTCAGAATTTATAATAATGCGTAGTAAGAGATCATATCTGAAAAATTGTAAAAATGTTATCATTAAAGGCTCAAGGTCTAAATACACCTTTCGAGATCTTGCCTTTTTGAGTTTTTGAGAAAAGAACGTATACAAATAACTCTGCTTCCAGAAAATCTCTGGTTGAAAGAAGATATAAAAAGGTTTCTGCCAAATAAATTCTTGATAAAAAAAAAAAATGTGTATATGTGTAACAAAAAAAATAAATCTAGATTTCCAAGTAATATCAGGAAATAGACCAAGAAGCACAATATATAATACCTGTATGTAAAATACAAGATCAGCTTTATACCATCACAAACCCATATGCCTCAAATAATCAAAGTAGAAAATTTATGGGAAAATTATCAAAAATGGAATTTTAATAATGTACTGAATCCTGAAATAGGATATCAAAGAGTAGAATACTCCCCCACCCCCAACCCCTAAAATAAAAATACGAATGAGTCAGTACAGTTTTCTTAAGTAATAAAAATCATAATTTTTTTAGGCATATGGAGAATAGATCACCCAAAATAGACTACACTTGCTATCAAGCCTATTCTAGAATTGATCTATTCTTGGGTAATAAACTATATAATAGTGTAAAAGTATAAAAATACAGGAAATATCATGCTCCGATCATAACACAGTGATTTTAGAATTAATTCTAAATACCCCCAGTGTAAAAAGAACAAAGTGGGGCATGAATGATTATATCTTAAATAATAAGGAAGTAAAATCAATAAAAGAAAAAAATCAAGGAGTATTTCTTACATAATAAAAACGAAGTATCGGCACCAATGCTTTGGTCCGCATTTAAGTCAGTGATTAGAGGCCACTTAATAAAGCTGGGAGCACAAAATAAAGAAAAATCCTTTATTACTTTTGGATCTTTATATAATGTTAAGTAGAAAAAATAAGGAAAATCCTACTGTCGCTTAATCTAAGAAAATGGGACATAAGAAAACAATGATTTCTTAAGAATACAACAGCTAGGAACCTGGAATATTTAAAAACCAAATGGTATTACAAAGGCAATAGAGCGGATAAAATGTTGACCAATAAAGTAAAAGGAAAAAAAAATACAAATTATATACACAGAATCACAACAGAAAATGGTTCTCCGTTAACTCCACAAAAAATAGAAGCATTTAATCTTTATCAAAAGTTATACAATGCCCCAAATTTGAATCATAATTTAGAAGTTCTCACTAACAAAATGAAAACTCTATGAAAAGAACAATTTAAATGAAATAAATGTCCCCTTTACAGTGCAAGACATATTGTTGCCTTTCGACTCACAAAAAATTAATAAAACACCAGGACCGGTTGGTTTCCCAAACCTGTTTTATAAAACTTTCAAAATTAGATTATTAATGAAATGTCTAATGCTTTTAACGAAATGGTGAAACAAAAATCTTTACCAGAAGAAATGTTATATGCAAATATTGTACCTATATTAAAACCAGATTTAGTGTCAAGTTATCGACCAATTTCGTTGATCAATTTAGACACAAAAATATACACATCAATATTAGCTTACATAATAGAAAAAATAACAAGCTTACTACATCCAGACCAAACAGGATTAATTTAAAACTAAATCATATTCTAATAATATTAGAAAAATTATTGATATATTAGACAAAGCTGAGAGATCAGGACTCCCATTGCTGGCCCTGTCTTTAGATGCTGAAAAAGCATTTGACAGGGTCAGCTGGGACTTCCTAAATTTTTTTTAGTATTAACTGTGGATTTACAGGATGGATTTTTGCTGCAATATGGGCCCTGTACACAAGTCCCAAGACGAGGAGGGTGGTGGGGGGAGGGAATATCCTCTGATTGGTTTAGGGTAACCAATGGCACGAGGCAGGGATGTCCCCTTTCCTCGCTGTTGTATTTATTATCTATCGAGTCTTTAGCCAACGATATAAAAAATAACCAAAAATAAAAGGTTTTAGAAGCATTAAAAATGAATACAAAATCTCACTATTCGCGGAATGATGTAATTTTATCAATAGACAATCCAATTACATCACTTAGAGAATGTGAGAACTATTGAAAATTATAGCGAAATTTCAAATGATAAATTAAACATTGAAAAATCATCAATAGTTGGTGGGAAAAAAAAAACTGAAGCAAAAAGAGAAATAAAGAACACTTGTGATTTTAAATGGGTCAAAAAAGAATAATCATATTTGGTAATAAAACTAACATCCCCAAAAGATAGTCGAGGCTAATGTATTGACCTTAATTAAACAAATGAATAGGCAACTCAAACAACTTAAAATTCTGAAATATCTTGGCTTAGAAGAATCAACGTCATTAAGGCATATATCCTTCCAAAATGGTTATATATATTCTGAATGTTATCTTTAAAGATCCCCAAATCATGGTTAACAATGATTCAATCTTCTAAGGATGGAGGACTGGGTTTTCCTAATATATCAAGTAAGCAAAGCATGTGAAATATGCCATATAATCAACACCTTAAAGGACCACTCTAGGCACCCAGACCACTTCAGCTTAATGAAGTGGTCTGGGTGCCTGGTCCAGCTAGGGTTAACCTTTTTTTTTTTTTTTTGTAAACATAGCCGTTTCATAGAAACGGCTATGTTTATAAATAGGTTAATCCAGCCTCTAAAGCCTCTAGTGGCTGTCTCATTGACAGCCGCTAGAAGCATTTGCGTGCTTCTCACTGTGAAAATCAGTGAGAAGACACAAGCGTCCATAGGACTCCTCTGAGACTGGCTGAATGCGCGCGCAGCTCCTGCCGCGCATGTGCATTCAGCCGAAGAGGCGGAGAGGAGGAGAAGAGCTCCCCGTCTGGCGCTGGAGAAAGGGGAGTGTTTAACCCCTTCCTCTCCCCAGAGAGGTGGGGGCACCCTCAGGGCACTATAGTGCCAGGAAACGAGTATGTTATCCTGGCACTATAGTCTAAAAGATAAAAGAAAGGCTTTAGAGAGAAAACAATAAGAAAACAAAGGCGACGGAGAGAGAATTGTAAATAAAAATTGTAAGATGTCCGTCAAATATCTTATTGTTTATATTTAAATATTCATAAAAATTTAAAGGGACACGATAGTCACCAGAACAACTACAGCTTATTGAATTTGTTCTGGTGTGTGGAATCATTACCTTCAAGCTTTTTGCTGTAAACACTGTCTTTTCAGAGAAAATGCAGTGTTTACATTACAGCCTAGTGATAACGTCACTGGCCACTCCTCAGATGGCTGTTACAGATCCTTCCTGGGTCATGGTTGCCTAAAATGCATCCAAACATTCAGTATCTCCTCCCTCTACATGCAGACACTGAATTTTCCTCATAGAGATTCATTGATTCAATTCATCTCTATGAGGAGATGCTGATTGGCCAGGACTGTGTTTGAATCATGCTGGCTTTTCCCCTGATCTGACTCTTTGTCAGTCTCAACCAGTCCTTTGTGGAAGCATTGTGATTGGATCAGGCTATCACTTCTGGTGATGTCAGAGGTAGGTCAAAAGGAAACGGTGACAAACTATGCAGCTGCAGGTTTGAATTCAAGTAAGATTTTACTATATTTGGGGAGGGGGCAGGGGGGCTACATGGTGGTTTTAACCCTATAGGGTCAAGAATACATGTTTGTGTTCCTGACCATATAGTGATCCTTTAATATAATTGGTATAAAAATTAAATATGCATTCTATAACTGATACTAATGTCTATGTATGTCTTTGTTTCACTGTCTGTTGTATTTGTGAAATGGAAAAAAAGTCAAAGAACAGAAATGGGGAAAAAAATATAAAAATTAGCATTTTAATTTATTTCCATTACCCCTGTCTACTACTCGCAACATCATTCGTCTTTTCACTGAGATTTACACTTGCCAAAAGACATGTCTCCTCTATACCCTTCTTTGGGAAGCTCTGACTTGGTTCCCATAACAAGTCCCTAACACCTTATGTTGGCTTTGATTAGATACAATTTATCTGTTCTCTCTCCCCCCATTCCTAGATTGCCTACCCAAATCTACTGCCTACCCAAATCTACTGCATTATCATTTTGGTTGGTTGGTTCTCCCGTCTTTGTACTGCTCCCAAAAAGAGCCTGTTCCTCCTCACTACTTCCCCTTGCAGGCATTGCTTTCCATCAGGCTAAATTTTGTACTCAAGAGTTGGAGGGTTTCCCTGGTAAGACATGCAGAGCACAGTCTTCTTATGTCTGTGCTGATCGGCACCGTCTGAATTGACTAGAAGGAAGGAAGGAGGCTGTTTTTTTTATTTATTTTTTATCTGATTTAAGAGTAATCTTGAAATTTGCTAACAATTCTGCTAGCACGATGTATAGATGAAATTTGATTCTCTGTCATTGAAGATTAAGTTGTACTTTTCATGACAGGTACCTTTTAACAAACAATTAGTCGGGTATGAGGAGAGAGTCAGGTCATATGGAAAAGGGATATGCAGAAAGACATATTACAGATTGCCAAGTAATGCAATGCAGTGCCAGGTGCCTATGGAACTCCATACAGTACCAATCACAGTACCTGATGATTAGGTATGTGACTTGTGATAAAGATGTCTGCCCATAGGGTTATAAATGGGAACATGTTGCTTCCATGGTAGAGGGAAGTGTAAAGGCGAACAAAACCACAACAAAAATGGGAGTGAGGACATTTTGTGAACTGTTGTAATGACGATTGACAGAAACAAGAGTGGAGTAGGGTAGCTGGATTTAAAAAAAAAAAAAAAAAAAAATAGTGTTTTGTAGCTCGGAAATCATATTCTTGTCCATTCTTTGTGTCTCACATTGACAAACAAGATTTTTGTGCCACAGGAAAGAGTTCAAGTTGTAAATTGAAGTAATTTAGTGTAATTTTTTTTTTCTTTTTTTTTTCTTTTTCTTCAAATTCAGTCATGTCTCTATTACTAGATCAAATGCTGTCTGTGTGTTGGAAAATGTCAGAATTATGCTGTAACTCTTAAAAGTTACAACAGTAAAGAGTTATATCAGAATGAGAGGGTAGGGGGTACTTTAAAGGGACTCTTTAAGTTCCATAGTAACATAGCCTAGTTCCATAGTGTGTCTCTCTACTTAGCTGCATATATTGCTGAAATTCTAAGCCAGACTGTATAATTAAAGCACACTCTAGCATCTAAAGCACTTTACCTTGCTAAAGTGCTTTAAGTGTTATTTTCTTTTCCTTGCAGGCTTATTTTGTAAATGTCTCAATTTCATGGGAAATTAATACTTGTTATAAAATTGCATTGCCATTACTGTCATGCAGACATCTGATGTTTTCTCCCTCAACCACTCAGAAGCTGTGGCAATTTTGTCATTCACCTCTCATATACTGCTGTATGGCTCATCAAAAATTGTGTGACATGTATGGGGGATTTCCCTGCAGGACTTCCCAGTGAGAAGCATCTGACTGGGCAATGGCAGCACAGACAGTCTATGCTGGACAAACTAGTTGTAAGCTAGCCATTTCCTTCCCCCTTAAAAAATAAATAGAAAATGTGTTAATTTAAGGGGGTGGGGAGCTATTGCATGTTTTCAATTACATTTTTTTGGAGTTAGAGTTCCCTAAATTCTTTACCTGCCCAGATCTTTTACATTGCCATGTTATAACATTCTCTGACAATTATGGAACCAGTCAGTGCTCATGCCCCTTTCTTTCCTCATAAAAAATAGTTTCATAAAGATAAAATCTTTATGAAATGCTCTGATTCCACCCAAATAACAAGATTCATAAAATTAGTTTTGTGTGTTTTTTCGAAATCTTGACAAAAAGGTGACCTGCTCCTTTAAGACCAAAGAAAAACTTCCCCTGCACCTCTAGGCTAATGGAGTACAAGCATAGCAGTCACCATGTGGGATATTACAAACTATGCTTTCATTTAATAATGTAAGTTGCAATTTCTCTTAACTTGGAGTGTTTTTCTCATCAATTTAATTTCATGAAAAAAACTTCAGCAGAAAATGTAACTGCATACTTGGTAAACTTCCGCTGACCTTGGGTTCATGATAGATCTAAAGTGTGTTAATTAGCCAAAATGTTTCAGCCACTTTCTAGCCTGGAGTGAGCTCATTCAGAATTTACAGATCCCATTAATCTGTAGCAAACTCAAGAACGTCAAAGGTGATTTGTTTCTCCTGTATTCCAATCTTACGTTTTATATATGTATTTTATTGCATTTTAATACATTATACGCTATCTAATGCATCTTTTCTAATGGGTCAGTTCCACCCTGAAGTATCCCTTTAACAATAATGAAAAATTATTTTCTTTAAAATGGAAAGATGGCTTTTCTGCTTTAATTACAGCACAATGAATGCTGAATAAACCAGTTTTTCAATTTTACATTCCCTCTTTCATGATTTATGGTCCCTTGTGCAGGACACATTGCATTGGCAGTCAATTAGACAGCTCTGCTCCCTTCTTAACGCACATTAATTAGGTTAATAATTCAACAATATTCCCTTATGTGCAAGGAATTACCTGCAAGTGATAATCTTATTTGCCTCTGTCATTGAATTATTCTGGGAATTTACCTGGAAATTGTCCTCTGTTGAGAGCTTCTTAGGCATGCACAAAGCTCTTTGTTTGAAACTTTGAATCTAAAATGCTCAGTGAAACATCAACTGATTATTTGCTTTCACTTGTTTGAAATACCATTGTGCTTTGAAACTTGAAGACCTCAAAAGGCCGCTTTTGAAGTATGCAGCCCCACCTTTTCAACATCAAATAGTGATTTTATTTTGGGTTAAAAAACAAACCTTTTCATTAAATAAACAATATAGTTTTTAGTTGGAACTTAAAGTGGTTAAGTCATTTTTATACTAACATTACATATATCATGCAAATTTGTGAAAATTAAATATCAAGCTGCACTTTGCAGCAATTTTCAGCTCATCCTTTGTTTCCTCACATATTGTCTTGTTAGCAACAATTGAAGCACAATTAAGCTGCTTGTATAAACTGTTTAATAGTGGACATTTTCAAAACCCCCACTTTCTGCTTATCAGTGCAATATTATTGCTTTCTATTTGTAAAACAAAAGAATTCCATGAAATTTAGGCCTGTTTGCTGGAACACATAGTTTTAATCCTAGTTCTCCTGTGATAAATGTAGTTGATGTATCCCTTCTTTTTTCCAAGTTTGTCACCATTCTGCAAATAATGCCTACTACATATCCCTCCATGTTAATTCATACAGAATGTTGGCCTAAATTACAGATTAATCTGTGGAGTTTTTTTAATAAATGGCAATATTAACTATTGTGTATGCTATTCATAAAACATCATAGGTGGATATATGCATAGATATACATTATTCGCACTTAAATCACAGTATGTAAGAGTATACTGCAAAACTCCCCACTAATCTGTATTGTGCATAAGTGTGTTACAAGGCCAGTTGTATTGAGCTCTATATAGGAATGTAGTCCAACATCTGAGGGTGAAGGTGATTAAATCAATTCAATATGGAAACAGTTTGGATATTTAGTCATGTGTAACACTATTGACACAACAGGTAAATCTATTGTTTGTCAAATCATGTTTCCCAAAAGGCTTTACAAAGGACACTATAGTCACCAGAACTACAGCTTATTGAATTTGTTCTGGTGAGTAGAATTATTACCTTCAGGCTTTTTGCTGTTAACACTGGCTTTTCAGAGAAAATGCAGTGTTTACATTACAGCCTAGTGATAACTTCACTGGCCACTCCTCAGATATCTGTTAGAGATTATTCCTAGGTCATGTCTGCCTAAAATACAGCCATACATTCAGTATCTCCTCCCTCTGCATACAGACACTGAACTTTCCTCATACAGATTCATTGATTCAATTCATCTCTATGAGGAGATGCTGATTGGCCAGGGCTGTGTTTGAATCATGCTGGCTCTGCCCCTGATGTGCCTCCTTGTCTGTCTCAGCCAATCCTATGGGGAAGCATTGTGATTGGATCAGGCTACCACTTCTAATGATGTCAGAAGACTGCTTGTTTTGCTATATTTATGGAGGCATGAGGGGCCCAGGAGGGCTAGATGGTGGTGTTAACACTATAGGGTCAGGAATACATGTTTGTGTTCCTGACCCTATAGTGATCCTTTAAGAATAATAAGTGTTTGAATGCATTTTTAATCCTATCAAACCCACAGATTCCACAGAGTTTAAAATTTTTTGTAAACTTAGTCTGGTTTAAGGCTGCTTTCCTGCACATTTTTAGTATGCAAGGTAAAAGGTAAGGTGAGACCAAAGGCATGTTAAGGGTAATAAGCAGACTAAGGGCAAAGATATTAAAGGATCACTATAGTGTCAGGAAAACAAAGCGGTTTTCCTGACACTATAGTACCCTGAGGCTGCCCCCACCCTCACGGTCCCCCTCCGGTGGCACTAAAGGGGTTAAAACTTACTTTAAAGAAAATGAATGAGGGAAGGAACTCCATATGCTCCCTCAAACTCTAAGTAGATAAGGGTGTTCCTGGTTTCTTCCTAAAAGCTATGAATGCATTGTAATCTACTACATTTAATCCAATCTAATTGTACCCTGTGAGCAGAGTAGGTAATTTTACAGCACTACAGGGTGCCTGTTTTTAAAAGCATACTTATTATGCTTACCCAGAATCTTGTGATGCTTAAAACTACTATTTGGGGAGAAATTGCTAATAATGTTAGCTTGTACTTCAACTTGCTGTGTAGGCGAGCGGATGTGTCAGGATAGTTTTTTGCAACTTATTATATAGTAATATGGTGTTTTGTTTCCTTCTAAGTAACTGACTAAATCGCTAAGCTTTTAATCCACAATCAAATTACCTTTTTTAGACCAAGGCAATCGTCAATGAAAGGAAAAATTGGCTTTACCAGTCACAATTTTGGAGCCCTCGTCTATAATTCCGGATTTGTTTCCAGTGGTCCTTACACTACTGTGTGCTCGTAAGGCACAGAGGACACCTCTGTAGTGCATTGCACATGGGCAAAGCAAAATGAGGCATATTAAAACATTTCCATGTTGGCCTGGCATTTATTTCCACCAGGCTATTAAATGCCTAGTGGAAATTTCAAGAAAGGCCTTCTTTTTTTCCCTTGAGTGACAGCCTCCCAATGTTGGGTGGTGTGCTTTGAGTTGTACAGAATTTGTACTTCTACTTTAGCTACTAGTTTTAATTAATTGGCAAATGGAAAGTCAATGTTTTCTTGACACTAGTTGAGATGGTGTACAGCACACCAGTTTGGCGCATTAGCTGAAAAACTATGTACAAGCTTCGGAAGGATATGTACAACAGTTTTTGTGTGTGCATGTGTTTTTATACATGTAACCAGTGGTAGTAAAAATTGAATAGAACACAAATAATTTGATTACTATAGCTACTTCTTTTCTTTTTTTCCAGTGTATGCGATCATTTCTTTTCGAAAAATGTTTATTTGCACTGCCGTAGTGTGTTCTTAAAGCTAGTGTGCTTAAAAAGCTCTATCTGCAGAAGGGTTTTAATATAAACTAGCTTTATTTTTGTCTGCTTTATTCTTATCTTTGCTGGTAAAGAAAACAAAGAGATTTTAGGAATAACATTTAAGAATATTACATAAAATGGCAATTATGGAAACCATTTCTGCTATTTTAATTTATAAATTGCCAGCTGTGTTCTCAGTCTGGACCTCTGGGGCACTAAGCAGAAACCTGTTTGCCCTTGAATGCATATCACTACCATATCCCAATGTATGTAGCAGAACAATGTGTTGTCTTTCCTTAAATGTGTGAGTGCTGCCACCATATGCTGAAAGAGGTAACTTCACCAGGAATTCTATTGCTGGTGAAACCGATTAATGAGCGGTTTAAATCCTGTATTTATCTTGACACTTTAAACAAAATAATTATCTCTCTCTTATGGAGGTTTGAGCCCAATTGAGATCATTCTCTCCCTGAGGTTAACTTAAATAAAATATAATTTTTGTACTAACTTTTTTCAGGAGTTTTCATAGGTGAGATTGTATTGATGTATCCTTATCACAATAGGTATTTGGCAAATGTAAGAAGAAAATTATCATTGCGCTATGGATCATTTGATGTGGTGTGCTTAATATGATTTTTGTGGTAGAGCTGCTTATGTTAAATATTTACTAAGTGTACACTTGATGGAGAATCATGTGCGTTTTAATTCCATAAATATGCTTTCATTTACATGTGTTCTTCCAGATTCAAATGCACTATAATTAGTAAAATGAATATTAATGTTTAAAAGTATAATGCTTATTTTGTCTTTATTGTCTGTTGTTTTTTTTTTTTTTTTTATATATCCTGGAGTCTTAACTTTCTCTGTTCTTTTGGTAGTTGGAACCCTAGGACTATATTTTTAAGGGTTAGAAAAGAAATATGCAATTCTCATGTTTGTATTTTGATTGTTAGGAGGAACAAAACAGGGGAAAGCCAAACTGGGAGCACCTTAATGAAGACCTACATGTATTGATAACAGTGGAAGATGCACAGAACAGAGCAGAACTAAAGCTAAAAAGAGCAGTGGAAGAAGTTAAAAAGTTACTGGTTCCAGCAGTAAGTATAATATTTTTTTCTGTGTATACTCCTAAATTAGAATGAAATGCATAAAGCATTTTATTTCAATTTTACATGGGATAGTATCCACTGTTCAATGATGGAAATTATGCATGTTTTTTTTTTTTTTTTTTTGTTGTGCTGAGGATAACATACAGGTTTGCCTCGCCCCGACAGCTGAAGCAAGCATTGCAATAACAATCAGTTTCATGTCATATCAAAATAGCACATTTTTTAGTATATAGAAAACACATGAAAATCATCAGTAGATATTATAGGACCTTCTGTAGGCATTAAGAGAAGACTATCAGAGCTAGGACTGAGAAGGTCATAGACTAGTTAATAAGAGTGGTACATAGCATGGTCAGCCGTAGGAAGTTTTGCTTAACAGAAGCACTTGAAAGTTAAACAGCTTGTCTGGGCTGCATTGACAGGTGAAGCGTGGTAGAGTAAGGGGTTGTATGGGGTAATAGGCTATGTGTCTGCAGATATGTGTAACTTGCATCGCCAACGGTGGTACCCGGTACACATGTATTGACAGACTAAGTCGGAGGGCCCCTCTTGTCTCCGCTTAAGGCTATTCTGTGTGATTGTTTCTTGTGGCCTATCCCCTCCGCCTGGCTACCATTTTCTACTCATTGACACATACAGTGCAATATAATACCCATGCATATAACAGACACATGTAAATAAGCAGTAGCATATCAGGCTGGTATCCAAGTCTTTAAAAGAACAGATAGTAGGCCATCGGCTTAGTAGTATGAGAAAGTCACCCTTCAACCGATTCCCAGGATTAGAAAGTGCCTGGAGCACGCTGTTGGAGTGCAGGATGCGTTATTGTCCCCCAGAGTGGTGTTGCAGTGTATGAGGACCTTAGGGTGAATTGAAAGTCCGTGTGCGCCTTGTCTCTCAGCCTCCTGGTCTGGGACCTCTATTCCCGCCTCAGCACGCGTCAGGGTAGGCCCCTCAGTTGCCGTTCTAGAGTTGTCATTGTGGCTTGCGCCGTCGTGCGCGTGTCTTCTTGATGGCTGGGGCCTCGGGACAGGCCTTACGGCGTCGAGTGTGGGTGTCGGCGGTGTTCTGTCGCGGGGGGTTGCGGCTCAGTGTCGGGCCCTGTTTCCCCCAGGAGTGTGTCATCCGGCAGGGCTCTGGATGCAGGTAAGGCTGCAGATGTGGGTCTTTGGAGAGCTGTAGTGGGTGATCCGGTGCTTTGCCTGAGGGTGCCCTATGCATGTGTGTTTTAACTTATTAAAACCATATAGTAGTTTATTACATTACATGAATGAAAGAGAATAACTGTGTATTTACCGAACCTGTGGGTGAATGCAGTGTCTCTTTAATCATCTAAAGCTAGGTTGTAATGTAATGAATAGAAAAAGATAATAAGTAAATTCAGTCTCAAAGTAAAATGAGACTCAATGCTGGTTTTTATACACAACGGGGGGAAAAATAATAAGACTGGCTGTGACTAGTAAGTAGTAAGCCCAGAGTTAAGGTAAGTGGGGATTACCAAAAAATTCTCAATCACACATGGTTCCAATAAGTGCAGATAAATAATAAATGCTTTATTAATAGGGCAAAAATAAAAAGCACTATATATGGAACAACTGCTGTGAGACAAAATGTACATACGTCATCAGAGGATCCTATGTGTCCTTGGAGATCAGTATCAATTGCTATGGGAAGTCCACTAAATAGTGGTTGGACTAGTACATGAATAAACTCGGGAGGTCAGTGATTTCAGCAGAAGTGGACTGCTATCAATGGAGGGACAGGTGTGGCAGCTAGAGAGCAGCAGGATCTTCCATTATAGGAATGCATATATATTAATGAAGCCAAAAGGGGGGTGTTTAAAGAACAGGCTATATAAAGGTGCTCAGTAAATCAGTAGGGTTAACAGATAGTGCTGTATCTGGCAGATAGCACCAGGGAATCTTCATCTAATGCACCCTGCTACTCAGTGAACCTATTAGGGTTAACCAATAATACTGTATCTTGCAGATAACATCAGTAAATCGTCATCTAATGCTCCCTGCTGCTCCTAAGCCAATGCATTCAAGGGTGTTCTATGCTGTCCCTAAAGATATATAAAAAGATACAGACTGAAACCTCCCAAGATCCCCCACTAAAACCAAAAAACTCAGAGCAGGGAAAATTAAATAAAGTGAAAAACACCTAGTGCCACCATGCGTGAAGATAAAAACAAATAAAGGAAACCCTTATTTTTGCCATATTAATAAAGCATTTATTATTTCTCTGCACTTATTGGAATCATGTGTGATTGAGAATTTTTTGGTAATCCCCACTTTCCTTAACTCTGGGCTTACTATTTACTAGTCACAGCCCGTCTTATTTTTAACCCCCATTGTGTATAAAAACCAGCATTGAGTCTCATTTTACTTTGAGACTCAATTTACTTATCTTTTTTCTATTCATTACATTACAAACTAGCTTTAGATGATTAAAGGGACACTCCAGGCACCCACAGGTTCGGTAAATATTAGCTATGCTAGATAGGCTTTGGATTAAATTTCCTTATTGTGTGCTTGGTTTTCTTCATAACTTAGCCTTTAATATCGTTTCTTGAAATGGCTTCTCTGCAGAAGTGAGCACTAAACACGGTGTGATTGATTTACATTACATGCACCCCAAAGCATATGAAGATGCAAACTTATGGGAAACATATAAAGTTCTAAATCTTTTCATACACATTCAGATATGTGTATGGCATGTCAATATTACAAAAGAAAAGCTACACTCATCTGAAATCTAAAATTGTATTTGAGATGCTGAAATGGCAAATATAAAATGAGGAAGTGTGTAGAACACAAATTCCGTTTAATTTTCTTCATTTGAGAATATGTCTCTTTGGATCACATGTCAGATAATGGTTTCAAGACAATATTGCACAACCTGAAATCACACTGTCCAAAACAGGGTAACTGTAATTCACAGTGTGACTAGACACTGAATTACAGAACTTAATGCAATAGCAGATACTTCTCTTGCCTCTTTGCTTGTGATGAGACACCATCTCAACTGTAATGCCCATAACTAAAGCATACCACCCTACTTTGCTCTTGCTGAAATTGGGATAGGGTGTGGGCCTTTCACGGAACATCACCATTGACCCAAATTGCATCACTGGTCAAATCCCTAAACAGGCATGTCCATTCAGAAAGTAGGCAGGTCAACCCACCGAAGGAGATGGTGAGCCTGGCATTACGCAGGCCAGGTTCACAGATGGCCTCTTGGCCAGCTCCCTGCTTAGATTATTATGTAGAGAGTGCTGCTATTTCCCTCTACACAGCGCAAGCATGTCTGATACACTCGCACAGTGCTGCGTGGGGACAGTAACCTGATATTTTCAAATGCAGGACACAATGGAACTAAAGCAGAACAGGACCCAGATTTGGGACTGTCCCGACAAAAGGATGACCGTTGGGAGACATGCTAAAGCATGTTCTATTAACGTCTTTGTTGGAGACTCTCATTATCTTTTATGAGAGAAGCAGTCCATAGCAGCTAATAGTATATTTGGCACTCCAAGCTGCTTTGTGGAAAAAAAAAAAAAGTGTTTGCTTTAATCTAAACGATGCATATGTGATACCTGTCTTAAGGAAAACAATAACATTTTCTCTATGTTCTGTCTCATGATTGCACAAATTAATTGATGGCATTCTATTGTAAATGTTTACCAATATCTTGTTATCCAACTTATCTAGCTATTTTTTTCTATCAGATCTATCTTATACATCAGCAGTTACTACCACTTTAGCCACTATTGAATTGGAACTTGCATTCACTTAATAGCTATCTCAGAATAGGATCTTTTGCTTACTAGCAAGGGCTTACATATATAGAATTTATTGAATGATGGATATAAATAATCTCTTGTAAATATGTAGTTAATCATGGTAGAAACATTCAGGGTTATTTAGAAAAGTGCGAATTGTCAAGAATTTAAAGTGAATTTCAAATTTATGGCCTAAAATCTTAGCTCTGCGTCCAATTTGGATGTTTTGGTCTTAGAATATAAAATTCCCCTAAAATCATAATTTTTAAAAAAAAGTACACTACAATCCTCACAAGAGGGGACCTAATGTGCATGCGCGTTGATCGCTGTGCACACAATAGGCCTTCCCCATAGGAAAGCATTGAATAGGAGTCTGAGAGTTATTTTAGCAACATTGTAAATACTTACTGTACTATACTGTATTAGATAAAGTGGTTTTTATATTTCTGAAACCCGTTGGTATACCAGTAAAAACAGAACGCTTTATTGGAGAGTGAAGGACCATTCATTGTTTCTTTGACCGTTTTAAGGAAGTGGGATCATATATAGTTGCATAGTAATCTAGGTTGAAAAAAAGTCCATAAAGTTTAACCTTTAATGCTCACCTCATCCCTGCAATGTTATGCTTTGGGTAGTTTGTCTAGTACTATAAAAATGGGAATGCGGGGCTATTTCTCATGTCAACTAAATATTTGTACTTAACCATTAGACATGTGGACCAATTGAAATTTCCAGTCCTGTTCTCATATACAGCCTTGTATTGCAATATATATACCTGTCCCTTGCAATCCCTCTGTTGTTTAGTCTATTGATTAAATGAGGCTGTAAATATCCATGCTGTGCCTACCAGATACAAAGATCATTCCGTATACAGGGACTGTGCACCACAGAGCAACTTTTAAGTCAAGTCGTATTGATTGTCCAGTCAGCTTGTGTCTGTGTGAAAACGTATATATTCCTGTTGCCTTTTGCAACCTAAAGACCCTTTAAACTGCAGCGTGAAGGATAGTGCAGAATTTCCAAAGGGCCCTGAGCAAGCCGTTAAACTAATGTAACATTTTTTGAAGCAGCATGTTCAGGTTCAGAGGATGTATATCAGCGAACAGGAGCTTCAGGTGCTTTTTTTTTTTTTTTTTTATACTATACTCTGTAAAATGTCTCATAGGCCTGAGGCCCATTACCAAATAGCATGTAAGGTTTATATATATATAGGTAGTTATGTTTAACGCAACCATTCCCTGGCACTGTCCTTTTAAGTGTCTCTTTACCAATCATATGTAACTGTGCTGACCGATTAAAATAACACATATATTTTAGAATTCACTAGGTAACATTTGCGTAAAAACAACTTTTTAACTTACCACACGTGTTCTGTGTTTTCTCATTATTAAATGTAACCATACCGTGTTAGTACCCTATTAATGTTATATCCACATTGTTCTTGGAAATGGTGCGTGTGTTTATGCAGCCATGTGTATCTGTATTTATCAAGTATATGTATTAGCACACTTTCAGTGCCAGAATTGTGTGCCTGCAAACATTCTGTAATGCCAGACTTATGACCTGATTCTCAGCCGGGTAGCATTAGTTCTAGAATATTCTGTCTAGTTATCTCCATAAGTGTAGATTTTACAGCATTTTTAATATTGATTATTAAATGACGTGCATCAATCCCTGCTCCTTTAAAAATACAAATCAATTTTGTTCTGTTCTTTTAACAAAAACAAAAACGTTGCTCCACAGTTAAATGGATGTATAATCTACCCCAGAAGTGTGTCTATTTAGATGGCACAGTCCCTATTTGGGGCCAAATTTCCTCTGTCCCTCTTTTCTATCCCCAAGACAGTGGCCCCTACTCTCCAGTATTGTCATGTATGAAATGTTCTCAGCACTCCAAATGATAGAGCTGGTAGTGCCTTATTCATTTTATTCTAATTTAGTAATTGTAATATAAAGAACCTTTTTTTTTTTTTCTCTCAGTTGTAATTTTTTAAAATTAGTAAATTCACATTTTACCAACTGTATTCTACACTATAGGAGTATTGATAATTTTTAATGTTTTGCCATGAAATTAAATTTTCACAGCCATGTTATCTGCAAAATGTGGAGTTTCGGATGATTTTTACTTTTATTCACACATCTATACAATCTCACAACTTTATAATGCTATACTCTGTCCAACGTGGCATCTGCTAATCCCCCTTCCCCTCATCTCAGAGTTTCTCTTTCAGTGTGTGAAAAAAGAAAAGCAATTTCTTTTTCTATCATAGCAATATAGACATGACACTGGTATTTCACTGATGGTAGAAATTTGAAATTAGAGCTCACACACCTACAGATTAATGTATCAACACAGAGAGATTGAAAGGCTGAAAGAGTATTCCTTGAAGAGATTTAGAGTACAAAATATTGAGCATAATGATATGGTGTTACAATGCATGTGTGAAACTATTCTTTTTATCCTTAGTAAAGTATTTTTATACTTTGATAAAAAAAATCCTTTGCACTATTTTGCATTTGTGTTTGGGCTCTCCTTTGTTGATTTATTAATCTTGTAGCTAGGTTTCAGCATTCCCCATAATGAAATGCTTAAGCATGTCTTACAACAGACCCAGATCCTATAGGACAATCCCATATTTGAGCTGCTGTGTTGCCATTTTGAGTTTGATCCTTTCTGGGGACTTTATAGACAAATCTCTTGTTTAGATATAGCCATCCTGTCTGCATGACTTGCATGCACACCAAGCTAACACAGCCCTTTTTCAAGTGGTCCCATTGCACCAATAATGAGAATCTTGTAGTTTCTTGACCCTTGAACATGAGCTGCTTTTACAACTAGTTTCATGGTTCTTATTCAGCACCTCTTATCTTGATGCTCCTGCCCATTCCATGTCATAGTGGAGGGTAATTAGTAGTTGATGCCTTTCAGCTTGCTGTTAACTGTAAGATGAAGCTTATAATTTTCTGTCTAGAAGAAATGCTGCTGCAGTAGCTAATCAGGAATGTGGCGTGACTAAAAGTAAAAAGTGTAATTTAGAGGTAAAACTCTAGAATTAAATAGTATTTTTTTGTAGTGCTACATTTTGATCAGATCTTTCTTACTTTGCTTGTATTGCCTTATTTGGAACGGATATATGTATATGATATTACATTTCCAGAAGTCTCTTTGGCAAATGGAAATGTTGTCTAGACAATGTATACACCATCAGTACCAGGACCAGGCACTGCTGTTCTGTAACAGGCATTTCATTTGGAGTTCTTACAGACCTGTACATACAACTCTAACTTCTCCCTTCTAAACTTGTGAGGTATATAATACACAGAGCTAAGTAATAGTTTACTCTCGGCCCTGTTTCATTCAGCTAACACTCAGCTGTAAAACTGCAAAAAGATGTGTGTGCGCACTAAGGAACTTCCTGCTTTAGCAGCTGCAAAATGACAAGAACTTGGGGGATGGTGGATTAAATAACAGAAAAAGGGCATTATGGATTTAGTTCCTGTTTTGTGCAGCAGTTCCAGACTCACAATTTTGGGATTTCTTGTTCACTGGTAGAACCTTCTTGTGACTACTCGGTGATCACATGGAAGTGATACGGTGGTCAAGTACAGGCGTTGGTCTTTTTATTTGTTGTGTGCATTTTAGCAGAGAGAGAGATGAGCTGGCTGCTTTCACTATTCTATGTCTGACCTCTGCTTTATTTCTACCCATTCTTCCCTACACATTTTCCTGTATCCACTTCACTATCCTTGCCCTCTCCTTTCTAGCACTGCAAGTCCACTAAATTGTTAAATTTGCAATAAATTCACAGATTTAGAGAGATACAACCGTGAAATGGCATGCATATATTTCACATGACATACATGCTGTAAATCAAAAACAGAATGCTGTACATCTGGGGGGGTGGTTAGGTGCAGGGCTGTTATGAGAAATCTTAGGTGACCTACTAATAATTTAACTAAAATGTAATTTAGAATAAGAGATGTGCATCAGATTTACAGACTTATTGCTATACACATTTATTGTAGTTTAAAGACTCTGTACTGTGAGTTTATTTCTGTGGTTCTGTTATTCACTCACGCACCAACTATATAGAGCTTCCAGAAAAGAGGGATCTTTGGGGCCTAAAACAGGGACAGTGTCTTTTAAATAGGGACACTTGAGAGGTATGGAATACCCTGTAATTTTACAGGAAGTCCTACAGAAAATGTGTGTTTTTTTTTTTTTTATTAAAGCAATTTATTCATTTCAGAAAAGATATATTGTTTTTTTTTTTTTAAATTTCCTGATATTATTGACCAATATGGTTTGTATGATGCTTCCGGACAGCTTCACTAGAACTACTATTGTATCTGTCTATCCCAATAGACTCCTATCTGCTCACTCCCTTCTGAAAGATTGCAGGATTCAGTGGATTACTGTTAGATTCCCTTCTTCCTGGAGAGGAAGTATGTGGGAAGTGGGTGGTGTTGTCTGGTTATAATTAAAACAGGATGTGTCTGCATCAATTTTCTAAAGGAAATAAGCTGTCTGGATACTTTATATTTAGCAGAAAACACTGGCATATTGTATAAATTCATAAACAGTGTTTCCAAGTATAGAATAGGCAAATCTTTGTTCATTTTATTTATTAAAATTTTTGCTCTGGAGTTTGATTGTTACTTTAATAAATTATCACATTCACACACTATTTGAAAGAACTATGTCAACTGTCTGAAGATAGTTATATTATTATTTTATTTATATAGTGCCAGCAAATTCCCTAGCGCTGTACACTGGGATAAATACTTAGTTATATAAGTAGTTATAGATCAGTAATTATTGGTTGTTAAAGGTCTTGGTGAAGAAACTTGAAGTTCATTTGTTAAGGTTAACTTGGTTTGATGTTGTGAAATGCTTAACTTTATAATTTCTTTGTTTAGTCTGCATATTTTATAGACTTTGGGTGTTGCAACTATCTTACCACAACATTGCTTAGTTTTGTCACACATTGCAAAACTTGTATTAATGTCCTAAATACACTTTCTGCATCCTCAGTCCTTTTGAACTAACAGACTGTCACAGGAGGCACCAAACAAATGTCTGACTTTTGAATATGTTCAGCTTAATGACTTTGCCTGCCATCTAGTGGATATATTTGATACATTGTCTTTTGGTGATGCAATTTAATAACAAACCTGGACTGTGCTCAAGCTATATGGATGCATAAATGCTTACCTGACACATATACTGGTCCAAAGCCACCACTGATACAGCTAGTGTACCTCTTTCCAGCAGTATCAGTCATGCCAAGATGGCAAACACTTTTTAAAATTGTTTTTATTATTAAACCTGCACTGGAGCAAAGAGAGATGGAAAATCTAGTTTTAGGTTTATAGATTGAATTTCCATTAGGAGATTTGGACTGCATCAGGTCAACATTAAACAACACACCTTTAGTTTAATGAACTCGTTTTAGTGTATCGATCATTTCCTGCAGTCTCACTGCATAAGCCTCTGCCAGTTAGGAGCTATACTACTTTTGTTTCTGTTTATACAACCCTAGTTTCATTCCCCTGGCTGCGATTAACAACCTCCATATAAAAAAAAGTTTCATTTTCAATCAGATCTTACAGCACAGTTTACTTGAGAAGTTATTTTCTCCTGCTCTGTTTATTGAACTTTAACTAGTGGGAGATGAGATATTCTTAATTGAACACACTGTACAAAAAGTTAGAAAATTAGATCTTTCTTTACAGGAAGGGTTTAGGGAGGCTGTGTAAGTCACAGGCAGGGGAGGTGTGACTAGGACTGCATAAACGGTGACTTAAAGCATCTCTGGGTCATCTGCGTATTTTGCAAAGTAACCTAATGGTGACATCACTGCTTGGTGTGTGGGGAAGTTTTACTTACCTGAATCTGTTCTTCGTAGCTGCCATGATCTCAATCTGTTGTATTATCTTCAGGTTCTGGAGCTTCATCTGCCAGGAACCCATGTCAGTTCTCTCATGTGTGTGTGGTAGTAAACACTGATGTCTGTAAGATTTTGGAAGATCACAGGAGCCTCCATAGACCATGACTTTTTTTTTTTCTCACAGCTAGTTATGACCGTGAGAATTTACAAAACCTGATACCAGTAACTTTGCCCTCTGTCAGGTTTTCATTTCCCCCCCAAGCGTAGGAAAAATGCATAAGACAATGTAGTCCCTACTTTGCCTTCTGATATTTTTTGACTATGATGGAATTTCAGTGAAATTACAAAAAAGTCAGTGTGAGTATTTAATTTAAAAAATGTCTTTATGAAATACTCTCGTGGGGGTGGTGACAGTTGCTTTAAATCCTAAATGGCAGATAATTGAAGATCCCGCACAGGCATGATATGTTCACCAAACCACTTTACTAAGTTAAAGTTGTTTTTGTGCTTGGTGTCAGTTTAAATTTAGTCTTTGTGATGCAGTGTAGCCTGTAAATTTACAAACCTTGCAGATCCTCAAGCACCTTTTTCAACCATTAGAGTTTCAGTAACAGATCTATACAGGGAAACCGCTTTTACACAATACAAACTTTTTTCCCTTGGAACTTTTGAATATTCTGGTCATGAACACTACATGATGGTGATGAATGTCCATTGTACCCAAAGAAAGACCACATTTGTTTACATATCTTTGTCATTTAGAAATCTAGTGACTACACAGGAAAATATAAAATGCACATAGTTTTTGGGGCACGAACCACAGCATAGGGCAGAGTAGGCAACCTTCGGCACTCCAGATTTTGTGGACTACGTCTCCTCTGATGCTTTGCCAGCATTGACGAGCGCATTATGGGAGATGTAGTCCCTGGCCTAGAGGTGGTATGCCCATCAACCCTTTCATGACAAAGGTTTAGGCTAAACATTATTCCAATTCAGTCATATTTTATGCAGAGTAGCAGGTAAAATTTGGCATATTAATGTTAACACAGATCATTTTTATTTATTTTTATTTTCGTCCACTGTCATCACATTGCATAGGAAGGGTGGATATTATGTTTTCATCTAGCCGTTTTAAAATGCAATGAGTAAACAAATCATAAAAATAAACTGGGAAAAACGGAACTCTGTAACTAGTATTTGTTCCCATATTTTTAAAGACTACAATTTACAATTGTTTTCATAAATTCCACCCACTGTTTTTCTATAGCTAAGAGTAAGCATTTGAATAAAATATTTCAGTGTGTTTATATCCTATTTGACACCAAAGGGGCTTCTTCTATGAAAGTGCACTAACAGAAACAATATGGAAAATGGCCACTTAGTTTCCAGTTCTATGATTTTAAAAAGCCTTGAACTGGCAAATCTTTGATAGTCATCACCCTAACCCAGTATGAGGTATGCAAAGGTGCATCTGCCTCTCAGCAGGATGCAACTTTTGAATTGTATATGTATTCTTGACATTGAAAATCCTTTTTAAAAATCTGCCAATCATACTTATTTTGTTTTGCTTCATCACTTTAAAAGGGATGCAAAAAGTAGGATTTATAATGTGTTATAAAACCTAAAACAATCCCTTTTTGTAGCCAATGTTGTATTTTTTCAGAATCATATTGGTTACAAAATGAAGGAAAAGCTGAATAAAGTGAACATTAGTCTTGACTAGTGATGCCGCGAACCGTTCGCGAACTTGCCGCGAACGGTTCGCCACGAACCATTCGTGGCGAACTCCGGTCAGCTGACACATCCCTGCCAATCTCCGGCAGACCCTCCCACCTCCTGGACAGCATCCATGTTGAAGCTGCCTTCAACATGGATGCTGTCCAGGAGGTGGGAGGGTCTGCCGGAGATTGGCAGGGATGTGTCAGCTGACCGGAGTTCGCCGCGAACCGTTCGCGGCTAGTTCGCGAACGGTTCGCGACATCACTAGTCTTGACTAATTTTTGTAATTATGATGTCTAGTAAAGAAGGCAATTTAAACATTTTCTAGAAAAAGTAATGCTCGATAGGTTTGAGAGGAAAAATAAAATCAAGAACAAAAGAGGAATACACTATATAAAACAGATGTTTCCAATAGCCTTCTTTAGGGATATAAAACTTTTAGGTTCAAAGTCATGTAACAGAATAAAGAATAACTTTTACAAGGGTGAACAGTTAGCTTTAGAAAAAAAGCTGTTTTTGCCAAACAAGGTTCCATATTCTGCTTGAAATAAGCATGAATGCATTAAAGGAACACTTCAAGCACCATAACCACTACTGCATTCTCTCTATACTATAGAATGCTCTAGTGCTCAGAGAGCTCCTTTAAACACTTGAGCATGCACAAATGGCACTTTAAATGGTTTGGATTTTATTTCCTCATAATAAAATACATTTAGAATACACATTGGGCAAAAATGCATTGCAGAGGTAGTATGTACTACAAAACTACTGCATGTATCTCTCATGCTTAAAGGACCTGCCCTTACATTGACCCTAGACGGGTGGCATCAATCTAATATGTAATTTTTGCAGGTTCAATTGCGTTTTTTTTTTCCTTCTTTATGTCCTTAAAGGCTTGACAATTGTTATTCAATTCCTAGGTGTTCTAGTACTGGAATATTAACAGATCTTAAAGTGGCAATTCCACCTAAACATACCATATATTGCATACATAAAAATAATTACCTTATTGTTTTAAACTTATGTCATAAAAAAACTAAAGTCAAGTGGTAGTGCTACTTCTAGGTCACGTGAAATACAGATTTTGACATTAGCTGACCTTACACACTTGGCTTGCTCTGTATACGTGAGAGTATGTAATATTTCCAGATCTGAAATTACAAGATAACAATGACATAATAGCCTGACATTTGCTCTAGAAATAATGTTTTAAACTTTTCTCCTTGTTCTGTCTTTACTTAACTGGTGAGTGGGGAAAAAAAGCAAGCTTACATTTACAAATAAACTGCATGGTGGCGTGCCTTGTATTTCTGAACATACCAGTAGGATTACATTTTTCAGCACTTTTTTTTTTTTTTTACCCTCTAGGTTTTTGGTATTTTAGGTGTCCTGGAACATTAAACTGTGCACAGAATTGTACCTTTGTCACGTACTAGCTATTTCATTTTTTTTAATGCTGTTTTTAAATGTTACACTATTTAAATGACAAATCTCAAAATCGGTAAAAGACATCGTGCTGACAACAGTCTGTTCTAGGGTGAGTTTGTTATTCTCCTTCAGCTGCTGAGAGATTAGTATTTTCACTGAAATACAAGTTTGCCCTGCTTTCATAGTATTCGTTTGCGTTCAACATTTGTACATTTTCATACTGGAGGCTATACCATGCAGTGGCGTACATACCAGGGTCGCGGCTGCGACCGGGCCCGGCCCACCAGGGGGCCCGGCCGCCCCTGCGACCCGGTATGTACCCACAGGGCCAGCCTCTTCCCCTGGGGGGCCCAGGAGCCGACCACCCCAGGGCCCCCCGAGGCTGGCCCTGCTGTCACCCAGAAGGTGGGTGGCCGGTCGGGCAGGCAGGCGGGCGTGCGAGGGAGCACTCAGAGCTTCCTCTTCAGCTCCCTCGTGCACCGCACGGATACCGGAGCCGGATGACGTCATCTTCCGGCTCCGGCATTCCTGCGCAGCGCGCGAGGGAGCTGAAGAGGAAGCACTGAGTGCTCCCTCGCACGCCCGCCTGCCTGCCTGACCGGCCACTCACCCAGGAGCCCAGCAGCACCACTGGACCCCAGGGAATCCCCCCAGCACTCCAAAAGGTAAAGAGGCTGGGGGGATTACATTTAAAAAAAAAACAAAAAAAAAAAACTAGTGTTAGTGTTAGAGTGAGTGTTAGTGTATGTGAGTGTTAGTGTGTGTGTCTGCTAGTGAGTGTCAGTGTGTTACTGTGTGTGTCTTACTGAGTGTGTGTGTGTTAGTCTGTTTGATGTCTGTTAGTGAGTGTGTGTTTGTCAATGAGTGTGTTTTGTGAGTGTGTATGTATGTCTGTCGCTGACTGTGCCTCTGTCAGTAAATGTGTGTGTCTGTTAGCTAGTGTGTATGCGTCTGTAAGTGTATGTGTGTGTGTGTGTCTTCAGCACTTACCTTTCTCCGGCGCCGGACTCCCTTGGCGCTGAGGATCCCTCAGCCTCTCAGCTCCGAATGCGACCGCGCACGCATTCAAACCGCCCATAGGAAAGCATTACTCAATGCTTTCCTATGGACGTTCAGTGTGCTCCTCTAGCGGCTGTCAGTGAGACAGCCACTAGAGGCTGGATTAACCCTCAGTGAAACATAGCAGTTTCTCTGAAACTGCTACGTTTTCAGCTGCAGGGTTAAGACTAGAGGGACCTGACACCCAGACAACTTAAATGAGCTGATGTGATCTGGGTGTCTGTAGTGGTCCTTTAAAGGACCACTATAGTGCCCTGAGGGTGCCCCCACCCTCAGGGACCCCCTCCCGCCCGGCTCTGGAAAGGGGAAAAGGGGTAATACTTACCTTTTTCCAGCGCTGGGCGGAGAGCTCTCCTCCTTTGAGCCTCCTCTTCTCCTCCCCGTCGGCTGTATGCGCACGCGCGGCAAGAGCTGCGCGCGCATTCAGCCGGTCACATTGGAAAGCATTCATAATGCTTTCCTATGGACGCTGGCGTGCTCTCACTGTGAAAATCACAGTGAGAAGCACGCAAGCGCCTCTAGCGGCTGTCAATGAGACAGCCACTAGAGGAATAGGGGGAAGGCTTAACCCATTCATAATTATAGCAGTTTCTCTGAAACTGCTATAATTATGAAAAAATGGGTTAACCCTAGAAGGACCTGGCACCCAGACCACTTCATTAAGCTGAAGTGGTCTGGGTGCCTAGAGTGGTCCTTTAACTGTGTGTGCATCTGCATGCACTGGCGTACATACCGCGGTCGCAGCCCTGTAACCCCTGCGACCAGGTGCCCACCGCCATGTGTTGCGGCCGGCCCGCGCGCGGGGGGGGGGGCGCCCACAGATCAATTTTCGCACCGGGGCCCCATGGGTCATGTGTACGCCACTGATACCATGTGTTTTCATTCTCAAGTTTCTACTTATGAATTGATCACTTCTCTCTTTGTCACTTAGTTGGTTTAGGGATTAAAGTAAAATTATGGTGTTAAAATAGATGTTTCGGTAACACCTCTCCATGTGGAGTTAAAAGGTGAGTTTAGTTATCTGCTCTGCGTCGCTGCGACTCACACTGCCTCCATGGCTGATATTGTCAATCTCAGCCAATCCAAATTTTTCCAATTGGAAAGTATTCGGAGGCTATTGCACATGCACGGCAATATGCCGCGCTGCGCTAATCAGCATCTCCTCATAGAAATGCAATGAATCAATGCATCTCTTGAGCCTTTAGTGTCACCATGCCCAGCTTGGCGACGCCAAACATAGGCTTCCATTATCACTCCAATATGAAAATACACAGATGTTGAATGCTAATAATATAAAACTATGGCAAACCTGTAAAATTAAGTCTGGTAACACTAATTACAATCTTGTCTCTCTTGGCTTTAGTATCTTAACTCGCTAACCCTAAGACATGGTTAGATTATTAATATTTTAATAATGAAAAGACAAATGTTACATCATGCTAAAATTACATAAAACAAGACCTACAATAGACCAATGCAAATGCCAGTTCTTAAAATAAAATGGGACATATAACATATACTTACACATATTGCTGGTGATCTTACAGTAGACCAGTGGGAACTCCTAATTAGGCCCTTCTGTTTTTAATCAAAGTTAAGTTTAAGAGAAGTTTAATTTGACCTTATCTGTCATTCAGTTATTTATATGTCTCTCTTTTTCCAGCAAAGGTAGCTACCTCTGGCTACATGACCAGTTTAAGATACCTGATGTTTACCCATCTCTTTTATGCAGAAATGGAGACTATAATTCTTATCTGTTAAGAGACCTCTGTCCTTAATACATACTGGTAACATGGGAATCCATCTGAAATTAACCATAAAATGAGATTCAGAAAATAGATTTTTTTACATTACATTTATTGCTGGCACACTGATATATTGAAACATTATTCAGTTTAACACAGATTAAATTCTTTAAACCATTAACAAGATGCTAAGTATCAAGCTCTTAAAACACCTTAAAGTCTGTTGGTGCATAGTGGTTGATGTGGAGATTACCCAGTAATGGGGCAAACTGCTTATCAAATGTTACATGTGTCCCTGCCAAGAGCTAAGTCCCATTGCATAGCTGACAATGTACATACATCTTCTTCAGAGCTGCTGAAGACTCCTGCCAATTCTGTCATCATTTAGTGAACCACTTTACACGAAGACTCAAAGCGCTTTGACCACTTTAAATCACTGAAATGGTTATGATCCTTGGAGTAATATTTGTGAGCCATACACAGAGAAGACTAGACCAGTGCTCTCTTATTTATAATAAGCCATTTATTTAATATATAGTCTTTTTATTCTATATTCTATCTTAAGTGGTAGATGGCAGCAAATAGATTTTTTTTTTTTTTTTTTAATTATAAATGTTTTCTGAGTTTTCATAATAAAGCAGATGTACAGTATGTCAGACTGTCAGTACAATTTTGACAACAGCCAAAACTGGTGAGTCACAGAACAGAAGCATAGTACATCAGTGAAACAAAAATATATAACCACAAAATGCAAGTTTTTGCAATCTGAGATATCACTTGTAATGGAGGGGGCCTCTGGGGACTTTGAATGTACTGTGATCATTGCCCTGGTTGCATTGCAGGTTGGGACATTAATAAGTGTATGTGTCTGGAAGTTTGTACTGCTGTGTGGTGAAAAAGGTAAAATTGAAGGAACGCTATAGTCACAACATCTTGAGCTTAATGAAGCAGTTTTGGTGTATAGATCATGTCCGTGCAGTCCTTAGTCTTACTGCTCCATTATCTGCCATTTAGGAGTTTAATCAGTTTTGTTAATGTAGTGCTAGTCACACTTCCCTGCATGTGACCTACACAACTTTCCTGAACACTTCTTGTAAAGAGTCATCTAATGTTTATACTTCCTTTATTGGAAATTCTTTCATTTAGAATTTGTCTCCTGAGTGTAATTAAAGTTCAATTTCCAGAGCATGCGATGAAAACATTTAAAGTAGAGGCATCTTAAAAAAACATTTTGTTTTAATGCAGGCTGTCGGTCACAGCCAGGGGAAGTTAGGCTAGAGCTGCATAAACTGAAAAGTGATTTAACTCCTAAATGGCAGAGAACTGTTAATTAAGACTTCAGAGGCATGGTCTATACACAAAAACTGCTTTCTTAAAGGGGTTCTATAGTCACCAGAACAACTACAGCGTATTGAATTTGTTCTGGTGAGTATAATCATTATCTTTAGGCTTTTTGCTGTAAACACTGTCTTTTCAGAGAAAATGCAGTATTTACATTACAGCCTAGTGATAACTTCACTGGCCACTCCTCAGATAGCTGTTAGAGATCCTTCCTGGGTCATGGCTGCCTAAAATACATTCAAACATTCAGTATCTCCACCCTCTGCATGCAGACACTGAACTTTCCTCATAGAGATTCATTGATTCAATTCACCTCTATGAGGAGATGCTGATTGGCCAGGACTGTGTTTGAATCATGCTGGCTCTGCCCCTGATCTGCCTCTTTGTCAGTCTCAGCCAATCCTATGAGGAAGTATTGTGATTGGATCAGGCTACCACTTCTGCTGATGTCAGCAGGCAGTGGGCAAGTCTAAAGGAAACCGTGACAAAGCCAGCAGCTTTAGGCTTGAATACAAGTAAGATATTACTATTTGAAGGGCTCAGGGTGGCTAGATGGTGGTTTTAACCCTATATGTTCAGGAATACATGTTTGTGTTCTTGATCCTATAGTGCTCCTTTAAGCTAAATAAGTTGTTTTGTTGCCTAGAGTTTCCCTTTAAGCAAGAGATCTTCAATACACATGACCTTTATGTATTGTAAACCTACCTCTGCTAAACCCTTCTGTAACTTTTTATAATGTGCTTACTGTTACAAATAGTCCAGTTCTGAAAGCATGTATATGTTCTCCCTTTCCCATTGAAATATATCTGCTCAAATTGTAGAGGAATGCATCTGCTTATGTTTGCTTTATTAGCCATAATGTTTGGATCACCAAATCTGTTTCCTGTATGTCCTGCAGCTGGTAAACTTCCTGGCTTGCTCCTCCGGCTTTGTAAAGCAAGACAATATGGTCTCCCTTTTAATTAAACTTCTGTCTGTTCAGCAGGTGCTGCCTAATACCGCAGGGCTCGTAAAATAGATTGATGTGTAATTGTCAGCTAAATTACAAGGCAATATTAAACTATGAAGTAGCATGTGCCAACAAAAGTAATAGTTTGTTCAGCCTATTGCTTTGCACGGGCCGAAGAGCAATGCGGGGGTAGACCATTTGCTAGCTGTAGCTAGCCATCTTGTGATGCCATTTTAGTTTCAGGGAAAAATGTCAGTGGCAATCTCTAAACACATATGCATTTTTTTTTTCTGCTTGTTTTTTTGTTTTGTTTTGCTTATACAGTCCACATACTGTGATGCAGTTAAAACTTCTGAAATTAGTTTAAGTATTGTTAGGTACCTTGGATATCAGAAATTAATATAGTAGAAAACGTAATAAAACAACTATTTTGAGTAGTATGTGGAAGAGACACATAAGGTAGACTACCGTATATTCATGGGGAAGTATAGAGTGATTTTGTATGTGTGCTTTCGGATTATAGTTGATTATAATTTATCACGAGGTTCAAAGTATATAAACATGAAATATTGTTAAATTTGTAATAGGTATATAATAGGTATATAATGGTTACCAGGATTGCATGTTTTGTCCTGCAAATTGCTTACCCAAGTGTGAGGCTTCCTTGTTTCATGGAAGAAAAATCAATGGAGCTTGTAGCTGGTGGGCAGACAGTAAGTTATCTAGAGCAGGGGTTTCCAATGAATTTTTTGGAATCCTTTGACATAGTGTATCAACATCGCAGATCCCCTCACCCTCTGTTTGGTTCGTGTTTGATTGCTGGGATGTATGCCACATACATACTTACACAGATATACATACACATTAACACAGAGATGCACATAAACACATTTCACATATACACACATTCATAAACACACACAAAGATACACACTGACACACGAACACCTGACACACAGATGCACTGGCGTAGATACACACATATACACAAACAGACATAAACACACTCCGATACACACAGTGACACACGCACACCTTAACACACAGATACACTGAAAGATACACACTGACACTCAGAAACACACTGAACCACAGATAGACACTAGCACATACACACAGATACACAACCTGGCACTGACACATGAATACACACACTCAGATACACATTGACACACACAGGGACATACACTTGCACACACCTTAACACTCAGATACACGCACACACACACTGAAATATGCACTCAGATACACAGTGACACATACACACACACACACACACACACAATCAAATACATACACATGTCATTGTATATATGCAGTCACCCTCCTGTTCGCATACCTGTTGTCTGCAGGAGGGTGACTTGCTGGCTGAGGCTGGTGTGTGTGTGGGGGAGCTGCTCAGTCCTGGCTGCTGCATCCTTCCCTCCAGTGCAACTTTTTTTTATATGAAGCTGGGAGGAAGTGACCGTCCGTTACTTCCTTCCAGCATCCCATACTATGGAGACCCGATTGTGCTATTAATCGGCCGTGGCGCTGACCGGGTCCCTGTGCAGCAATGCCCATCAGGTGGCCCTCATGGGCCACCTGATGGGAAAATCACTGCGGTACCCCAATTTTGTTCTCACCAATTGGAAAACGCTGATCTAGAGAAAAGCGTAAAGTAATTTATCTCTAAAATCTCATCAGGTTTGATACAATCAATCTTATCTGGTACAAGCAGCAGTATGTACATTCAGAAAAGTACTGTCTAGAGATGTGCACAACCATTTTACTTCAAATGGTCATTCTATCCTGGGACCAAGATTAGAGTAATTAGCAACCTTTCCCCGTTGAGAATAGAAGTGATGTTATAGTGATTTAGTCATAGGATGAAATTAAAAGGATCTCTTTTTATAATGTCTGTTGGGCTTTTCTTCTGCACTACATTTTACGATTGTTTTGTAGATTTAGATTCAGGACTCCCTTTAAGATGAAAAAAATAAATAAAATATTTAATGGTTATCTAATGCTGAGGTATTTTTCATACAGAAGACCAATCCTTCTCATGGAGGAGAACAGGGAACTTAGAGCACATGTAGCAGATGCCTCACTCCACCAGTAAAATTTTACTCATAAAGAAGCATTGAATCCAGCACTTCACTATAAGAAGTCTTGACCATGTTTTTCATTGTACTGTACAAAAATTGAAGACCTTAAGAAGGCAATGCATCTACTGGCTGTCATACTGATAGCCAGTATAGTCATGTTTTCAAATAAATGTAAGCATTGCCAAAATGAAACAATTTACAATTGCTAGCTTTGAATATACTCTGACATTTCTTGATCCCTCTCTCCTCCACTTTCTTCTCCTTGGCTGCTAGCCTCTTAAAAAAAAATAAAAAATACTTAAGGATTATAGAAACATTAGGAAATATACCTGTATTTCTAACTCTATGCCCTTTTAGTTGATGATTTCAGTTCAGTGCTCCTCATAGAAACTTTAGCAAGTGCATCCAAAATGCTTCTCATAGGAAAGGATTGAATTTGATACTTATCGCATCACCGCGTCACTTGACCAGGTTTCACTCAGTGTAGCGGAAGCTCTTCTAGTGGTTGTCTGTTCTACAAAACTGCAATGCCTTAAATTTCAAGGTAAAACCTAAAGGCCCACTGCACCCAGACCACATCATTGAGATGTAGTGGTCTGGGTGATTTTAGTGGTACTTTAAATTGCATAGTCCTTCTGGTGAATATGAATAGAGCTATGCTAGAAAAATGTGTTCCTTCACAATGTTCCTCCAATAGTGTATAGAGGGCAAATTTTAATTTAATTTTTTTTTTAGTTTTACTTTGTACTGTGGGAAGGGGTTAAAACTAAACTGTTTCAACTAAATACAGTAAAACAAAAAAATATATATTTCTTTTCATGAAATCCCCTGCCAGAGAGAAAATAAAATAACAAGTACATTGTTTTGAGCATAGATCGAATACCTTTTTCTAGATTGGACCTGTTTTTGAGTAATCCTACCAAACATCAATGACCTGTATTGCTTCACTATACATTATGCTGGTATTGATTTTCCCCTTTGTGATGCCTTTGCATGCTATTTTCAGATGTATAGTTGACAAATTAGCATGTTAAGGCACTGTATTCACCAAGGAAGTTAAGTAAAAGGAAAATGAATTGGGGTTGCTAGCTTCTTGAGTAGGTTCTGTTAGGTCATACGTTAATCCTTTCGCAGTTGAAGTTCATGCTAACTCACAAGAAAACCAAGCTTTGACCTGCTGACTCGTTTGTCAGCTCGGATGCGGCTGAAATGTGAGAAAATGGACTCAATGCTTTCAAAAACGCCTGAAGTGATGAACATCACTTATGCTTGTTTAACCTTCAGTTGTGCTCAAGAATTCAGCTGCAACATTAAGAACTGGTTCTTTGGTATTTTATGTCAAAATGTTCCCTGCTGTATCTCCCCCAACCCCTCCTTTCCTTATGCAAATACACCCTTCTTTGCATTCTTCAAATAATTTGGAAATTACTTGTTCCTCTTATTTTAGTTGTTTATAAGATTAGTTTCTTTGTACACTGCTTACACCCTTAGTAATATTAAGCCCTGTAAGTATTACGTTATGTTGGATCATGAAGTAAAGTGAGCTTAACATCCCCAATCATATTCATTTTATGACCAGATAGCTGAGAATATATTTCACACTGCAGGGGGTGTTACACCTTCTAATTTACAAAACTAAATCTTTTTCCATCTACACAAAGCTGTGTTACTAAATGAGATTGAGGTTTTTGTAAAACACCGGTGAGTCTGTGATCTATGTTTTTTATTTTTGTGCAGAACTATTTATGGGCCAAAAGACAGCTACTTAAAAGATAATTCTATTATTGGTTTTATGGCTTATTAGTTCTTGCAATCTAATCATTTTCTTTGTGTCTTCCATTTAATTTAGAGACCTTTCTCTTTAAACCCCATTTTAATACTACTTGCGTATAGATTGCTGCTTATTTCCTCTAATTTAAATGTATTTGGTTTGTCAGCACTGCCAAAAATGAGCTTCCCCATGTTTGTAACCCTCACACCCTCTGTATGATATAAGTTGACATTCTGTTCCAGAATACTTTTCCAGTTACATTCATGGCTTAGAAGTGCCTAAAGCAGTTGGAAACAGCTGGTGGAATAGATTCCATTAAAATGTGATAAAGCTCAGTCGTTGCAGCCATCTGTAAGTGAAGGTGTGGACAAAACTCAACAACTAAAGATACGCAAAACTGCCCAAAGTGCTAACCTCCTGTTATGTCCGCTCTTATCTTTGGTTTAAAAGCTATTATTTTCCTAGCAGGTGTCTCTGATCATAGCAGCCGCAGAAGGCACAAAATAACATTTTGAAATGTGCAGAACTAGAATTTAGTTAACTATAAAAGAGTGGTTATTGGTTAAAGCAGCTCTGTCACCTTTAGGGGTCTTTGCATATTTTGCAAGGTGACATCAGTCAAAGGTAATTATACTTGAGCAAAGCTCTCCTTTGTAGGCAACTTTCTTTCTTCAGCTTCTGATGTTTCAACCACCAGGAGCTCACTTCACTACTGTTCTCTCACACATAGAGCAGATCTTTTGTTGCCCTAGCAATGCCTGTAGGAATTGGCAAAATCTTTTCTTTCATTTTCCATAAGTCCATGACATTTTAAGGCCACCTCTACATCTAATGCCATTAGAAAGAATTTCACTTCCATTATTACCTGTATATAATTGCACGGCAAAATGATATTGTAGTGGGTGTAATACAAGGAGGCTAAACTTCCTAGCCCCGCTAAGTCTGCTACTCTGCTGTAGAAGATGAGATATATATATCTTGATAAAGACCTGCGGGTCGAAACGTCGATTTTTTTTTTTTCTGTACACCGATAAAAAATTTTTTTCAACAAGTCCTTTGGAGTGCTCTCTTTGCTACTATTTCTATATATATATATATATATAATTTTTTATTATTTTTTTTTTTACTATTTGTCAGTGCAATAGAAATTTACTATAATCCGTTAATGTGCACCTTCTCTGTATTATGTACTTGTAAGCAGAGGGAGAAGGATGAGAATTCTGGGGAATTTATTAATTTATTTTTTTCATATTCTTGTGCCCCTGTTCATATTAATGTATAGGTCTCCCCTCTTTTTTTTTTTTTTTTTCTTCTCAAAAAAAAATATATACATTTAAAGATTTTTATTATCTTTTTTCCAGCCCCGTGACTCACCTCTTCCTTCTAGTAATGTCATGTCCTCCATTGTTGGTCCAACGATAGAGGAGCATTAGGGACATGTGCACCAAAATTCGCCATAGGAAAGTATTGTATTCAGTGATTTCCTAGATGCTTCTGTGTCACGTGACTGAAATTTACTTGGTTAGTGCAGGGGAAGCATCTCTGGTGGCTGTCTGGAAAACAAAGTAAATATTGCTGTTACAAAACAACAACAAAAAATCTACCGTGTTTTCATCTGCAGGTTAAAAGGATGAAGTGGTCTGGGTGAATTTAGTGGTCTATTAAATGCTTGACAAAAACTCAAAGGCACTGCAACTGTGACCACCTAGCACCAAAGGCCTACAAAAATATGTATTGTGGTTAGTGTCCCTTAAGTATGTGCACGTGTAGTAATAACAATGAAGATTGACTTTTCATGTATGAAGGAGGTGACCTACTTTCTCAGTGATCAACCAATTATATTAGTCTTTGCTTGAATTTATAACGTTTGTGGCTGCTTACGTAACAAAGGGATTTGAAACAAATACTTAAAGGGACACTGTATGCACCCATAACACTTCAGCTCATTGAAGTGGTCTGGGTGCTGTCTCTTCTGCACTTAGTGCTGCAATGTAAAACATTGCAATTCCAGAGAACTGCAATGTTTACATTGCAGCTCTAAGTCTGCCCTCTGTGGCTGTCTTAACCGACAGCCACTAGAGGGTTTCCGGATCTAAACGGACTTTTGGTCCGTTATCTGATTCTGGATGTCGTCATGGACCTCCAGCATCAGTATCTCCCTATAGGAAAGCATTGAATAATACTTTCCTATGGGGAGTTCTAATGCACGCGCGCCTATTGCCTGCCCATGCGCATTAGGTCTCCCTGCCGGCTGACGGTGGGGGAGGAGCGTGGGTGGAGCCTGACCCAGCGCCAAGGGATTCAGTTAAGTGGCGGGAGGGGGGCACTCCAGCAACCTGTAGTGCCAGGAAAACAGGTTTGATTTCCTGGCACTATAGGATCCCTTTAAACAAAAAAATAGCATTTTACATGTTCTTTATTATGAAACACTATCCGTGTTAGATTTTTCTAAGCTTCCCTACATAATCAATTGCCTAGAATCTATGCTATTAAACTGATCTCTTCAAATACTGCTGTCACCCTAAAAGAGAAGTGTTTGCTTGCTGAGGATTGTGTGAACTGCCTTTTCACAACTAGAGAGCTTACACATTGGTTACAACTGATCTGAAAAATATGATGTATCTAAACTAGTAGACCCAATTTTATTTCAATGTTATTCTGTCATTTATAAGTATTTTAATTAAGAAATTAATCCCAGGGAAGGTAAGAGGCAGCTAGATTTTTAAAGAAAGTCCAAAAGTAATTTAACTTTTTAGACCTATGAAGTGTTATGTTGACATTCAGTCACAATCCTATTAAAACACTGTATGCTGCATCTAATTGCCTTCTGATGATTGCATGGTTAAATCATTGTTTTAGTAAGGTTACATTAGTAAACAGGAAGGAGTCTTTAAACATAATTCCTCCTATTTGGATAGATCTATTGCTTTTTATGTAATTAAAGACCTTTATCAGTTTGCATTTAACTGTTAACTTACCAGTATCATTTTTAAATAAGCATACTTCAGGCACGTCTAAACAGACATTTGTTCAGTCCCTAAACCTTAATTGTGTAAATTGCATGGCTATAAACATTTCTTAAGTAGCTGTAGTAATCATGAGTGACCTTGGCCTTTGTATCCTAGAAATAAGTGCCTGTCTGTATCTTGCTCATTCAATGATGCCTTTTCTCGGAACTCATTAATAGTGCCAAGCGTATCATTGTTGCAGTTCTTAAACTACATGTTTACTCACTGTACTTTATTACAAAATACAAGTTTTATTGGTATTTTTAGGCATTTTAATTGGATTTCATTAACAAGTTGAGCATTTTCATTAAAGGAACACGAACTATAGAGTTAGAAGCACAAATGTATTCCGAACGCTAAAGTGTTGTCCTTGATTTAAATTATTCCCCATGTTCTGGTCTCCGTACAGCTACACTGTTTCCCGGGCTTAGATGATCATTACTGATGATCTCAGCCAATCCAATGTTGTATGGAAGCTTTGGCAGGCTAGTGTTCATGCGCGACAATAAGCGGAGTTGTGCCAATCAGCATCTACTCATAGAGGTGTATTGAGTCAATGCCCCAGTTGAGGAGCATTCTATATTCCATGCATAGGTGGCCTTAGGCAACGGTGTAAGCATTTACACTGCTGATGCTGCAATGACAGGCTATATGCTACACTACATTACTACTACATTAAACTGTAGTAGTTCTGGTGCATATAGTGCTAGTTTAACCCCTTAAGGACCAAACTTCTGGCATAAAAGGGAATCATGACATGTCACACATGTCATGTGTCCTTAAGGGGTTAAAGCATGCACCCTGTTTAATATCTCTGGCTTTAGCTTACACACTAACTTACTTATATCTCAAGTTTTGGAACTGTGAAGCAAAACATATACTATATTTATTTTTTGTTTCCTACCATGAAAATTTGACTTACATTTTTACTTAAGTATTGAGTAGTTGTAAGATTTGAAAATACTGCAAATAGAAATGATGGCTAATGTTTCCATGCCTCCAAATTGTCCCAGTATTTGTTGGAAAATATCCCTAATCTGTTTAGTGTGAGTGGAACAAAAAATGTTTGTACTATGCAAAATGTCAGATGATAAATAGCCTGCACGGAGAGACCAAAAGCACACTATGCTTGTCCTGCCCTCAGTGAGGCCCTGTCAGACAGCCTAGTATGTATTTGAGCCAGGCTGACATGCTATTTCTTTGGGTATTTTGATACAATACCACACTTTTGGGCATCACCAATAATGCAAGTGGTGTTACTGTTAAGCTACCATAGGCATGCCCAGGGTATGCATGTCTCTCCAACTGTTTTGGATTACAGTTACCTTTATGCTCAGTTTCCCACGCAGTAATGGCTAATAATACCTGGAGTATCGAATATTAACCATAACAGCTGTGGGGTGCCTTCTTGTGATAACACAGTTGAATGTACATGTCAACGCCTAGATTTGTTTTTGTTTATTTTTGACCTGAAGGAACATTTTATTCAAATGAGCTTCTTACAGGTGTATGCTCTTCTACCCACATTTGAGAGAAATAATAAAAAAAAGACAATCTAAAACACACGTGTTATTTCCTTGAACTGACTTAATTTAGGAAATGGTGACTCATGCATTTGCAATTTCCAAGCTGACCTTGTTGCTCTTTCTGTCGATGGTGAGTGACCTCTGTAATAATGTATGGTGGAAGTATAGGTTGCTGTCACTTAATGTTCAGTAAGTTGATTCCGTCTGCATCTTTAAATCTGTTTTTCCTTTTTTGACATGTTTAATTTTTTTTAGAAAGTACTTATTGCAGAATACGCACACATCATATTATACATTTCATGACTAGTAAACTTGGACTGCATACTGACAGGGCAATGGAGACAGCAGTCAAATACAAGGTATAACTTCCTTGAATTTTTTTTGTCATCCGTCTACCAAAAGACTGCCTCAAAACCCCGTAATACAATAAAAAGCTAGTAATCTTCCCCATACTGTATATCAAATTTGAACATTACCATAACTTTACTGTAAATAATGGATTGACAGGCTCCTTGAGCATCTTTGCAGTGATTAGGTGTACAGTGCTGTGTACATAGTTTTTCTTCTTCTAAGCAGTGTAAATCGCATTGTGCTTGCACTATTTGTTAGGAAAGTTCCATCTTTCACAGGAAAGATTTGCAATATAGCTCCTTCTGTTGCAGCTGGCAACATATATTGCATCTCATATTGTTTTATCTTTTTTTTAATTTTTAAATTGGTTTGCCTCACTTTTTCATGTCGCTACACAGCCTGCATTTAATATTCCGAATTAAATCCGAACAATGAAATCAATGTATTCTTTAAAAATATAGTATATATGCTATTCGTTGTATCCAGCAAAATGTAAGGCTGTGTGGCATATAGGTTTTTCACAGGCAAGTATATTGTTTGAAGCAGGTGGCTAGCAGTTCAGAAATAATTGGGAAAAAAAATAAAGTACTGTCCAAGCTCTTTACATTTGAGTTTGTAGTGCACTGAGCCTCCATTCTGAGCTGCAGTCTTGGGAAAAAAAAGTAGATGGAAGTAGCTGGTCACATGAAAATTCAGTTGAATGAAAAGCTCTTTGTTCCTAGTCCTAGAAAAGTATCTCTGAGCTCCACATTACAGTGCTGCTAGTGTTATTGAAGACTAACCATTGGCTGGTGCAAAGGTGGCTAAAAACACACACACACACACAGTAAATGGAAAAGATTTTCTCCCAGGCAACACAGTGGCTCAAGCTTATAACTAGGTCAGGTGATTGGCATATTTGTCTCTTATAGAGAACTTTCATTTGTTTCCCAGTCTTCCAAGTATAAATGCTAGTTTCAGACTCCAGATTCAAAGAAGAGCTGGACCTGGTATCCCTGATCACTGGTTATTATTCATACCTAACTTTTGATTTCTCCAATTGTAGCTTTCACGTTTTAATGCAGAGAAAAATTTGCAAGGTTTAAAGGGACACTATAGTCACCAGGAATAGTACAACTTAATGAAGTTGTTCTGGTGTGTGTGCTATGACCCTGCAGGCTTATTAATGTAGGTTCTGCATTTCATTTGATTGTGTGTTTATTACATTTTGATTGGAGATGCATGTGGAGGCAGTTCACACATCTCTCTAGCAATAAGCCATCAAGATTTAATGCATCTCATAGGACTGCATTAAAATAATAAATTTCCACTAGATGGTAGGCACACTAATTGGGGTAAGGTTTATACCTTCTTGTGGGAACTATGGTTAAAGTAACTAAAACTTGATTATTACAGTCTTGCTTTCTCTGTATGTGAGTGAGGCAGCAGCTCCTTGTGGCACAGTAGAAGAGCAACAATTTGATAATGGTAAATTAAGACCCCTTTTGTGTAGCTTCCTTCTTGTTTCATTTTTTTATTTTTTATTTTTTTTTCACCTGGCTGGTTCTGATCTATGGTTTGTCAAAACAAAAGTAAATACCTGAAAGTAAGCAAGCAAGCAGGAAAAAAAAAATGCTACTAGAAAAGTATCCTGATTAAATGGGATCATGTCAGATAAGGTGATGGGCAATGTAAAAAGATAATAGCAAGAAGTTTCCCTAGTGTATCTTTAACATTATGACCCACCAATTTGTCAAGTGAAAAAAGTCATCTTTGCATATCATTTGAACTGGAGTCTGTACTTTGTTGAAGATAAGCAGGCAATGTTGCTCCTGAGAAATAATGATGCTAATTTATCTTTGCCTGTCCACCTAGCAAATGGAAAGACTGCTTCGGAAAAGAAATTGAGAAATAACTGAGCCGTACTGAGCAATTTCTTTCACTTTATATTCCTGTTATAGATTTAGGGACTTTAAAATGGCTGTCGACTGGAAATTTTTCTACTATTTAAACACATTATTTGTACATTTGGTAAATCTAATACAATAATTACATTTATAATGTGCTGTTTGTGAAATATAAAGGGGTTTATTGCAAAACATGAAATCGTTGTGGGTGGCATTGTTGACCAATGTAAGCTAAACTGATCCCCTCTTCTCTTCCTTTATGTGCATAACCACAAATTATGGGTCGTGGCAACAGAATTTAATAGACATATGGGATTCACAATAACCTTGTGTCTATATTTTCCTTGAATTTATTTAGTGTTCAACATCACTGGCTATTCTGAATAATTACTGCCCCTTTAAAAATGACTTTTCTTCACATTTACATGTTGCAGTCATGGATGTTCTCTCTTTGCTACCAAAGTGAGATTGATTAGATGTTGATCACTTTAATGTCACAGAGCGGTATAGTACATAGTTATCCGTTTTTGAACCGCATTTATGTGAATAACCTAGCTTTCAGTAAACCAAGTACTTTTATATGCAAAGAACAGGGGCTTCTTTTCCCTTAGGCTGCCGCTACCAAGTAATAGCTTGTTTTCAGTCTTGCTGTGTCTTCAACACGTTTCAGAATGTGCATTCCTGATGGGTTTCATGGTGCGACTGTAGAAAACAAGTTATGTCTAGTATTGTGCCTTTTGTAACTTGTTGGAACTCTTATACATCATTCTATAGATGTTTGGTAAGCTTGTGAATCCTTGTCTATAGTAAGCCTCAGGAAGAGTAGTCTTTTGCAGACTACATTCTGTTTCCCTATTCAGAATGCCATCGAGAGTCGAACACAGCATGAAGTGTTTTAAAATCAAAGAGACTTTTTAGCTCCAAGCCCTACCGATTACCAGATTTGATTTAGTTTAGTATTAAATCACAGTTTGCCAAGTTTATTCATGATCTGTTGCTGCAGTGAAGTCAATTTAGGAAAACTTTTCTTGTGTGCCTTTTCTTGCAATGTTAAAAACAAACCAGCTAAATAAAAAAGGAAAATTTACTCATTTATTCTGATTTGTTTTTCATTGATATGTATAGACTAATATCTGCAGTGCTGTGGATAGGTAATTAAAATGAAACTAAATTGTGACAAATTAAAATGAAGCTAAATTGTGACAAAAGAGAAAACAGATCATATAGTGTTTACTATGTATGACCCATGATTACTGCTTTCATCATTTGAAAATTTTTTTGAGAGAGACTTCTTTCTTGCAAGACAGATCTGTGCATATTAGTCAGTCACCTTTTTCAGAAACTGTATTCTTCTAACTCCATCAGTACACAAACACATGTATGTCTAGGAATCTGTGCTACACTGTGTATGAAGTTATTTGATATTAAATTATGAATGGGAGGTCTCTTTCCCCCTGTGAATGGAAACCTTCATATGCAAAGGATCTTTGACCAGTGCATGGTAAATTTGTACTGAAGACTTAATTGCAATGGTAGGCTTCTCTTTGTCAGCTAGATAAAAGCATTCCATGGCATGTGTTGCCAGAAAGGAGTTACACAAGGCTGGGCTGGGGAACTTGCAGCTGTTACCATTCATGTCAGTCAAGGGTCCAGGAAGGCAAATAGAAGTGTAAGCCTGCAGATCCCTTGGGGACATGGGGCCTGACTGGTGGAGGTTGATAAGAACAGAGTCAGTCAAATATTTCTCTTGAGGCTTTTCTAAACCTGGTCCGGTTACTGTGCAGCAACTGTTTTGTTGTTTTTTTGTTTTTTTTTATTACAAAGTATGAGCTCATCTCTCTGTATTTTTATTTTTTTTTTGCTGTGCTCAAGATAGTAAATAGCATGATTATAGGTTTTAAATTTATTTACACATCTGTATGACCATTTCACTTCACTTGATATTACTTGCTTACCCTTATTTTATTCACTCTCTGTTGAGAGAGAGGCAAAGTGCAGGATTGTTATTCCTAAAATCTGCTGACATTGGGACACTCTGCTTGTACACTATGATGGTTTTAGAATGAGTGCTCTTTAGCAGAGCACCCTCTCTATATCTTGTTCATGTAAGTTAAAGGGTACACCTCACACTATGATCGCTCCATATGTGAGGTGTTTCACTATGAAGCACTTCACATTCAGAACTTAAAGGGATACTATAAGTGCCAGAAATACAAAGCTGTATTCCATGCACTATATCTCCCTCTGCCTCTCTTGCACCTTTCCATGGTGGTCAATAGGTTACAAATCCTTATCCCAGCGCCTATGTTCCACCTCGTACTCAGTCCTGCGATTAACTAATGCTCATGAATGGCAAATCCTGCACGCACATCAGACCTCCCCTTAGGAAAATAAACAAGAAAAATTATACCACTAAAAAAAAAATACAGTGCAGAAAACGCAACCTCCTAAATAAAGTGTTCTCTCTACGGAAACTCTCAAAAGAAAAAAAAAAAAGGGGGTGGCTACCAAAATACTAAATGGTGTAAATAATATATAAAATACAACCTCTTAGTAGAGATGAACTAGAAGGAAAATTAAATCTGTGAAAAAAAACACTATACATAATATATTCTAGAAAACACTATAGGGTAGGGGGTTGAATCAATGCTTTCCTATGGGGAAAACATTCTAACGCTGGATGTCCTCATGCAAAGCGTGAGGACGTCCAGTGTCCGTTACCGGACTAAAGGTTCATTACGATGCAGGAAGCTCCTCCAATGCCTGTCTGGTAGACTGCCACTGGAGACAGACTTAATGCTGTAATATAAATATTGCAATTTCTCTGGAACTGCAATATTTTACATTGCAGTGCTAAATGCAATAGGGACATTGCACCCAGACCACTTTAATGAGCTGAAGTGGTCTGAGTGCCTATAGTGTTCCTTTAACCCCTCTGCTGCCAGAGGTGTAACTTTCAGCCTAGAAGAGCTGTTATTTTTATTATTATTGCCATTTATATAGCGCCAACAGATTCTGTAGCGCTTAACAGTATTATGAGAGAGGGGATTTAACTATAAATAGGACAATTATAAGAAAACTTACAGGAACAATAGGTTGAAGAGGACCCTGCTCAAATGAGCTTACAGTCTATAGGATTGACTTGGTAATATCAATTGCGAGTATATTGTAACTCTGTCAGCAGTCACAGCATGCTGGAGACAGGTGTCCAGTGGGGGCACCAGGAGTGATCTTGCATGATGTGCAATAGATGTTTGTTATAAACTCGCTGCAGTAGACCCAAATTATACCAAAATGCTGACTTAACTTTAACAGGATTGCCGGTATAGTTAGTCATGTTAAAGACAAGGTCACAAATGTAAAACTTGTAATGTGGGCATTAAAGGACCACTCTAGGCACCCAGACCACTTCAGCTTAATGAGGTGGTCTGGGTGCCAGGTCCAGCTAGGGTTAACCCATTTTTTCATAAACATAGTTTCAGAGAAACTGCTATGTTTATGAATGGGTTAAGCCTTCCCCTATTTCCTCTAGTGGCTGTCTCATTGACATCCACTAGAGGCGCTTGCGTGCTTCTCACTGTGATTTTCACAGTGAGAGCACGCTAGCGTCCATAGGAAAGCATTATGAATGCTTTCCTATGTGACCGGCTGAATGCGCGCGCAGCTCTTGCCGCGCGTGCGCATTCAGCCACATTGGAGGAGAAGAGGAGGATCGGAGGAGGAGAGCTCCCCGCCCAGCGCTGGAAAAAGGTAAGTTTTTAACCCCTTTCCAGAGCCGGACGGGAGTGGGACCCTGAGGGTGGGGGCACCCTCACGGCACTATAGTGCCAGGAAAACGAGTATGTTTTCCTGGCACTATAGTGGTCCTTTAATAATGGAATCTTATATACATTGTTTTGATTTTTTTTTTTTTCAATATTTAATCAGTTTTGCTTTTTAGTAAAAATAAAGTTATCAAATGCTACTTTTGATAGAGTAGCCTCAGAGAGTTAAATTCAAGTAACCATTTTATCTCTACACTAGAAAGCAGAGAGACCTGGTGGACACCAGGCATGTAGTAGAACCATTCAAAACCAGTTTTACTACTTACCATGGGGGAGGGAGGGTGCCAGGATACTTCTAGCTCCATGACCACTACAGTTACTTTAAGAGAGTTTGAATTGTTCTATTTCATAAATCAACACATTACCATAAGTATATGTTTGCAACCAAGACCTAGTTGTTAAACAGTACACAGTGGGAATCCTTTTGCTTTTACCCTGCTTACCGTAAGTTAGCTTTGTAATAAAGCCAAAATCTCTATTATAAAATCACAAAGTTCATACTGCAGTTCTGTATCCGTTTCATAATCACAGCTGTTATGTTTTGAGTTGTACTGATGGTGCTTTTTAATTTTACTCTGATTTAAGAATTACTGTCCATAATGGGATATGTACAGCTGACCAGATTTATTGTCGCTATCTCACTTGAAGTGAGTCGCTGTGGATGGGAGTAGATGCCTTTTCAGTTGTTGGGCATACCAGGTCCGTTATAACATGAAACTTTAAAATGCTTTGTATTCTGTATTCATTTTAATTTTCCAACAAACAATATTAATCTCCAATTTCTAGACTTAGACATTGCCACTTAGACACTGGTTTTATTAATTTGTGTTTTCTATTGTATGTTCAGAATACAAGAGAAATGTTGAAGAATTTAAGAGGATAAAAAGCTTGAGTCAATCGCTTGGGCTTAAACTAAGCAATGCAAATCCGTCTTTAAGTGACCTTATTGATGTTTACTCAAAGCAGCTTTCTCTTAGTACAAATGACTGAGCTTTGTTGTAGAACTGTACAGGTAGTATTTTGCCTCGCTGGAGATTGACTGTGCATCCCTCGTGCAACCTCTCTTTGCTTCAACAGCGAGTGTATACAGCAATGCCTGGAGCAAAGATAGATTGCCTGTACGTGCCTTATTTGATCAGTTGACAGTTGTCGCGGGGACAGGTCAGCAAAAAAGCAGAACCTCAATTTGCAGCTGACAATATCGGTAGCTGTTAGCTGTGAATGTTCATATGGCTGCATCTAATTCATTTCTAAATATTTGTCTCCAAGTACTTCTCAGGTGAAAAAGTAGAGATTATAAGACAAAACGGTGGCTTTTAAACCTCACAAATCAAGCACCAAATCTATTGACAATCATGTTGTGTAACAAATAGTGCCATCTTCTGGTATGAAAACTGCAATGCGCACTATGTAATGTAAACTACATTTCTTTTACAATTTGAAAAGGAAATATCAAACAGTATTTTGTGTTATGCTCTGCCTTATGTATGTATATTATTTGTATTTTTTAGAAGTGGTTTAGGGAATACCATCTAAGGTGTTTTGAGCGTAATTACTATTTGTTTCCTACATATTGTGCATTTATCTGCAGTATTTTGTGTCTATTTTAAATGCCCAAATCTCAAACGCATTCACTGTGTTTTCTCACTGGCTTCTTTACTGGCTTTAGCATCTAATAGGCAAATGTAGAGTGAAGACAAATCCCAATTTATTAAAAACTAGCACTTATCCAGGGATTTTCATCCTTGTGTCCTAGGTACGGAAGTGCAAATATTTTTCTCAGATGTAACGAAAGCACCACAGAGTTGTCTTTAGTACATGGGCTTAAATCTTTTCAAAGCACAGTTTTAGTTCCCAGGATAAAACCATATTGCTCCCTAAACATAAAAGCACTTTGAATAAAATGCAATTACCACATAGGCTGTAGTAAACTGTTAGGAATCTAAATACTTGTGTTTATGTTCGATCACAGTCACGGGACACCACGTGATTTAATTAAACACACACTAGGCTTTATGCACACGTCTGAAACTAGGCAGTAGTGCAGCATTTCTTTGCAGATGCTAGAGTGCGCTTGATTGCTTCCAGAGAATTATGGGGCATTGATGCTGCGGGACAAAAATGCTGCAGAGGCAAGCATATTTTTATTTATATGAATTCTGGTTGATTTCTAAACATGAATAAACACACACTAAAAGGTAATCAGTTATCTATTTCACAGCTTAAAATTTTTACTCCTATGCTACTAACTAGGCTTTAAAAATTACTCTCCATTGCAAGCCATAACATTACCTCCATGGGTCAATGTCCATTCGCCAGGGCTGTATTGTCACTCGCCAATAGCTAGTGGCAAGTACAACTTTTGAGTCCTGTTTATTTAATTTTTCCACACCTTTCCGTAGACGTTCAGATAGGTCATTTCGGCAATATAATGTTTCACTGTATAATTTTTGCAGACTGTGAGCTGCTTTTGCATACACAGATGTGTTACAATGTATAAAGTTCAATGCTCTCACTTTTTGTAGTGAGAAAGAAGCATGTGTGTCACTTGAGGACAGCACTTAAAATAAATAAAAGAATTACAATAAATAAACAAAATGTTGTTAAAACTACTGCAGAGAAAAACCACAACTGAATGGCTTGTTTAGGCCATTTATTAACGTAAATTATGATTTATTGCTATTGAACAGTTCTCAGCATTTAGGAGACTAATAGTGTACTCCAAGTAAGCCATCTGCTTACCATTTCAGATTCCCTGAAGGGAAATCACAGCAGTTTCTAGAAATTAAACCCGTTTTTCTATTTTTGCTGCTTCTGTGTAGATAAATGCTTTTTTATGAGCTTGTTTGAGCAGGGTCCTCTACACCTTGTCTCTGTCATCACTGCTTTGTATGTCAGCATGTTTTATATTCCCAATGTAATATCCTAAAACCCTATGGAATATGTTGGCGCTGTATAAATAATATAGTAACATCCATTAACTTTTATTCTGTTTACATATTTGTTGGTAATACATTTACCTCTGTACTTTAATTAAAAGTACATTGAGAACTGCTGCAATATTGTATAGCTTAATTATATTATTTGCTAATGGAACTTTGATATATATAATACATTGCTAGACACAAATACACGCACCAGTCAAGCCATAAGACTTGCTTTTCCCACAGAAATTCGCTTTAACTGTGCTCTCACTACTGCAAGGGATTCTGTGTAGGCGTATGCAAATGAGCTCAACAAAGAACCACATTTTTGCCTCATAATTCCACTTTATACATGGATTCCTTGGAGTATGTGTCTTCTGCATTTTTGCCTCATATTTCCACTTTATACATGGATTCCTTGGAGTATGTGTCTGCTGTATAGAACAGCTTTGAAACACAACTCAGGGAGAGGAGCAAAGCCAGTGAACCACTTATGGACAGCTGTTTTGTTGTTAATCAGCATGAGGTTGGTTACTGGCTTGCAATGGAGGCTTGGCGTTACTTGTAAAGTACATACCAACAGAGTTGTGGTGGGGAACATAGTGTGGATGAAAATCGCTTCCACCTGAAGTCACTTACTTCAGGTGGAAGGAGTTTTCATCCACACTTTAACCCCCACCACAATTCTGTTGGTATGTGGTATTAACCTCGATGGTACCACTTTGGAACCTTGTTGGTATGATGCATCGACCTCCTAGCACTAGGCAAAGCGAACAGAGCTGGCAAGTAAAGTGAAGTTACATTTTAATTTGCATTGTGTTTATTTGTTTCTGTATGATTTTATGCATTTATGGTAATATTAAACTGTAAAATTTATTGTAATATTAAACTGTAAAATGTGCTGTACTTTTGGGGGTCTGGAACGGATTTATCTAATTTACATTAATTCTTATGGAAAATGTTGATTCGGTTTTCGAACAACTCTGTACTCAAACAGCCTTCTGGAACAGATTAAGTTCAAGTTCCGAGGTTCCACTGTACCTCTTTGCATGTGAAGAGTCTTTTATTCAGCAGTTAGTAAACCATTTCAAGAGATGTAAAAATGTGGCAACTTAATAATACTTTAGATTATTTTATTTCAAGAGATGTAAAAATTTGGCAATTTAATAATACTTTACATTATTTTATTTCAAGAGATGTAAAAATGTGGCAACTTAAAATCTAAAGTGTTTTTTTTATATATGGGTTTTTGTTGTTGATAAATGGGCAGTGGATAAATTAAGTGTTTGTCTTATGACACTTGCATGTACATAAGTTATTTTGCATCCTGGCCGATTTTAAATTAGTGGTTGTGGAACTTACAATATGGGGGGGAGGGAGAAACTTTAATTTTAAATATTACATATTTTTATTTAATATTTGCAAATATTGTGTTCACGTATGTTAAAGAAAAGTAAAAAAGTAGTTCTTACATTCATAGAAAACGTTTTCCTTCATTCACCCTGTAATAAACTTATGCAGCCTGCTTGTATCGTTAGAAAAGGTTGTTCCTATTTATGCTTCATGGAAAAAAATTCAGACTGCCCTTGACATGTGTTTTTTTGTTTTGTGAAGATTTGGAGTCATCCTCACTACTGGAATGATGTGATTTATTATTGTGATCTTACTGTAGTTATGCTAAATAAAGAATAGAGGATGAGTGAGGAAACTTGTGAATGAAGTAACACACAGAGGTGAAAATGAGTTGGATACATTTATCATATTTAAAAGACATCGTCAAACGCCACAATAGCGTACACTTCTACATATACATACAGGCTAAACAGTGGCATGAAATCTGATTTTTTTTTTTTTTTACTTTTATCATATTTAATGTAAAGGGACAGTTTGTGCATTTTAAATCTTTACATAAGGCAGCATTCCTTGATCAAAAAGCACAGTAGTAATTGTCAAGGTTTTGAAAAATGAAATTCAGGTAAAACCTGCAGTATTTAGCTTCTCCTTGAGTTTCTAACAGGAGCTGAACTGCTGAAGGCATTTGCAAATACCATGGTATTTGCACAAGCAGTTACACTGGAAATCCATGCTTTGAAGTCACTGCAGTCACATGCAATAAGACAATGTAGTTGAAATGTAGCATATTCTTGAGATCTTACTCAAGCATTCTCATGCTGCTCCTATATTCTAATTTTGCCTTATTGAGCAAGTGTGGAACAGAAACTTAAATGTACAAACTTTGCGGCTAAATATACTTTAATTTCTTTTTTGTGTTTAAAGGGGCCAACTCAAGTCTAGCGTGTGCTTTAGTCAATCAAATGATAAAAGTATAAATGATTAATTCTCCAATGTGAATATATCTCCATCCTGCCTCCTTTCCCTGTGGACTTTATACGGTTTGCCATGTTTCCCAGTGGGTGAAGGTCTTGCACAGTGTGTGCAAAGATAATTTAGAATTTTCATGTCCCTGTTAATGACTTAAAACACCAGCAAGTATATACATTGACATATGTACTCTCCTCAACATGACTCTGCAGACATCTTCTACAGACAGCATGGTACTTTGGACTAGATGGAGTGGTTGTGCATGCACCGAAATGACATAATCCGCATTATACAAAACCCAGCATGCACTGTACTATAGGAGTGGTTGGTTGAAACTAGGTCATTTGGGGTTGTCATCTATTCATAGCATCCTTAGATACAGCCTTTACTGCTGCACAGTTGTTAGGTAGGTCAATTTGTATAAAGTACAACATACCTTTCATCCTTTTTACTTCTGCTAGCACAAAGTACAGTTGAATTTTTATGCCAATTTAAATGGCACCAAATCGGAGCCTTAGCATTTTCAGCATTTAAAGTACTAGCGATTTATGCACTTAAAATGTTAATAACCTAACAGTTTTTTTGTTGTTTTTTTTTCACCTGCAGGCAGAAGGAGAAGACAGCTTAAAAAAAATGCAGCTGATGGAACTGGCCATCCTTAACGGCACCTACAGGGATGCCAATTTAAAATCACGTAAGGCAATTGTGTCCTTGTTTTTCCACATATTAATGTCAACATTTCTCCAATCTATTCTTCTGACATGTGCATAGAAGCAGCCGCACATCTGTCTCCAATATTAATGCCCCCCCAAAAAACTTTGCCATTTTTATTTATTTTTTTCTGTATGTTAGTCTTGTAAGAAAAGCGAATGGAATTTTGTATGTGTTTACATAGTATGTGTGTGCGTGGACAGTGCTGGTAACAATAGTCAGGGTTTAAAAAAAAAAAAAAAATAGCTCTCAGCTGACCGATTATCTAACTAGCAACACATGATCAGAGCAAGTTTGAAGACCCTATGAACACTGTCCCTCAGTGCAGTCTTTTGATGTGCTCACTCTGCCCTGAATCGAGAATCTTTCCTGGTGTTCAGAGGGAACAAACCCAGAATGGTATGAAAGGAGTTTGAATTTTGAATGTTCTGGCAGGACATTTGGGAGGTATATATGGGTGCTGTATGGTTAATCTAGTATGCACAATACAGCTCACTCCTTTCCAAACCAGCGTTAAAGCTTACAAAATGTATGCAAATATTTGCCTGATACAGACGAATACACCATTATTATTGTATTATTTGTTTGCATTAAAAAAAATGGCAGATTGTGTGTGCATGACTGTGAATACAAGAATTAGAACCCCCAGTTACTGTTGTGGAAGGGAGGATAAGTAATTCTTCTCCTTTTCACATATTCTCTGGAAGGCATACCTTCTATCTGTCCCAAATAGCCCCAGTTTGAGTGTGGATGTGCAAAGGATGAGATGTCAAAGCAAGTAAAAGCATGGAGTGTTTCCATTTGGACGGCACTGGTATGTGTGATGCTTTTAACAGAATGGTCACTTCTAGCACAGTGTTCCTTTAAAAACCATCCTGGTAAAATTCTGTTATTATATGGAAGCAAACGATAATGACCTTTGGTCAGAAGGTCCAAAATTATTTTCCTGCATCTTTTGTTAATTTAGCCACGCTTTCAGTTTATGTGTATAAAATGAAAATCTTATGTGTTATGTCTTACTCCCTCAGAGCATGTGCATGTGAGCTCTAGCGTATACACTGCCAAATGAGCTTATAAGCTATGCATTACTGCATTTAAACATCTACAAAGTATGGTTGGTGCAGCACTGTAGCAGTTTATGTTAAAGTAAGGGGAAAAAACTGAATGTTTTGTCAGTATGTTTTTTTTGTTTGTTTTTTTGGTTTTTGTTTTTTTAAAAAGCTTGTTTTTTTTTCTCGTGGATGGGCAACTTAAAACATGTTTACTTAAAGCAGTCTTCCCCAAACTCCGGCCCTCTAGATGTTGCTGAACTACAACTCCCATGATTCTATGAATGAAATAGGCTGAGAATCATGGGAGTTGTAGTTCAGCAACATCTGGAGGGCTGGAGTTTGGGGAAGCCTGACTTAAAGTATGTTTTATTACTTTTAATGTGCTGTCATCTTGCCCAAGGTTATTCCTATATAACGTGCAATTGAACCCCTCTTACTCCCCACAAAATAAGTCAATTCAATCCAGGACAGACACACGTGCGAAATTAAAGTTTTCCTCCGATATTTTTTTTATTTTATTTTTTTAATGCAAAATCACACAGTGTACATCTCCTAAGTGGCTACAGTACTGTTGGATTTAAAGAAAGTCAGTTTTGCTTGCTTAATACCTATTCTGTATAGTGTGCTGGATTGTTATTTTGAAAATACTTGAAGGTAAATACCTGTAGAACCGTTTCTTTGCAGGAAGTCAATTATGCACCTGCTACGTTTTGTGTTTATCGCTATGTATATTTGATACTGTTTTTTTTTTTTTATGCAGACAATTTATTCTAGAATGTGATAATGTAAAATTACCACAGCTTGGTTTTATACACTGCAGTTACAAGTTGGAGGTGTTTTTGCCATCTTGCCACTGATTTTGTGAATAAACACCTTTAGATATGGTCAAACTATTCCTAAATGTTTTATCTCATATTGAGTGTATTTATAGGTTATTGTGTAACAACCCTTTTAACTCTTTTGCACATTAATATTTCTCAAACTGGTCATGACTCCATTTCCCATAAATGTTTCTACATTTTGTTTGTCTATCGCTCATTCACAGGCTACTCTAACATTTCTTCTTGGCAACACATATTCTCTCTTTTTTAAAAAAAAATTTCTTCTTTTAATTTTTTGTTTTCCTTAAATCATTTGCTGGTTTTGAGATTGCTTCTTATAGGTTCTTGTTTGATTATAAGCATGTTTGCATATAATCTCACTAGTAATTGGAAATAGCTTATCTACATTTCAGTGGTGTGCTTTGGCACTTTGTGATCAGCGCATGAACTAATGATTTTCCTTTTTTTTTTCTTCCTTCCTGCTTATTTCTATACCTTCCTTTCCTTTGCCCTAAACCCATTTTTTCGCACTGCTGCCTCTACATTTCCTTCTAATTTTCTTTGCTTACTGTAGCAGCCCTTGCCTTTTCTCTTGCAGCGACCGCTCAGGCCCCCCGGATTATAACTGGGCCTGCGCCTGTTTTGCCTCCAGCTGCTCTGCGTACACCTACGCCAGCTGGACCTACCTTAATGCCTTTGATCAGACAAATACAGACAGCGGCTGTCATGCCAAACGGATCCCCACATCCGACTGCAACGTTAGTCCCTCAAGGACCAGAAGCTGGCTTGATCTACACACCTTATGAGTATCCTTACACTCTGGCCCCAGCCACATCAATCCTTGAGTATCCCATTGAAACAAGTGGGGTATTAGGTAAGATTAGTAATTTGTTTTTAATTTAATTTTAAGGTTTGCAGATATAAGGTCATAGTGAATATTATTGTTTTGCTAATATTGTCCTCAAATAATCATAAATAATATTGAATTACATTGCTGAAGCATTTGTATGGTTGTGTGACCCTTGATGACAAGAAGATACTGCACATTAAACATTGGAGTGTGTGCCACACAAATACTTTTGCAGACCATTAATTGAAGGGGCACACCAAGTAACATAACCACTACAGCTTGATGTAGTGGATATGATGCCTTCATTATTTGGGAGCTGTTGTTCACCCTGGTTTAATATAAAATTATGTAAGAGCAGTTAACAAAAAATATGTCTCTTCCCAGCACACGCTTACAAACTTTGTCCATACTGGATAGTGGCCATTGGCTGAGAGTGGTGGTTTAGCCCTGCACTCATCAGCCTAACAGTACAGTACAGGTTACGTGTAGTTGACTTTGGTAATGTGGAAGTGTAAATTTCACATTATCATGGATGTTTAGAAGGGTCTAGAATGATGTTGAGAACTATGGTTTATATCAAACTGTTTATAAACGGTTTAACATAAAACCTGGGACAAGACTCAAGGCAACATAACCATTACTCTGAACTGTAATGGTTATGTTGCTTATACAGTGATGGAAACAAGTATTTGATCCCCTGCTGATTTTGAACGTTTGTCCACTGACTAATAAATGATCAGTCTATAAATTTAAAAAATCCAGAAAAACGCATGGCAAAATAGTTATAGATTGATTTGCATGTCAATGATTGAAATAAGTATTTGATCCCTATCAATCAGCAAGATTTCTGGCTGCCAGGTGTCTTTTATACAGGTAACGAGCTGAAAGAGAGTGCTCCTAATCTCTTAAATCTCCGCTTGTTACCTGTATAAGAAACATCTGTCCACAAAAGCAATCAATCAGATTCCAACTCTCCACCATGGACAAGACCAAAGAGCTGTCCAAGGATGGGAGGATCTTGTTAATGATCTCAATGCAGCTGGGACCATAGCCACCAAGAAAACAACTGGTAAAACACCATGCCGTGAAGGACTGAAATCCTGCAGCACGCACCAGGTTCCCTTGTTCAAGAAAGCACATGTACAGGCCTGTCTGAAATTTGCCAATGAGCATCTGAATGATTCAGAGGAGAACTGGGTAAAGGTGTTGTGGTCAGATGAGACCAAAATCGAGCTCTTTGGCCATCAACTCAACTCGCTGTATTTGGAGGAGGAGGAATGCTGCCTGTGACCCCAAGGACACCATCCCCACCATCAAAGGAGGAAACATTATGCTTTGGGGTGTTTCCTGTGCATCAAAGGGAGATGGACGGGGCCATGTACCGCCAAATCTTGGGTGAGAACCTCCTTCACTCAGCCAGGGCATTGAAGATGTCGTGGATGGGTATTCCAGCATGACAATGACTCAAAACACACAGCCAAGGCAACATAGGAGTGGCTCAAGAAGAAGCACATTAAGGTCCTGCTGTGGCCTAGCCAGTCTCCAGACCTTAATCCCATAGAAAATCTGTGGAGGGAGCTGAAGGTTCGAGTTGCCAAACGTCAGCCTTGAAACCCTAATGACTTGGAGAGGATCTGCAAAGAGCAGTTGGACAAACTCCCTCCTGAGATGTGTGCAAGCCTGGTGACTAACTACAAGAAATGTCTGACCTATGTGATTGCCAACAAAGTACGAATTCAAAGGGGTCAAATACTTATTTCACTCATAGACATGCAAATCAATTTATAACTTTTTTGACATGCGTTTTTCTGGATTTGTTTTATTTTTGTTGTTGTTCTGTCTCTCACTGTTAAAATACACCTACCATTAAAATTATAGACTGATCATTTCTTTGTCAGTGGGCAAACGTTCAAAATCAGCAGGAGATCAAATACTTGTTTCCCTCACTGTAGGTTTCCTGTTAATGAACACAAGAAACAGAGTTGCTTACATATTTATTTTTCTTTGATAAAAGCAAATATTGAATATTTTCGCTTTCTGATTCTTTTCTGTCTGTTCTAAGATTCAGTCTTTACCCAGTTCTGATTCAATGAAAATACTCTGTTTGGTAATTTCCTGGTTCTGTCCCGGGGGATCTACCCTATTTCTTTCTCTCATTGAAGCATTGATTGCTAATCTGGAGTATTTAGAGGAATTACAGATAGAAAATTGGTGAGGGTTTCAAATAAGCCCGTTAAAGGTCATGTCCTTAAAAGACAGCGCAAAACAGAAATTTAGGTACAGGGCATCCTCTCCCTTGCAAGACAAAAATATAGATTGACCTAAACATGGTAAATGGAGTCTGTGTTCTGTTCTTATAGCATTGTGTGCTTTATATTTTTACGTTTTTAAAAAGGATCACCTGCATGGCTTGTTACTTAAAGTAGAAATTATATGGATGTCTAAATTGGCAAGTGTTAATCTAGAAATTCCCTGCATTCATATTTGGGAGTAATAGAAGACCGCTATCACCACAAAACCCTTTTTTTTTTTTTAATATAATTTCATCAAGTTTTTGTCCTTCCTTCATTCATATACATACCTTCATTCTAGAATCCTTCATTCATTTACATACACCTTGGGTCAGATTGTGCTTGAAAATGAACATACTGTAGCATTCCCTGTATCTGAGCAGAGAGTGAAGCATGGAAGATTATGGAGACTGTCCGTTTTCAAGAACAGTCTGACCCAAGGGGTATATATGGCTGAAGTATTCTGTCGTCTACTAAAGGTAGGGAAGAGGTTTTTTGTTTGTTTTGTTTTTTAACATGTATATACTTAATTTTAAGAAAAACTACTTTTTTTTCAATGCATGATAAAGGATATAGTTGTCCTTTAAATGACTAGTTTAGGCAGCATAACAGTTAAAAAATTCTCAAATAGTTTTAACACCAAAATTTTTGTTGCAGTGCCTAAACTCTGCCCTTCTGTTTCCTAAAAATCAGGAAGCTCTTGCAGATTCATGACCACTCTCATGAAGTCCATCAGTGACTCCCCATTCATAAAACAAGCTTGAAAAGAAACATCAATTTTGCAAACCAGTTTTATGAATGTGAAGTCACAGATTGGCTAAGAGCATCAGATGACAGCTCTCATTTAATTAGCAGTGGTGATGCTGCAAGAGCTTTTTCTTTTCCCGATTTTGGAATATGGAAGGACAGAGGGTCTGAGAGATCTGCTGCTGGAAGACTTAGCACCATAACAACTTTATTTTGAAACTTTAAGGAAGTTTCATCCTAGTCTTTTAACTAGATATAGAATTCCTTTTTGATACTGTGGAATATTTTTCTGCATAATCTCTCAGTTGGAGTTTACATTTGTCATGCATCTGACATTATTAGCATTTACAAAGCACCAACATATTCCACAGAGCTTTACAACTGCAGTGTATGTCAATTACTTCAAAGCAAGTAATTGACGTAAAATTAAATTAAAAAAAAAAAACCCACAGATGAAGTAAAGTTGTCCCTGACAAATGGGCTTAGAATCAATGAGGAAGAGTTAAAGACACAAAACTTAAATGGGGTATAGAACAATGGAAGGAGGGAGAGTGATAGACTATGGATATGAGGGAAGTCAGGAGGGCAGTTTTAATGAAAGAAGCGTCACCCAAGAAGATGGTAAACTTTTGTAAATAATTAAAGGACTGGACTCTAGGGAGAGTTTAAAGGCATGGGGTAGGGACTTACAAAAGAACAGGGCAGACATTGAACAATATTGCAGATGAGAGTTGGCAGTTTGGAAACAAGCAGATATCAGGAGAAGGTCATTTGCAGAGTGAGCAAACGTGTATTTGTTGATTAAACAGCAAATGTAGTGAGGAGTGGGGTTAGTGAGGGCTTAATAGGTTATTATAATAATTTTAGGTTAGCAGTTTGAATGGAATTCTGAAAGATACAGGAAGCCAGTGTAACTGGTAATGAAGTGAGGTGTGGGAATAGCGGTTCGGTTAGTCATGAAGATGAGTCTGGCAGCATTCATAACGGAATGAAGAGGGTGCAACGCGGGTACTTGGAATGTCGATAAGTAGTGAGTTGCATCATCCATTTTCTAGACCTTTCCTTTTCACACTTGTCACAGTTTTCTATATAGCATTATTTTGTGTGATTTGGGTATATCCATATATAGTTTAGCTTGTTTGTTGTTTTTGACTCATTCTGTAATGACAAGTCTTTGCAGAGTATTAGGTGTGAAGGGCGTTTTCAAAGGTATTGGATATTCAATTTCCGTGGACATGGGCCTTTATAGTTACCATTTTGGGAGTAGATACTTCTTCAGATATGCCCACCTGTGTTCGGTCTGTGACTGTGGCATCTATGATCTGCTCCTAAGCTCTCTGTCTACACTTGACAGGCTGCTTCTAATGCTGGATCAAACATATTTTAAGTACCTGTGTGTCAAGATTGAGAAAATCCAAACCTGGCATTTCTAGTATATATAAACCATGCATGCCTTATATATATATATATATATATATATATATATATATATATATCATGCATGCCTTTCAAATACTGTCATTGCAGTATAGATTTATTTGCACTTACTAGATGTGCCTTTGAACATCAGTACGTCAGTACTAAATGCATGCCTTGTGGCTGTTATAGTTTCTAATTTAGGGTTTTTTTGTTTTTTGTTTTTTTTAAACCTGACTCAAATTCCCTCATATCTAGTGTTGCTTGTGGAAACAGATTTGGTGTGAGGAGGTCTAGATTGTGATTAACAAATTCCTGCTCATTTCTGTTGCTCTCATCACCTGAAGTTCTCTCTGAACTTTCAGCAACTTCAAGATCTCTTTTCTCTGTTAAAATGAAGAATGTTATCCCATAAAGAGTTACATGTTTGCAAGTGGAGGGAAGACTGCAATTCCTCTGTGATACCTGTGACTGATTAACGTAGGACCCCTATGGAATGCTTTCCTATGGACGCTGGCGTGCTCTCACTGTGAAAATCACAGTGAGAAGCACGCAAGCGCCTCTAGCGGCTGTCAATGAGACAGCCGCTAAAGGCTTTGGGGGAAGGCTTAACCCATTCATAAACATAGCAGTTTCTCTGAAACTGCTATGTTTATAAAAGAATGGGTCAATCCTAGCTGGACCAGGCACCCAGACCACTTCATAAAGCTGAAGTGGTCTGGGTGCCTAGAGTGGTCCTTTAAGAAGCTAGACGTGTTAATTACATACAGAATTTTACAAGACCAAACAGAAGAATACAAAAAACATAATTAAAAAATCTTTCTTCTGCTTACTTTTGCATGTCTGTTTAAAAAGGGAAGACAAAATATTCTTCAGATAAAACAGTGAGAGAAATCAAACGGCTATAGTGAGACTGAAAACAAAAGATGAAACTTAGGCAGACATAAATAAAGATAAGTAATGGGCTGTTTACATTTTCATATCTGCTAATTTTTTATAGATTGACATGAAGGATTTTTCAGAGATAAGGAAATGTCAATATGTACAGTGAACACAGGAATACTTCAGATTTTAAAAGTAAATGTAGATAAGCCTCTGGGACCAGTTTACTGTATATACAAGAAAATAAGACTACTAAATGACTTGCAACCAATATTTGTGGCCTTACACCCAGAATTGGGATTGGTACAAACCTCCCTCCACATACACCCATGCAAACAAAGCCTTTTGTAGTGATTTGCAGAGATAACACATTAAAAAGGTGAAAATTATTTGGTCACTTTTAAAGTTTATGGGTTTATTGGAAATCCCCAGCCTCTACAATGAACAATAACCAAACCAGGAAATTACTCTTCCAATCTTATTTCTCACTCTGTGCAAGTGCATAACTGCAGTGTAATTTTAGCCACAAACTTTGTGTATACATGGCATACCAATGTCTACTTCTGGCCCCATGTTTATGCCAATATAATGTAATATATAGTACCAGAGCTTTCAAACAACAACAATATGTAAACTTTGTTATTAAATACACATTCAGATCATGTATTATCTGTTATGCATTTTGCTGTTCTTTTATAAATTGTGTATGTCCAGTACCGAAGACTTTATCTTTAGAAAGACATAATGACACTACAGAAAATTATATTAAGGATTACTATTCTGGCTAAAGGGAACTTTAATACACATCAAGAGTCTATAAAAAATCAGTTTTTTGTTTTTTTTTGGGGGGTGGGGGGAGGGGGTTAGGGTGACATAACTGAAAGATGACATCCAAAGGGATGCACAAATGGGGTTCCATATTATTTAGAAAGAAGTAAGATGAAGAGAGAGGGGTTAAGCTATTTGGTTACAAAACATGCTGTGGGGTTTTTAGGGGTGGGGTGTGGGGTGGCAGGGGTTTGTGACCCTAATGCGGTGCAGTAAGTCAGCACTTCTAGTATTAAATATAAAAAAAATCCCACAGTGCCATAGACAAGTTATCATTTTGGGGCTCCCTTTTTCTCTTATATGGTTATTTATCTAAAGTGAGAATTGTATGGAAATCAAAGTGAATTTCAAATTTAAGGTCCAAGTAGCCAAAATGGAAGCATAACTGACTAGGAGTTCAGCTACTTTGGTCTTAACAATGCTCATTTTAATGAATAACCCTGCTAGTATAGGGATGGTGAATGAGGTCTAGCTGGTCCAAGTACCTTCATGGTGCCCGGGCTCCTGGCTAATCCCTAGGCTGTAAACTGCTACCTTATGTTTGTTTAATCTGTCTAAGGCGTGTTTTGACACAAGGCAGAATGGAACATATGGTTTACAATTAAATCTGGCCTTACCTTTTGCATGTTGCATATATTTACACAGTTGGTTAGGTTTGACTGTTAGGTGACTGCTGTATTTTATTGGCTTTATTTTTGCTAGTCTGGAGATTTCCTTTAACTTCGTTCACTGTGGGCTGGCTATGTTTGGTATTTATAATCTGCTCATCTGTCTCAATACGGTTGTGTATAAAACATCTCAGATGGTCAACTGTATAGGAGATTCTGGAGCCAAATATGGAACCAGCAATCTTACTAAAGTCCAATCTATCTATCTACATATTTCTGAAAAGCCACTGAATGTAAAAAATACTTTAAAATATATATCAATGAGCCATTTACCACAGAGATTGTATTGAATTATAAAATTAATTGCACAATATAGAGTAAAATGGCCAAACTGTGAGTATGTAGCTGTGCTGGGAATATTTTACAAATCCGTTTTGTCTAAAATGTGCAAGTTGGCTTTCAATTCAGTAAATAAACTCCACTTGTCTTGTTAATGAAGCACTCCAAATATAGCAGGTGATATTGTTCCATCAAATGTTTCCTAGGTTAAAAATGGTCTATCTGCGTCTGTTACTTTAAATATAGGTGAATGCTAACTTACATTTAACTTACATTAATTCCATTCCTTCTGTCTTCAGGTATGGCTTTCCCTACGAAAGGCTAAGAATTCAAGAAAGTCTTAATTGAACACTCACCAGAATCGAAATTTTAACAAAACCCTAGTTTTCAGCAGTCTTGAAAAACAAATTCTTTAAAATTCATATAGCAGTCAGTGACTTACTTGCACTTCTATTTTTTATTTTTATTTTGCACATATAAAAAAAATAAAAAATTTTTTTACATGATCAAGTCTGTATCTTGGTAAAAAAAAAAAAAATAGCAGTTGCAAGTGAGTGTTTAACAAATCTGACTGCTAAGGGTTCTTTCCTGTATGCTTTACTAATGAGTTAATTCATGTGGTTCCTTCTTATCTAGTCAAGGTTTTAAACCATTGATTTTTAATGCAAATAATTTAAACATGTAAAGTTAAAAAAAAAAACTGGAGTTATTTTATGGTTTCTTAACGTTAACAAATGTCAGTATTAAAAAAAACAAAGGAATTGAATTAAATCCTTTGCAAGTAAAGCACTGCAATAAACGTGTGACTAGTAAAGCTTAATAATGGTTGGGTCTAATAAATTTCAAATATTTTTGCTCATTAGCAGCATATAGTCAAGTTTGATTCCCATTCAGTCAGGTAGTAGCTGTGTATTTTTATACCCACGACCTGCATTGAAAGGGTTAAACAAGTTAAGGCATGAGATGTGATTATTAAGTGTGTGATATTAACGGTGCACATCTCCATTTTATATAGCAAGGATTCAAACTACTGTGCCTTAACATGTTTCTTAAAAAAAAAAAGAAAAAAAAATTTTTTTGTAGCAAACCATTGTGTAAAATCACATTTTTGATGAAACCTGCTGTTTATGTCAGATTTGTTTTGTGGAGTTTATATTTTGTTTTTCTTGTTATGAATGTTTTGTTTTCTAACTATGTCTTGGTAATTGCAATTTAACTAGGTGCGGTGGCTACTAAAGTTCGAAGGCATGATATGCGAGTCCATCCTTACCAAAGGATTGTGACCGCAGACAGAGGTTAGTTTAGCTATATAGTTCTTGATTAGAAATGATTTCTCTGAAAATTAACTTTACAACACCTTACATGATATGCACAACATTGTAAAGGGTGGAATGATTTAAACCGATGTATATCAAGGGAGTTAAATGTTTAATCCTTAAATTAGCTGTATGAATACTGCAAGATTGGATCATTGCAGGATTTCTGGATTTCTCTGTATTCCACTTGTTGCAGTAGGCATAACACCTATGTTCAAGGGCTGCTGAAAGACTAGTTGTTTTGGGCACCAGACACTAAAATATACTGCTTTTGGTTTTTATTTTTTTATTATTATTAAATTTACTTGTATGTTAATGCCCAATCCTTGTCTATCAGTAGCAACTGGAACAAAAAAATAAATCCATTTTGACATACAGCCCATACTTTGAAAAATGTCCATGTCAGTGATGAGATGATTCTCGTTGTAGGTGTGTAGCTCTTAGTCTGGTGTTGCAAAGATAAAAAAATGAATGCTTAAATATAAAAGTATAAATTAATGCATCTTATTGGCTAACTTGATATAAACAAACTTAAATGCACAAATATAAATGTGAATTTGTCATTAGATGAGCAGTACCAATTCTTAGATGGCTTCCTTAAAGACTCTTTATGAAAAGCTTGGTTAAAAGCAACCATCCATGCATTATGCACTTTATAGTAAAATCTCTTTATAAATGTAGTTTAATTCAGTTCACTTTATTTGATTTGTAGCTTTCTATATCCATCTTTAAAACTTCCCTTCTGATGTCTAGTTCATTTAGTGAACCTCATTTTAGTGAAGGAGGTCTGGTTACCTTATATAGGTATTGTTCCTAATATGGACATTTTTACATTCTGGTGCAATTTTTAATAATCTCCAGTTGAAAATATGCCAGCTGTCTGTAAGCAGGGATATTTGCCCATTTTTGCCACACCTATTGTGACAAAAAAATTTGAGATTTTTTGGGGAGTTGGGGGGAGGAAGGGGTTGCACTTGTATACCAAGATTTCAGAGCCATGCTTAGAGGGAAAAAAATGAGGGCAACGTGCACAAACACTACTGTTGTACGGTCTATAATGTGGGTACAAGATGACCTTTTAAAAAAAAAGGCACAAAACCCTACAGTAGTGAAACAGGCAGCAATGAATATTTTGGCATAATAAATACATTTTGTTTGACAAAGCCCTTCCCCCAATAACATTTGGAGTGATAATAAAGGGTAAACATTTAGCCTACAGATTGTTTTTTATTGAAGGGGATTTCATCGCCCACGCATTTTGTAAATAACGTCCTTTGCAAGCATGTTTGCATTTATAAAACAAATCTGGGTTGTTTTTATCAAGATGTTTTATACACTTTGTTGCAATTTTACTTTTATAATTAAGCTTTCATTAGTTTCCAAGAACTGTCAGGTAAATCATGTATTACTATACCCTATCTGTAGCCTACAATTTTCATTTTCATTGGTATAACAGACAGAAGTAATCGTTATGAACTGTATATGGTGTTGCACAATTGTTATTCCTGTGGAAGGCCACAGACTTTGCAGAGGATATATCCAAACCATGTCAATATGGCAGACTTATTCCTACCAAATGCAGAGTGCACTCTGTTGCCCTTGAAGTTTGAGAGTTTTAAACCTGTAACAAACTCACTTGAGTAAAACTGTTTAATCCAGTTACAAATACTACTTGGTTATGTACAAATTAAAATTATCTTACATATCTGACTGTATACTTTAATTGTGGGAACTGTGAACCACATGAATATTTATTTAGTTTTATTTTCTGCTTGATCCCAAGCACAACTTTCAACAAGCATCCCAGTTCTTAATAAGAACTTAAGGGAGCATACTGGCATTTCAGGTTTCTAATTCATTGGAAGGGAAATGTGGTAGTATGCTTAAATCCAATATATAAGCCTCTTTTTGATTTTGTTTTCCCTATGTGAAGTTGACCAAGGCTTTTGATACATTGGTCTTTTAAGACTAAACTATCTGTGAACCTACTGGATTTCATTTTACGAAATGCCATAAATCCTGACTTTGCACTGAATAGTTCTCACCTTCATCTCCTCTGCTTTAGTCACAATGGCAACAGTACAAAATAAATCAAATCAAACCTCAGAATATATAATTAAGCTGTTGAAAGAGTCTTAAAAAATACATTTATACTACTGTTAAGTGGACCAAGTTTAGTGAAGGAGAGCAAGTGATTGAGAAAGAAAGCGCTCAAGAGCACTGGGAGTGATGTTAACTTTCCACTTGAGAACTTTGTTTTATTTTAATATTTTAAAAAAAGAAAATAGTATTTACAGATGGCGTAAGAAATATAAAACAAAAAATATAAAGCAGGAATGTATATGAAATGTCAGATTTTATTGTATTTGCAGAGTATTAGCTTTGAAATTAAAGAGGGCTGTTTGTAGTTATACAATGCTTTATTAGCTTATATTAGTATTTTTGGATGTACTTCAAATTTTGATTCTAGAGTTAAAAAGAAAGAAAGGCAGGACTTTTTCAGTGTTTACATACAACTGCATTTTATAAGTTTCCTATGTGTGTAAATTTTTGTTTTTTTTGTTTTTGTTTTTCAAGTGGAAATGCTGTCTGTAGCAATAGTGTTTAGCCGTTCTTGGTTCACAAGACTGGCTACTGTGCTAGACCAGAATTTAGTGTATTGCTTTGTATCATGAGGCCAAGGTATCTGTGTTTGTAAATAGAAAATGAGCAATAAAATTTATTGAACAAAAACTTGTTTGGCCCATAGTTTATGTTAGTTTTTTTATTTTTTTATTTATTTTTTTCTATTTAACTTTTTTCTTTTTTCAAAACATTAAAATAATCTTTTAGATCCATTACTTTTAACAATCAGTCAATAATCACATCATCATTAATAGATGCTTCAATTGCTTGCACCATTGAGGAGTACTAATGCTTAATAGCAGTCAGATACTATTGTGTGCACTGACTGTCTCAAAATTCCTCCTGAGTTCTAAGCTGATTCATTTTTTTTGTCTTCAATTTCCGACTGCTACTAACCATTAGCCCTTAGTTGTGTTTTTTTTTTTGTTCTTCTTGTTAACCAGTTTTATGGGTGTGGGCTCCTCCTTCACACATTCGAATCATGGTACTCTGTGTCATGATTTTGTTGCATTCTGTAGATGGTGTCAATCAGTATGTCAGTATTAAACATGCTTGTTTTTATTAGTTGTGATTAGTTTTTTCATGTTGTCATTAAGCAGTCACTAGCTGAAACTAATATCTTCTCTATCTTTTCTTTCTTTTTTTTTCTTTTTCTTTTTTTTATATATATTTTTTTGTTTTGTTTCTAACCACCCAGCCGCCACCGGCAACTAACCTATGACCTTCTGACCTCTGAACTCTTCACCCAATGATGACCTGACCATGCCTGCCTGCTGATCAGTTAACTGGTAATCGCCTCTGCTTGCCTGTCTTCAGTGCAGGGAGCTGAGGCACTTGTCCGTTCGTCTTACCATCTAACAAAAAAAGACACACTGAAAAAAAATTTTTTTCTTCCAACTCAACTTTTTATTTTTCCCTCTTCGGGTGGGTGAAAGTGATTCTAGTACCTGCACTGATAGTAGTAAAGCAATAAGGTCCAATTTAGCCCGCACTGATCATCCTCTAGTGTCATAACCAAACGAACGGTATAAAGGCCTCACCTACAGTACTGGCGAGACAGCTGATCCTCCACTACCGATGACAGAGGCAGTTACTGTGAGAGACTTCTAGGAAACCTTTTTATTTTCTCGTATAGTGAAGTTAAAAGCTATCTCTGAATGTACTGTGTTGTGATGATGCATCATGCATGAACCTGTTTGGTCAGGGTTTTTCACTGGTGAAGTACATACAAAAAAGAGAAAACGAACAATTTATTTTATTTAGATTTTTTTTAAATTTGCATACTGTTAAGTCACTACAGTGCCCCAACAGGGTTAACGTTGCAATCTTTGTTTTCATTGTGATATTGCCTGCCAAATTTGTTATATTGATAAGGGTGCCATGATTGATTACATTTTTAGCATTGTTTAAACTGAGACTGCAACATTGAAATCCACACAATACAGTTGTGATGTGATTAGTGAAACTATTATACTTAAAAGCCTCTCTTATGTGTATTATGAAAACAAGGTACATGCATTATGTATCACATTACTGGGCAAACTGTTCAAATATTTGTTTTTAGACCTCCCTGTATAGAAAAATAAGGATGTAAAAGCCATGCTTGCCTATTTGCTGTATAATTGTAATGAAATTGTAGATAAGTGTAGTGCATTGAAGCAAAATGAACAAAAAAAGTAGATAATTTTACTATACAAGGGTGCTGGTGCATAAAAAATATATATTTTTGGAAATGTAGCATTTTATACTTTCAAGTGTTATAAAAAAAAAAAAAAAGAAAACAAACAAAAAAAACCCTACAAAAACAAACTTTATTTCATTGAATGATTTTTTTTCTTCTCCCTGGTGATAGTCAAGATATAAGACCAAAAGAGCCTTTTTTCTTTTTTTTTTTTTTTCTCTTTTCATAGTTTCAGTATTGGAATAAGTCTAAGAAAAGAAAGTGCCTTATTTTTCTCCATTATCATTATGTCCCATGTGACCTGCTCGTTGTCTTGTATAACTCTGAAATAAAAAACAATGCTCTAGGATAAATGGGATGTACAACCTATTGCCAAGCAGATTTCCCAAGGTTCCATCTGGCACTCAAGATGTTCAATAAAAGTCAATGCATGACAGCCCCCCACCCCCCAAGTAAATATGTTTAAAGATATTTGGTCAAACATAGATGTTGAGTTTTAAACAACATGGTCTTTGCTACAAAAACAATTTTTCTTAGTTCTTAGTTATTAGTTATAAAAGATGAGGAAAGTCCCACATTACGTCAGAAACACACTGCCGTGAAGATTTAGCTTGTGTGCAGGGCATAGCTTAATTGTTATCTCGTCACCTTGAAGTGATGTATTAAATTTTTATGCTTCTATATATAATTTTTCATACTTCATAAAACATGGAGTTTAGGTGGATAGGATTGTTGTGTATATTTAAAGATACACAATGTTTTAGGACTATATAATCCACTAAAAATATATCAATGTTTGTAAACATTTCTCTTATCTAAGAATTCACTAATTAGATGTGGCAAAGACCTGATGACTGGCTATCATTCCTCCACACTCTTTCATTGTTTTAAACTTTTCCCTTTTACCGATCAGCAGTAAGCCCAGAACATTGTATTTTGAAGCACCTTTCAGGTGGTTGCATTTGCCATCTTTTGTCATTGAAAACAATCTATCAATTAATTTACTATGCAACACATATTCATCTTTTTGTATTAAGCAGCAGTAGCTTTTATTTACCATACCACCAGCTTCGTCTTCCTGTTTATATTGTTGTGCTGTTGATTTTCCTCCCCCCCCCCCTGTCTTTAAAAGAGAGTGGTTTGATCAAATTTTGCGACACTCAAGTATTTACAGAGAGATCTACCAATATACATGGCAGTATTTGATCCAGTTTCATCTCAGCTGTGATTATCCTGGACATTTTTAGAGATTTTTTTTTATTTTATTTTTTATTGTGGGAATAATGGAAAATCTGCAAGTCTATAAAAGAGGCATAATAACCCTTAGGTGATGTTTTAGTATGAAGAATTAAATAAAAATAAAAAAAAGAATGGGTCAATGTTGGAAAAAAAAAGCATGGGATTTTAAATCTGAAAATGCCTTGGTTCTCAGTATTATGACTTTTTTATGGTTTTATTCTTTGTGTTTGTTTTTCTGACTTTTTTGCTTTGACAGTATTACGTACTTTATTTTTTTTTAGTATGGGTAGATGGGAGTGTCGCTGATATGTAACCTTAGAGATGACATGTACTTGTCTATTCTTTATAACCTTAGTAGTTTCATGCTCTGTATGTATCATAACCAACCTATTGCCTAAAAGAACCTGTAAGATAATGTATTTACAGCCATTGTTACAAGTTTATAATGTATTTTTCTATCTTGTTTTATATGTATGTTATATAACATTCAAATGAATTTTTTCCTGACTGAGAAAGGATACAAAAATGCAAAACCCACATTTTTGATAACTAAAATATGCCAATTGTTTTGCAGTACTTTATTATATCCAGGAGTGTTGTCTTTCTTGGCTTTTAGTTAGCTACTGGATGACATTAGACATCTGTTTTTACATGGCTTGCATTTTAATTCTTTGGTTCTTTGCGGTTTCTATTAACCCCATAGCATTATTTTAATAAATGTTATAATACCAAGATACTAACTCTGGACTTTGTCTGTTCATTAACAATGTACGTTTCATTAAAGTAAAATCTAGAAAGACAAAAAGAATGTTACAGTCTTGAGTTACTAGACTAACACTGAAAAGCGTGACCACAGATAACCCAGCGTTAATTGTTTTAATATTGTTTGTCGGCTGACATTCTGCACACTACTATTAAAAGAGCTTCAGTCAATCTGGCCTTATGTCTTGCCAGTATATGCCAGTAGAGATGGGAACAATTTTTTTTTCTTTTCTTTACACCAGGTGTAGAGTATTGCCACTTGCCCTTTTAGCATCTGCATTACTAATGACACACTTTACTGTTTTATTCTTCATATAATCAGCTCTTTGCAAATGAATAAATTAGTCTTCATAAATCCTTGAATAACACACTTTACTTTAGTGCTTCTTCTGAAACCAGTTTGATTCCACATTGATGTGAATATGATTGTATCTAAAACCAAATTCATTCTGCTTTGCCTTAAATTATTGCATTTTTACAGCATTTGCATATCTGCTTTCATATTCCAATCATTTTCCATATTAATCTTTACCTTATTTAAGCCATGGTATTTAACTTGTCAAAGACTGTTCTTTTTTTTTAAATCAGTATTTTAGCAAAGTTTCTGCTCAAAATATATTTTTTACATCTAGTAGAATATATCCAGTATTTTTAATTAAAAAAAAATAAAAAAATCTGATAGTTAGATTGCTGTATCAGTAGTAGAGAACACTATATTCAATCCAAAAAAACAAAAAATAAACACACACACATACATATATATTTTCTTAATTTAAAAAAAAATTCTAATTTAGTGCAGATTAAACTCAATATTGACATGTTTATCGTATTAGGTCATTCTGAGGTATTGAATTGAGCAAACACTTTGACAAGAATTGATACGATTTTATATTATTCACCTGTGGAGTATATACTTCAACCTTACACTCTGTATTTTCAGGGTTTTATAAGGATTAAAAAAAATAATAATTTGGTATAAACAGGGTGATTGCAAAACTAGCATGATTTGACTTTAAATGCAAATAAAGTCATATATATAAGTGGCATCATAGACAACAGTTCTCATAAAGAAACGATTTTATTTAATAGCAATTTTATAATAACATTGACAGGCATATTTAAAAAGATGCAGTCTTATACTTTAATTTTTGTTGAAAAGTATGGGTATTTCAGAAAACAAAGATTTCACTTGAGTTGTCAGAATTATGTTTATAATACCTTCTTTAAAATTGTGTTAACAAAAGCATGTCTTTGAGATTTGAGTAATGTCTTTGAGATTTTTTTCATTGTAAAGTGAGTGAACATTGCATTGTATGTTTATTTTAAGCCCTAATACTTCATTAGGCATAGCATTTATCATTGATCATAATGATTGCTTATTAGTGATGTCCCGAATGGTTCGCCGCGGACTCATCATTGAGTAAACTTTGACCCTGTACCTCACAGTCAGCAGACACATTCCAGCCAATCAGCAGCAGACCCTCCCACCTCCTGGACAGCATCCATTGTGAAGCTGCATTCTTAGTGAGCTGTGCAGGAGGTGGGAGAGTCTGGGAGGGAGGGTCTGCTGCTGATTGGCTGGAATGTGTCTGCTGACTGTGAGGTACAGGGTCAAAGTTTACTCAATGATGAGTCCGTGGCGAACAGTTCGGGACATCACTATTGCTGATACATTTTATTGCTTAATGAAATATTTAGGTTACAACTTACTATGGATGCCCATATAGTGTAGCATCTACTTCCCAGCCTACTTCGCTCTCCTACCTAGTACATGCTTGGGAACACTTTCCTAGTCCAATTATGTTAGAAGTGGGCAGTAGGTAGGCAGAGACAGGAGTGTTGGTGGCTATGAGAGGGAACAAGCGAGATGCCTGTTGGAGGGCTCTCCTGCCTCTCTTGTCAATCAATTCATGGCATAGATATTTATGCGAACAGCATCATCTTCTATCAGGAGAATTGAGTTATAGGTGGGCAGAGACAGTAGTTTAAGATAAAATATCTTTAAAAATTTTTTTATTTTTTTTAAATCTTGCAAATCAACGGTATGTTTAGATTAAATGTTATGCTCTAAAAAGAGCAAAAGTTGTGTATACCATGACAGGTATACTTTAACCCAGTAGTTCAGAACAATTTCTCCATACGTGTGGTCAAGAGACAATAAAACTATTTTAACTAATTACATATTTACATTGATATTGAAGCATGCATATTACACAACATATATACATATACAAACTTGTAAACTAAAGTGAATTTGAGAGAAACACTTTCAATTTGCTTGAAATATTTCAAGGTGTTTGTTTTTTTGCTCCTCAATCCAAAATATTATTTGACACATAAAGAATTTATGAACTTCAAAAAAATCTCAGATAATGCTGCTACATATCGCTTTGTGAAACCTTTAAAGTATACATTTTTATTTTTTTATTTTTTAAAGAGGAAAATGTATGGGTTTTAAACATCCCTTGTACTGTGGGTTTATTTTTAAATCAACAGATTCTATAGGTTCTGCTTGTTTTTTTTTTCTTTTTCTAATGGTACCTGTTGGTAAAGATTCCACATTTATTTATTATATATTTATTATTGTAAATGTAAAAATAAATAACTGTCTTCTAAATGATGCAGTTTTTTGGAGTTCTTTAATATTCTGAAACAACCAAAAAATATATACTTGGGAAATTTTCATTAACATTATGCTATCTCATTAATATTCTAATGCACATGTGTTGGCTATTTATAGCCAACCTTCCAATGACCAATCAGGTATTGTCATGACTAGTAATATGCAACAGAAATATCAGTCCTGAATCTGAATAGTATTGCTCGGTTTTGCATTCATAGAATTTTACTCAAGGTTTTCATTGACTTCCATAAATTATTTTTGCTTTGCCTTTTCTAAACCTCAAGCAATTTAATTGTCTTGAATGAGTTAGTCATGGTGTATTTGACTTAATGTGATCAATTTTCCTGCTTTCCTGTATTTTATTTTTTATACATAAAATGTTAGCAAATCCTGATATGACTAAAGTATTTTCTGCAATTTTACACTTTTGTGGAGTACCAAATCAATGTCTTAATTAGTGTGAGCCAGTTATGCACTTATAATTCTACTCGCCCATACAGCCTGCTTTCGGATTATTGCTCACTCTATGTTGTGTAAATATTTATAAAAATAGTTCAATTACATACCATTCACATGTCATGACCTATTCACCTATTTAGAAAGAATCTGGAATTCACAAAACATGTTGATGTCATGATCCACTTCAACTAAATTTACTACTGGATAATTTAATGGTAAATATGCAAATTAAGGTAAATAATATCAAAATAATGTCTCCTCCATAATGGACTTCTGAGCTGATGTACCCAAATCAAGTGAATGGCTTCCTGTTGCAGTGGTTTATGTAAGTGTGGTATATGTGCAGGTAAGTGCTGGATGACTATTGAATTATCTATTGTGTTTTGGATTTTTTGTTGGGGGGGGGGGAGGTTATTTGTTGATTAATATGTACTGAAATATAATTTTTTTTTTAAAATAAATGGGAGAGGGGAGAAACGGTCTTGCCTAGAATGTGTAGTTACTAAAGAAAGTACTTTAAAGTAAGTTAATTTGTCATAATTGTGGAAGAACCTCCTATTTCCGGGTGTTTGTTTTTTAGTACTTTTAGGTCAAACCTTATGAGGAGTAAAGTGCTGTTTTGACTGTGAAATATTGTAATACAGTTAAAAAGAAAATCTAAATTGTTTTCAGACTTGCAGATTTGTCTTATTTATTATTTATTGTGCTTCTTTTGGGGTAGCATAGAAGCCCTTTTAATTACACTCATCATAACCCACCAATTGAAAAACTTGACACGATTTACATGTAAAATGAAAATATTCATCTAATAATTTAATCACAAAGTTGTGTAAATGTTAATAATTATGTTGCATTTTACTGTACATTTTAAAAGGCTGATGTTTCCTACTACTGTAGAGAATAGCTATACATTCAGTACATGGAACCTGCAAAATGAATCTCGGTGACTACACGGCATGCGTAGTGACTGGTTCACTAACTAGATTGTTTTGCTTGAATTTTCCAGTCATATTATTTTGTAAACGAAAACACACCAGTTAATTCACATTCTTCATCCCAACCAATTCATTTTTTCTTCTACTTCACCTATGAGGAGTTTCATTAAAGTTTCATTCCGATCAACGTATTTTTCTAGTATTCTTTAATGTTATTTACCGGTATGCAAATTTCTTGCACTCTGAAATATTATTTGGACAAATGCAAACATGGCCAACCAGTAATGGCCACCAACTTTATAAAAACAATAACTTTTTTTTTCTTTTTTTCTTTTGATTGCAAAAAATAACTTCGTCAGAAGAAAATACAAACTTTTATTTGAAGAATACATTTTTAAGGATTTATTTAAAAGAACACGCCAAGCACATGAAGCACATCAGATTTCATTTTAGAAAAGTACCAAATTCAGTAGTTTTCAGCAATTTTATACTTCATTCTTGTAAGTTCCTTCTCGGCTGTCAAGATATAAGGTGTATTTTTCCATCTAGCTTAGTCTCTTGAGTAAAGCTTATAGTGTCAGGCGCTTGCTCTACTTTTGCTACTTTTCAATGACCTGTATTAAAGCTTATTGAGAAGTCTGTGATTGGTCATTCTTGTGCACACGCAGCCAGTCAGCAAGGCTTCTCAAAGGGAGACTTTCTCATCTGTTTCAGGGTTAGCAATAGCTACATGTACTAAATGTTTTCATAAGATGTGCCCAAAAAAAAAAAGTGTGTTTTTTGGGAAGATATCAGTTTTGGTTTTTTCCTTCATTTGAGTGTTCTTTTAATGGTAAATTGGTTTTACCTTTTTGCTTGATTTAGAATACTTTAAAAAAAATATATATATATTTTTTTTAATTATAAAAGCTTTGCAAACAGACAATTGCCAATTGGCCCAAACATCTGTAAACCAATTGTTTGCTTTATCTATAAATATTTAAATATAGTACAAAATACCTTCAATCTGTGTTCACTGCTACTACTGCTTCCAGACTATATGGACAATGGCACAGCTGCCGTACTATCTCTTCAGTGGTATTAATTTGAACAGATTAGAAGGGACATCAGTGAGGAGGTATGGTGTAGTCTGCAGTAGCCTTGTGCACTGCCATTGTATGCACAGGTATATGCCCGGTTTTACCCAGGCAATTATGTTGTGGCTTTATAGTCTCACAATTTTATTTTTCTCCCTCTACTCATGAAGGTTTTTGCAGGATAACTAAAATATTCACTTAAAATATTACATTGCATGGTTCTAGTCTAACGGGTTCCTTTCATTTTTGGATTATATTTTTACATCGCAGTGTCAGTTGGTCATCTGCATTCACAAAATACACGCATATTCAAATCACTTGGCATACTTAAACATTGTTATTTTTACATACTGTATGTCCTTTAAATATTTCCAACTGAAATAATTAGCCTTGTCAGATTGATATGGGAAAATCACCAGTTTATATTGTACAATATTTAGAAAACAAAAAATGGAAAAACATAAATGAAGAATCACATTTTAACTCTTGTTGCCCTTTAACAACAAATTAATCACAAAGGCTGGTGACATTTTTACACTTTTCTTTTGCATTAATTTTACTTTTTAGTGAAGTATCCCATGTTTAAAATTGTACACCTTTTCCCCCGTTCATAATTGAAGGCTTTAAATACATAGGTGTTTAATTTAAAAAAAAATAAATCACAATTTAATATGCACAAATCATTTCTTATTTAGAAATACAGTAGTTAGTCTGTTCAATTTTGCTGGGAGTTGAGGAGAATTGCAAAATCTATACTGCCAAGAGGTTAATTATAAGAATTCAATGTCTGTAATCAGTGAATTTAGACAACTCCATTCCCTCAACCAAAGACCTTTTAAATAGGGTAATATGTATTTACCCTTATTAACGAACTCTTATCCATTACCAGCTATACATTACATGCCCAAATATTTAAAATATACAAGTATCCTGTGATTAAACAAATTATATACGTTTTGCCATTTCCATAGTTAATGCTATATCTTGCTATAACTTAAATTCATTTTCCAACTGTCCAGTACTTTTTAAAATGTCCTGACCGAAAATGCTGCATGCAAAGAGAACAAAATAAGTGAGTGTTGTCAGATAAATGACAATCCAACCAAATAAAGAAATAAGGGAGAGGTAGACAGGCAAGGTATTTCTTGCGCCAAAGCTGGCCCCAATGCCGACAATCCCCTTGAAAACTGAATACTGATTTACTTAGGAAATGACCTGCGCATTGGCGTGAATAAAAAGTGCTTTTTGTGCTCATTTGCTCGACATTCTGGGAGACTTTTGAAAACAATCAGAGCTGCTGTGCTTAGGCTGATTTTTTATTTTTTATTTTTTTTTATTATAAAATGTGCCTTGTGATGTACATTGTACTGCACTATGAGAATATGTATATTGTGAATACATATGTTTAATTTCACACTTTTGCATAAGCACTCTTTTCCAGCAAATTTTAATTTAATTGTTGATAAATAAAAAAATATATATATTTTGACCGTGTACATACAATTGTTAATCCAATTCATCTACTGGATAATAGACATGTCCAAAAATTATTTTCAACTGCTACGGACAAATCAAATTACTTTTAATATAAGTCCAAAAAATTTGATCCCTCTGAGATGTCGCTTTGGAGTCTTTTTCAATGAATAAGACCACAGGTAAATCGTGACTGATTTGTTTGGGAGTAGATTAAAATGTGTTTTGTACGTACCAGCTGAAAATAATTTGTTTATAACGGGAAACAATTATTTTTATTGTCTCAACCTTTTTATAACATTCCAGGAACTATGAAATAAGTAGGTTATATATAGGAATGACATTTTCTGTAGAAATCAATGTTGAATCAAACTGGTTATTTTGAAGTTTATGTGTTCACTTATATGGTATAGTTGGTAGTAATATAAACAAACAAAATATGGTGTGGTTATTCATAAAGGGAGAATATTATTAAGCTCATATAAACATTTATTCTTTATTGCAACATCTTTTTCTCAACTGTTGCACAAAAAATAACTAGTTAATGTGAAGTCCATGCTTTGATTTTGCTTTACGTATATTTTGTGTTTTACTCTTTGTAAACATTGCTAAAGCTTGGTGTAAAGTTCACATTTATAACTGGTTTTCAATAAACTAATTGAACAGCAATGACTCTACACAGGTAGGATCTCTCATCTGTCACTTTGTTTTCAAATGATGTGATCAAGACTACTGGAACACAGTGCCGCACATGGCTTTGAAAAAGTAAATAACCAATATGAATTCGTATTGTTTATTGGTCAGTCTGTCTACTTTCATTTGATGGTACCTATGTCAAAGGGTCCTAAGATAGCTTATATGATATATTTTTATTTTTTGTTTATAAAGAAGTACTTCCAAAACTCAAATGTGTTGAAAAGAAACTTGACAACTGAAACCATTGTGACAAAGTTAAATTATTAAGATACAACTAGGTAAGTGAGGTTCAGTGAAACAACTATTTTTGATATTGTGTATAAGAGCTTAAATACTTATCTCTGAATTCTGTGTGCTGGTCCATACATTTAAACTAGGACAGATTAACATCCAGCTCAAGGCCCATCCTGCTGTAATAGGTCTACAGTACTGGATAACCTGTCAATCTTGTGCTTGGCTCCTCACTCTCCTCCTGATTGAGCTCTGGGTGAGCTACAAACTAGGGCAGAGGTAGGGAACCTTTTGCACTCCAAATATGGCATAATACTGACAAAGCATTAGGGGGAGATGTAGTCCACAACATCTGGGCAAGGGCTAGTCCTCTGATTACATCAGACAATGTATTTGAACACTGCAGCCAATCCACTGGTGTGGACATGCTGATGGACACTGCAGGGAGCAGAAATATACAGCTACCCAATGGTAAGTTATGATTTACACACTATTACTCCACATACTCTCCATTTTAAGACACCCTAGCTGGATCCTGTTCATCATAAGTAGAACTCCAAGCTCAGTCAGTGGAGAGCTGAGCTTGGAAAATAAGAATGGGATGGTAGTGTGGGCAACTGGCATGTGGTTGGTGTGTGGGTGTGTATATGGGATATTGCAGAGCTCCCAGTAATGTGCAGTGTATATGGGACTATGTAAATTATATTAAGGTTATTCACTAAAGTGAGAATTCAAAATGAATTTAAGGTCAAAATAGTCAAACTGGAAATATTCTCTAAATCCACTTCTTTTCATTCAGCTACTCTTTCTTTAAATTAGAATTTCACGTTGAATTCTCAATTTAGTAATAACCCTGTATGAGACACGTGGGAAAAAAATACCAAAGTAATGGGAACTGAAAAGAAAGATGGCAAAAAAAATTAATAGAATGTCATCAAAGGGAAGGAAATGAAAATGGGCAAACAAAATCAGACTGTCCATTAAACATGCATTGCACCAGTCTAATACATAGACACTTTAAATAGAATTATATGTCTCACACTATATGCACATATATTTGATGAATCACATCTTAAAACTGTTTATGTATCGTATAAACAAACACATTCACACGCATATAATTTAGCATGTTACATATTTTTCAGGGTGTGATATACATGGTTATCAGAGGCGGCTCTCTAATTAGGCGATGTAGGCGGCTAAGTCGCCTTAGCAGACTGTGACCAAGGGCCTGAAACTGGGAGGGGGCCCAGTGACTTGGCCAGTATGCTGCCAGGTGCTGAGCCTCTGATCTGCAGCGTTGCAAATCACTCAATGTAGTTCTCGCTAACTCACAGAGTGTTGACGCGGGTTACCACGAACGAGGTCTGCACTAAAGGGGGTTACCTTGAACCAGGTCTGCAGCTCTGTGCTCGGTGGAGCTGTAGACAGGATAGTTATCCCACCAGGGAATTACTGAAGGTATTTCAGTGTAAGGCTGCTTGTCACAGCCTCACACACTGCTCCCTCCCCACACGGTCACCTTTCACACACTGCCCCTCCCCATACTGTCACCTCCTACGCACTTCCCCACCATATTGTCAGTCCCCAATACTCTGTCACCAATACATACAGTCACCCCTCCTAAACACTTCCCCGCACACTGTCACAACACACAAACTGTCACCCTCCCCAACACTGCCCCCACACACTCACCTACCCACTGTTCAGTTCCACCCATATACAGTCACCACCCACACTCACCCCCCCCATATGCTGTCATGCTCCCTTCACCCAGCCACACTCACATTAACCTCTCCTTAATCTTGTCGCTCACCCCCTCCATCCATTCCACAATTACCCTATCACAGTAATCCCCCTAATTCTATCATACTCATCTTCTCTCATACTGTCACACTCACCCCCAACCCTGTCACGCTCATTCTATTTCAGTCGTGCCACTTATCCTGCCCAACTATGCCACACTGACCATGTCATATAATCCTGTTAGGCTCATCTTCCCTCGCCCTGTCACACTCCCTCCTCCAGCCATGCAACCAATAACCCCAACCCTGTCATCTCATCCACATTCATCCGATCACATTAACCTCTCCTATTCTGTCACTAATCCTCGGCCATGCCACAGTCACCCTGTCACATAACCCTCCCTAATCCTGTCACACTCACCTTGCCCTGTCACACTCCCTACTCCAACTGTGCCACTCTAACCTCAACCCTACTACACTCACATTAATGCCTCTATTCCTGTCACACTTTCTTCCCCTCACCCTGTCACATTCCCTCCTTCAACCATGTCACACGCACACCCCAACCCTGTCTCATTAATCCCCTCACCCTGCCACAGTTATCCCTTTGCGTACCCTGTCCCACCCTGAATACATTCATCATACACACAATTATGGTCACAGGCAGCGTCCCCAAACACAACACATAGCAGCTGGCTAACCCATACACATGCAGTCCCATAAACAAACATACACATGCGTACAGAAACATACATTCACAAATAAACAAGGTTTAAGTTTATGGGGAGTTCGAACTAGACCAACACAAACTAAAATTACATGTACCAATCTCATGCAAACTATATTGAAACCTGGGGGGGGAGATATATATATATATATATATATATTCTCTCTCTCAAAAGCTTTGCTTCAAGTTACTTACTATGCCCCCCAATCTAATACAGAGCCTCCTGCAGCCCCGCTCCCCCACACTAATATACGGCCTCCCAATCAGCCTCCACTCTAATTTAATACACTGCCGCCACCACCACCACCACTCTAATACACTGCCCCCCATTCCCCAATCTAATACACTGCTCTCTCCCTCCACTCTAATTTTATAAAATGCCTCCCCTCCCTCCCCCTAATTTAATATATTGCCCCACTCTCCCCCCAATTTAATACAGTGCCCCCCTCACTCTAATAGACTTCCCCACCTACCTACCTCCAATTTAATACACTGCCCTCACTTTCTCCCCCCATTCTAATACACTGCTCTTCTCCTTCCCCTTAATTTAATACACTGCCACCCTCCTCCCCCCAGCCCCCCTCAATTTAATACATTGCCAGTCTGGCCCTGGGCCACAAAGATACTCCGTGTGGGCCTCGTGCGGCCCATGTTTGACATGCTTGCTGTAGACAGTCACAATGTCGACAATGAATATGTATACTTGAATGCATTCTGGAAAATGATAAAGAATTTTTTAAATGTAAAATTACATTTGTTTTTCATAAAGCTTTCATAAAGTAGTTTGCAGTATGGTGGGGAGATTTATTTTTTTAAATCTATTAGGTATGTCACAACATAAAAAAAGTTAAATCTGAATCTGTGTATGTTTTTACTTCTATTAATAAAAAGTGTGTACAAATTGTGCTAAATGTGTGCTCCATAAATACTGAGAATGCAGGAACAAAACTGTGTTACCGCTCACTAAATGAAGACACACTAAGCAAGAAAAAACAAAAAGTAACGTGAGTTCTGTGTTCTATAATCATACTTACATATTCATGTCATCTTACATTTGAAATCAATTGAATAAAGAAAAAAAATGGTGCAGTATTCAAAACGAAATAATATGGTTTAGTGTGCACACAACTAACATAACGTGGTAATGAAATATCTCCAAATTTAGTCATGTTACCGTCTGAAATGTAGTAAGAAAAGCACAACATAGCGCAATTAAAATCTTTAGTGATAACATTTATTATGTAAAATCCAGATGAGCTTACAGAATTGCAAGATGACGGTAACAGATCTATCATGCTGCTTGAGAAATGCTGAAATCAATACACATATCTTCTGACCAGCTTTCAAGATTAATAACCAGGCCTTAAAAGTGATTTGTCACAGCAAGCTTGGAAGAGCCATGAATGCTCACTAGGGAACATTTTCACAAACTAGTGGCAATTTTGAGCCATGGTGATAATATTGCACTATTAGTGTTTTTTTTTTGCCTGTGTATTTATATAGTATGCATGGTGAAATGTGTAAAATGGACATCTAGTGTCTATGGATGTGCCCAGAAACCCAAGATGGCATTATTTGCCAGTACAACAGTCCATCATATACATTTTTTTTTTGTTATTTTAATGACTGGAGTACCAGCGACAACTGCTTAGGGAATAGAACACTCAATTGTGACTCCTTGCCTTCCTCACCCTAAGGAGAGTAAGACATGGCATATCTCTTCCCCCATGCTAAGCATGAAGATAAAACAATATGGAGAGAATTAATGTCCGCTATGGCAGCCAAGAAGTTAACATCAGGTAGTCCCTTTATCTATAATATCTTAACATACTAAATCTAAGCTAAGTGAGCCCTCTTATTTACAGTCTAATCTATGCCTTGGTTCTGGCACACCACAACTGTCTGTTTTCGACAGCTATATGCTTTTTTTTTTTCTCCCTTTCTTTGTCCACAACCACAAATAAATTATTATATTTCTAACTATTTCTCCATAAAAATATTGCACATATGGATTGTTTGACTCATTGTGCAAACAGGTCTCCCACCATACATCTGAACATGCAGACATAACAGGGCGTCTTTTAAAGGCATAAAATGCACACAGAATGAAATATGACAGGAAGTGGCAGGTGATACAAAGACTTCAAGAAAAATATAAAAGGTACTATGAACATTTTCCAAAAGGAGATGTCAAACCTGCTTAAAATGTCAGCAGAATGCCATTCATTAATCAATAAAACAACCCCACTGTATATTTATGTCTACATAAATAAGAATTGAGAACTTGGTTATTTAAAAGCCATGCTCCTGGAAGTTGTGAAACACCTTTACAATTACTAAAAGACAGAATCTTGTTTTCCTGTACAGCAGATAATAAAACTCCTGTTGATGGTCCAACGTCATAGTATATAAGGAATGGGAGAAGAAAACAAACAGAACACAACAAACTTGCAGTTCCAAAACCATAGAGACTGCAAACTACTAGGACATCTTGGCAAGAATGATAGAAGAAGAAAGTCTACTTTAACCATAAATAATAATAAAAAAATGTAATATGCCTTAAATTCAGTACATATAGATAATAAAAAAAAAAATAAAAATAAAAAATAAACAATAGTGCAACTAGTCCCAAGCTTTGGAATGCTATACATTATTAAACATGACTGAGACAAGCTGTGAATATTCAAACATTGCTTCATATAACATAGCCCTGTTATTAAAGGAAAGGAATGCATATTTAGGCCGGTGAGATAGTGGGCTAATGCATCAGCTGTAAAATCTGTTCAACGCTTGGGGGTTGCAGGTTCAAATCCTGGCAGCATTGACTAAGCCCTTCATCCTTTTGAGGTAGATAAAATGAGTACCATTAAAGTGGATAATAGTAACATCCCCATGACGTACTTGGAAACCAGAGCAATCTGAATGTACCTTTCCTGGTTAAGTATACTTAGTTTTTATTATTATTATGTCAGGACCCTCCACTGCGCACACATATCTCTCTGTACCCTACCCTGGACATTGCCTTTGTGATACAGTGATGCAAAATGATAGTAGAGACAGAACCTATAGTACTTAGTTGGCACTGATACATAAACACGAGGAACTTGTGATATTATGGCAAGAATAAATAGTTTGATTAGAAAATGTAGGGTTTATATACACGGACATTTTTATAACTAACGGCCTTCGAGCAGACTTCCAGCACTAGTCGCATTTCCTTTCAGTCCCGCCGGAACCTGAAATAGAAGTTCCTGGACCGCGGAGCGCGCTGTGAAGCCGGCCCACGCTCCAAGACAGGTAAGTAATTATGGGACAAGGGGAGGGGAGGAGACACTATGGGACAAGGGGAGGGGGACACTATGGGAGAAAGGGAGGGGGACACTATTGGAGAAAGGGAGGGGAGGAGACACTATGGGAGAAAGGGAGGGGAGACACTATGGGACAAGGGGAGGGGGGGGACACTATGGGACAAGGGCAGGGGGGGACACTATGGGAGGGAAAGTGCACTATGGGACAATGGGAGGGGGGGACACTATGGGATCAGAACACTAATGGACAAGGGGAGGAGGGGTTAAAGAACACTATGGGACAGGGTAGGAGGGGTTAACAATCACTATGGGACAGGGTAGGAGGGGTTAACAATCACTATGGGACAGAGGAAAGGGGGGTTAAAGATCATTATGGGACAGGGGAGAAAAAAAAATATTCTGAACAAACTGTCCCATGGTAAGAAACACTATGGAACAGTTTGTTCAGAATATTTTTTTTTCTGGGTTTCCTCCTCTAAAAACTAGGTGCGTCTTATGGAGCGAAAAATACGGTATATGTTATTTTAGTTCAATCTGGTAACAAAGCATCACAAGTCACACATGTAAAACTGTTGGATATAACATTTAGAAAGTTTGCCTGTCCCACTCACTATTAACTAACATTTAGCACTCCAGCTCTTGTGACATACGTATCTCATGGTGCTCAGCCAGTCGGCACATTGGCTGCCTCAGCATCATGAGAAGTCAAGTCCATGGTATTCAGCATGACCACGGTAATTGATAATTAAAGTGGTACTCTGTATGTAAGTTTAGATGTAAAGTGACTTTTTGATATGTTGTTATTGACGGGTCTTCACATCCTGGTTTTATGATTTAACGTTTGTTCCTCATTTTTACTTACACTGGGCTTTAAACAATAAGCACTTATTTGGAATCTGTTTCACAATTCATTGGTGGTTATGTCTGGCTACCTTATTAACAATACAGTCAATTTCTTTAATAATACGGCTAATTACCTTCATTTAGGCTTATCTCAGTTCCATATGCCAGGTAGTAACATTGTCTGGCTTATGTCGCCACCTTGTGGTTTTACAATTATCAGTCAGTAACTTTCTTTTTAGGCATTATTATTATTATTTTATTATTTATATAGCGCCAACAAATTCCGTAGCGCTGTACAATGGGTGGACTAACAGACACATAATTGAGATCAGACCACTGGACGTACAGGAACAGAGGGGGTTGAGGGCCCTGCTCGATGAGCTTACATGCTAGAGGGAGTGGGGTATAGTGACACAAAGGGTTAAATTAGGGGAATTAAATAGCTTGTTAGAGAAGGGTTTATTGAGTGCTTGGTAGGTCATTTTTGACAGTTGCAGGAAAGGAGTCATGGGGTGGCGGATGAGAAACCTGCTGACAGTTTAATTGATATGCTTTAATGAAGAAGTGAGTTTTCAAAGATTTTTGAAGGAGTGGAGGCTGGGTGAAAGTCTGATTGAGGAGGGAAGGGAGTTCCACAGAATAGGTGCAGCCCTGGAGAAGTCTTGAAGGTGAGCATCAGAGGTGAGGATCCGGGCAGAGGATAGGCGTAGGTCTTGGGCTGAGCGCAGGGGTCTCGACAGGACATACTTGTGTATGAGGGAGGATAGGTATGTTGGAGCAGCATTATGTAGGGATTTGTAAGCAAGCGCCAGAATTTTGAATTGGGCCCTATATCTAACTGGAAGCCAATGCAGGGACTGACAGAGCGTGGAGGCATGGGAGGTGCGACCGGACAGGAAAATAAACCTTGCAGCCGCATTTCTTATAGATTGCAGTGGTGCAAGCTGGGAACATGTAAGACCGGTGAGAAAGGGATTGCAGTAGTCAAGGTGAGAGAGAACAACAGCATGAACCAGTACCTTGCGTCCGGCGTTAGATATGGGTGGATGTGCGCTATGTTCTTGAGTTGGAAGCAACAGGATTTGGCTATCGATTGGACATGGGGAGTAACAGAGAGATCAGAATCAAAAAGAACCCCTAGGCAGCGAGTCTGCGAGGTAGAGGTCATAGTAGCGCCATTGACTTGGATGGAGACAGACACAGGAGTAGCAGCACTTGAGGGAGGAAAAACTAGAAGTCCTGTTTTGGACAGGTTGAGTTTAAGGAAGTGAGCAGCCATCCAGTTGGAAATAGCAGAGAGGCTGTCAGAAACACGAGTCAAGGTGGGCGGAGAGAGATCAGGGGATAACAGGTAGTTTTGCGTGTCATCTGCATATAAATGATATTGGAAGCCAAATATCAGTATGAGTATGAGTTTACCAAGGGAGGCAGTATAGATAGAGAACAGTAGGGGGCCGAGGACAGAACCTTGGGGGACACCGACAGAGAGGGGTTGGGGAAAGAAGGCAGAGCCAGAGAAAGAAACACTGAAAGAGCGCTTGGAGAGGTAGGAGGAGCACCAGGAGAGAGCAGTATCCCGTAGACCAAAGTTACGGAGAATGTGAAGAAGTTGTTGATGATCAACAGTGTCAAAGGCAGCAGAAAGATCAAGGAGGATTAGGATAGAGTATTGGCCGCGAGATTTAGCAGCAATTAAAACGTTGGATACTTTGGTCACAGCAGTTTCGACAGAGTGACCAGCGAGGAATCCAGACTGAAGGGGGTCAAGCAGAGAGTTGGATTCGAGAAAGTCAGTCAATCTAGCGTACACAACTCTCTCGAGGATCTTGGAGGCAATAACAATCTTTTATACTTGCATATATATGTTTCTTTGCTCTGTAGCCTCATTTGGGGTATATTGGTTGTTGGTTTTAATTCCTGGTAAATCACTGTCATAGCGGCAGTGGTTAATTCCGGTCATACAACACTGGGGAAATCGTTCTCCATTAGGTCAGTTAAAGGTTATTACTACAGTATTTCTCTGTATAGCTTATCGCGTACTTTTCTTTTTTTATTATACAAATTATTAAAACCCGGTCTTGTGCATTTGATATTTTGCTAACTACGCTATTTAGTATTACGGAGATGACATTTATATACGTGATATATTGTTTTCTCCCCTCTGTTAAGATAATACTATCATCAAC